AATGTTTATTTACATTTTTTTGATGTCAACACACTTTGTTTTGAAAAATTTTCGAAAATTTTCAGTCGGGATTTCGAAAACTTTGAAATTTCGCTTTGTTTGCAAACATTGGTCTGTTTATTTTGGTTCTCAATGTTTATTTACTTTTTTTTGATGTCAACACACTTTGTTTTCAAAAATTTTCGGAAATTTTCAGTCGGGATTTCGAAAACTTTGAAATTTCGCTTTGTTTGCAAACATTGGTCTGTTTATTTTGGTTTCCAATGTTTATTTACATTTTTTTCGATGTCAACACACTTTGTTTTCAAAAATTTTCCGAAATTTGCAATCGGTATTTCGAAAACTTTGAAATTTCCCTTTGTTTGCAAACATTGGTCTGTTTATTTTTGTTCCCAATGTTTATTTACGTTTTTTTGATTGTTTGTTTCGGTTCCTAATGTTTATTTACATTTTATTGATGTCAACACACTTTGTTTTGAAAAATTTTCGAAAATTTTCAGTCGGGATTTCGAAAACTTTGAAATTTCGACTTGTTTGCAAACATTGGTGTGTTTATTTTGGTTTCCAATGTTTATTTACATTTTTTTGATGTCAACACACTTTGTTTTGAAAAATTTTCGGAAATTTTCAGTCGGGATTTCGAAAACTTTGAAATTTCGCCTCGTTTGCAAACATTTGTCTGTTTATTTTGGTTTTCAATGTTTATTTACATTTTTTTGATGTCAACACACTTTGTTTTGAAAAATTTTCGGAAATTTTCAGTCGGGATTTCGAAAACTTTGAAATTTCGCTTTGCTTGCAAACATTGGTCTGTTTATTTTGGTTCCCAATGTTTATTTACGTTTTTTTGATTGTTTGTTATGGTTCCTAATGTTTATTTACATTTTTTTGATGTCAACATACTTTGTTTTGAAAAATTTTCGAAAACTTTCAGTCGGGATTCCGAAAACTTTGAAATTTCCCATTATTTGCAAACATTGGTCTGTTTATTTTGGTTCCCAATGTTTATTTACATTTTTTTGATTGTTTGTTTTGGTTCCTAATGTTTATTTACATTTTTTTGATGTCGACACACTTTGTTTTGAAAAATTTTCGAAAATTTTCAGTCGGGATTTCGAAAACTTTGAAATTTCGCTTTGTTTGCAATCATTGGTCTGTTTGTTTTTGTTTCCAATGTTTATTTAGATTTTTTTGATGTCAACACATTTTGTTTTGAAAAGTTTTCGATAATTTTTGAGTGGTTTAACGGCCAACACATCCAGTCCTTACTTAATATACAAGTTTTCAAGATACGAACCCCACGAGCTGCAAGTGAATGTCGCTTTTAATGTTAGTTTATGATCAGATAATCTGCAAGTTAAGCGTGTCGTGTGCGTAAGCCCCTCTAGGATGGGTGACCGTCCGTGTTCATAATAGTTCCTAACAAACTGAACGTATGTGGTAGGTGTCGCCACCATCAGCCCCATTGGCGGCGACTCTGGGACGTAAGGCACTTTGCCTTCATGTATCATTCATAACCCGTCGTCTATAACTATTTGTATAAACTTTAATTTTAAATTTCTATATAATCGTACAATGTAAACAATATGTACCTGGATGTTTATTATTGATTATATATTAAACGGATAAAATCGTGTCATGAGTCATTGTCAGTAGGGTAACTAAAATAAATTATAGTCTATGCCTTACAGTTAACCTGCTCATTGTCAGTGCGAGATTTTCAATTGAAAATTCTACAAATTAAGATTTTGTTGTAAATATTAATTTCGTCGATTCTGACGATTGAGAAAACGGAAGGAAACACTCTGATGTTTCTTCGAGATCAGTGTTACAAAATGTGAGATACAAACTAATTTCTGATGTCCGTCCTATCCTTAGTCAATGATTGTAACGTAGAAGTTAGAAAAGACGAACATTTCGTCGGCCATCTAGTGATGCAATAATTTGCGTTTATTTCATTGGACCCCGTTTAATACTTGATATGTACCTAAATGATGTCGCCCTAATGACGGATTAGATGTATCAGGTGAACCAAACAAACATAAGGTTAGATAATTGAATCGCAAAAAACGGTATCTTCGATAAAGAAACTTTCAATTCAGCATGTGAATTGTGATTTAACGGTAACGATATATTTTTTTAATGACAGTAATTTAACTTCTGGCGCAGTTATAAACGACGAAGTTCAACAACGATTGTTTGGCAACTGTGTTTTCATCGATCAGTCATGTAAAAAGTAAAAGAAACGAAAAAAAATAATAGAACATAACCTACGTGACATGATTCATTTTCAGATGCTTTGCGTAAAATATGCCAAGGAAATTAGTACCAGGACTCTGCTCAATGTACTTTCGAAGAACTATTACTCTCGACGTAGCGACAAAAATACCAATTCGTACAAAATTGTTCAGACAAATGGCGAAAACTTAAATGGTAAATACAGTCATCTCTTTACGTGATAACGCACCCATAAAAATCCTTTTTTTATAGCTGTCCTCGACTATTTTTAGATGTGGACGGTGCTGTACTTGGAATAAATTCGAACTGGGAACTCTTAACACCGACGGGATTCAGATTTTATTTACCAGGAAGTATTGGACCTGGCTGGTCGAATGTAACAACCACCATTCAAGTTAGAACGCAATTAGTCGATCTTCCTAGCAACAATGAACAAATTTCAACAAATAGTTCAAAAGGAAAACCTGCTTGTCGACCGAGTCGTCTGAAAGGGAACAATCAGCAGTATTCGATGCTCTATTGTGTAGCTCAGGAATGCCCTTTGTTATTAAGAAAAGGTATAGAGGAGTTATTTCCTGGATGTTTAGACGTTGGTTCTCCACAACTTACTATAGTTACTGTCAATCAATCGATTAATCCGAAAGTTATGAAATGGAATAAAGAAATAGAAACGGAGAAACTAGCTAAATATGTAAGTATATAGTACAAATAAATATTATAATTAATCGATTTTGTCAGAAAGCATGCTGCATATATTTAAATAAGTAATGAATTATCGATATTCGTTGTCAATTTCGCGTCAAAATTGTTTTTTCCTTTATGTTGTATACAGTTTGTACTAGCAGCTTCGGATATTTGTGGGAAATTGAGGAAAATGGGTTATTGGGCAGATTTTATCAATCCATTTAGTGGACAACCACACTTAAATTTACAAAAAAATGGTACTCTTTATGAAACAGACGAACGTTTCCGTTGCTTAGGATTTAAAATATTACATAGGAGCAATTGTAAAGTTATTTTGTACGATAATAATGCGAGAAATTTTTCGGGTGAGTAAGCATAAACATATGCTTTATTTCCAATTGTAAATCATTTGTTCATTTATCAAATGTTTTGTTGATTTCGCACATGTGTACAATTCAATTAACAACACACACAGTCATGTTACTGTTCTGTATGTTGTAGGAAATCTGTATACTACAGCACCTGCGAGTACAGAATTTTTAAAAGAGATTTTACACGAGTGCGAGCTTGTAAATGTTAACGAAGATTAATAAAAATATAACGAGAGGAGAAGGGAGAAAAAAAGAAGTGTTGATACAACATATGTTTTAACGAGTGTTATGGTTTTTCATCATTTAAATGGTATTTTAATTTTTGAATTGATCTGTATTATATAATTCTAAAAAGAAATTTCATTCAACGTAATCACACGTAAAAATGCTTGTTTCCTTCGGTACACTTCATGTTATCATGCACAATATTTCATACTTGCACTTATACGTTTTCTAAGAGTGTGCAAAACACGTCATACCTTACTCTATGTTGTACGTAAATTGAAACGATCATAGGTAACTAATACCACCGGCAGAAAAATTCTGGTACACGAAATAAGAACAAATATATGTATATGTATATATATATATATATCTAGAAGAGCGAATAAGTCTGAGTGTCTTTTATACGTGATAGAATGCGAATAGATGGAAAGGAAAGTCGCATTCGGTAAAAAGGAAGAATATCAGTCGACTTCCAATTTACGAAAAGAACCAGAGATACCGCACAAATCATCGTTCGAGACGTATTGGCTATCCGTCGCTGCAATCTCTATGTACATGTCGTCGAGTTCCTTTATTCGAGTCCTGTGTTCTCTCAACGTTTTCTTGAAATTCGCTAGAAAGTGAAAGAAACTGAAATTGATGTTGAAACTTCGACTGAAACTAAAACACATTTCCTGGATAAACGATCGCTGATGATTGCCGATATGTACATACGTACCAATCATCTCACAAAGTGGGATTTCTCCCCCGTATTCTTTCGGTAAAATTTTCGGATCGATCGCGCTTTTCAATTCATCTAGACTCTTGTGCACCTTAATCGAGATCATAACACAGAGATCAATTGAAGAAAAGTTTGAAAATCACACGTACATAATATACATACCAAGATTCGGTTTCTTAATTTATCGTTGAGGAGAGAAATGCCAAACTCGATGACCTTGATTGCGCAACTTGGAATATTAACAAAATGCGTTTCTTTGTGTCTCATGGGTGTACTGTTTTGTATACATCGTAACATATTACGAATATCTGTTATGGACCAGGCACTAAGATGGCCCATTGTTAATCCAGATTCATCGTTGATGTGCGTGTATCCATGGATTTGATTCTCCTCGTCGTCCATCAGAGCCTCCACTACAAGACTGTGAGCACGAGCCATTTGAGCAGACGTGTATTTGTAAGGATCGAAGCGCCCTTTGAAAGAAAATTTGTCAACTGTGAGAAACAAGTGTGACCGAGACAAACAAGGTGACAAAGAGGTAGAAAGAGAAAAAGGAAACTTACCTTGAGGACAGAAGAAAGTTGCAACTATTTATATAGATTGGAGATTGGCAGTACTCACCGGCGCAAGAAAGTATCACTCGTCGACCGTGACGATCACGTTGCATCAGCGGTACCAGATAACCAGCATCTATAATAGCTTCGATGTCTTTATCTTCGATATCGAGATTTTGAAACCAGTTCGGATACAACTGCCTGATGGTCAGATACCGTTCGAGCATCTCTTCCGCCATCGGCACGCTGAACTTCTTGGTTCTGAGGAATCTGAGGAGGAAGACCGCATCCGTCCTGCAACGCTTGATGTTGGGATGCTTTTGAATCCAATGTCTGAATTGCTTCAAGGCTTCTTCCCTGGTGGCATCGTCTTCACGGAGTTCCACGCGAGCGATCGTCCTCGTGGCCTCACTCAACGTGCACTCGTAATCCTCCTCTTTTGACTTTGCCATCGTTCACGGTCGAAAGACTCAGACAAGCACCGCTTTCCTTACGGATCGTTCTACGCTTTCGGTCCCCCTCTTCCTCTTCCTCTTCCTCTTCCTCCTACTCCTCCTCCTTCGCTTTCTTGCCCTCGTTTTGCTGTTGCTGCTGCTGATACTACTACTGCTACCACTGTTACCATCCCTCCTTTCTCCGTGTTCCCGCGTCCTCGTTTCGCTCTTTCGAATTTTTTCCCAAACGAGCCACCAACGATTACGAGACTCGACGTCGAGTTCTTACGCCATTCGGCGACTCGTCGTCGTCGAGGAGAAAGTTCGACATCGATCTACTTGCGAGAGAATAACTATCCTTGCAATTCTCCTGCGCCGCGCTTTCTAATAACCGATCATATTTGACCTTACAAATCCTTCACGTATCGTCCATGTCCATTTTCACGTCCTCGTCCTCATTTTCATTAATGAAGCGTTAACTATTCTCGAGTCGTTTACTTTTTCGGCACACATTATTGATAAAATTATAAACACACGGTTGAAGCAGCATGGATAAACGTGCGAAAAACTGGCGACGAACTGTGAACGCGCGTACACACGTGTAAAAATCGAAACGCGAGAGAAGTTCGATGTAGGAATTCGAGTGGCACTTTTAAGTCGACCGTGGCATGGTAACGCGACACACCGAACAATGTTCGTATTCTTACACGTTTCTGTTAATCGGAAATACGCGGTGACTGGCCAAGGTCGTCGGTCACGATCCGCGTCGAGAAATCTTGTTCCCCGACCAACCTGGAACCGAGTAATCCGCTTGCTTGCTCGCACGATCAATTTAAGGCCAGATCATGATACGCGCGCCGCTCTTACCGCTCCTACTTTTCCCGCTCTTACCGCTCTGCTTCTTCTCTTCGCACGCTCGCTTCGCTCATCTCCTTCCCTTCACGGTTTCCTTTTCATTTTGCGGCACCTAAAACATCCGAGTGCGCACGCGAGTAATACGCGAATCAAAGCTGTTCGAAGACGTTCAAATTGTCACGATCGTCGTCGTCGTACGTGTAAAAACGACCGTTTCTTTATGCCGTGTTCGAAAACGGGAAGTGCTAAGCTCGTAATATTGTTATTCGATTTACAGACGAGCGAGGCCACCCTGAGGATTCACTTTCTTCTCGTAATTTTACGTTTTACTTTCACCGCGAGCCTCCTTTCGGCCGACCCGCTGAATATCGAGGCTAACAGTGCCCACACACTACGACAGATTCACCGATGGTTCACGGAAACTTGCGATTTCCGTCGCGTCTCGGAAGCAACGAAGGTAAAACGCCCTCCTCCATCGACGTACAAAATCGATTGCATCGCGATCAAATGTTTTGCCTGAACTAATCGGTGTTTCTTCATCGACTTCGACTGATACGCGTCACTCGCGATGAAAGTAAACTTTTTTCGTAAACGTATTTTTTCTCAATAATAACAAGTCTATACAACGTGTACGACTGCCCGTTACAACACTTGACTGGCGTTTCTTTCCATTTGCTTACGTAACGAATCGTGTACCAGGACGTTTTCTCGACTCGGTGAAAGTCGCCGTTCAATCTGCATTCGGAATCGTGCCTTTCTATTCTTCTCTACTTCACGCGTGTCTTCGTGGCATCGATTTATTTTCGGTGCTTCTGGGCGACACGTACGAAAAGATGAAACAACAGGTCGAAAGTAGTACAGACGTAACGTCGTCACTTAGCGCCTGGGATTTATATTCAAACTCTGCGAAGTTTATACAGAAACGTCGTGCGACGTGCGCTTTCTTTTCAGTGAAATTCACACACGCTGGCGTAACAGGGAGAGAAGGGAACGAAAGAAACGACTCTTTATTATTATTTTTTTCTTTTTTTTTCGTGAACAAAATATAATTGATGTGTATAACGTACGCTTACATTTGTATTTTGTTCGATACGTTTCTTACCGATACGATCATCACTGTACATTGTAGTGTCATATTCGTTTATCGAAACTATATTACTTTATTTACTTTTGCCCCTGTACTTTGAAGTCAACGTAAGTACTTGGAGCCTTCATTACGTATTCGAAATGATATTATATTATACAGAATTGTATGAGAGAGATGCAAGACGTTGCAAATATAAGATGATCCTACAATCCCGCGGAGAGTTGCCAACCAAGGTTTGAATTTCGAAGCGTAGCGGCAAATGTCTCCCATCTCGTTGTCGAGATCCGCCCGTTTCGTTGAAAATTCCAATTGCAACGAACCAGAATTGTACAACGTCCAAGCAGTCATCTGAGGATTACATTGTCGAACGTCAGGTCCCTACTATCGCGCTGCGTGGTCGACTTTTTGAACGGGTTCCATGGTAGTTTCTTGGCTACGTGAGCGGTGGTAACGGAACCGGCGGGACTCGGCTGACCAGACGAAATCCCGGAGGAGCTACTTGCTGAAACGCTTCCTTTATCTTGCTGATTAATTTTACCCGGTTTCTGCAATCGGTAACAAGCCTCCGATTATTGTAAACCGTTTCTCTGAACGAACAATCTTGCCCGTATTTGCCTTTACCTTCAAGTAATTTCTATCCATCGGCGTGACCAATTTCAAATTTATAAAATCACCAGACTGCTTGATAAGTCGGACCACTTGCTCGTGAGATGACCACTTGACGTCTTTGTCGCCGATACCCACTATAAAATCACCTTCCTTCATGCCACCTAGCTGAAGAACGAAACCAAATTCGAGCATTTACAAGTACTACCAAACGAGGGCTAGGTAATTCGTGTCTGCACTTACGTCGGCCAACGAATTATGATCGACCGCAGCTATTATTACAGGAGCGTCGCCCCGAACGCTGAAACCGAAACCTTCGCCGTCGGGTCCTCGTTGGAGTTGTATCAATCGTGGCGCTGTCCAATGTCTTTTAGCTGAAAATATCGCGACCGGGCCCAACGATCTGAAAAGATCTTCCACTCCGTGCTGTCCGAAATCTGGCTGAGTGATACTCAATTGAAACTTTGTGGACGCTGCATCAGAGAAAAGACGATACACAGTCTGTCTTATCGCGTACATTATGTGTCGTTAGTGATGGTCTTTCTCCATTGTACCTATAATATCCGGGGGATCCAACAATCCTCGGAAGTCGTCCTCATCCCCAATACCATTGTAATCTTCCACCGTCGACTCCTGTACTCTCTTTAAAACTTTGGCAAGCGCCTGTTTCGCTTTCAGGTCCCTGCACATCCTCTGCAGCCTCTGACTTTCTTCGTGCAAAACCAAAGCTTCTCTGAGATGTGCTTTCGCTGGAACAGTACGTGTTTTGTGTCGTCTATAAGCTATATGTGTATGTGTAAATAGCATAGAAGTATACATGTCCCTTGAATCAATTCTCATCGGTCTTTTTTTCAGAATCGAAAGTGGCTTAGTTCGCACATTCTGTTTAAGGGGGTCAGAAATGTTCGAGAAATCGATTTTGTTTTGTTTTGTTTTAAATAGTAGTTTAAAGTCTTGGGAATAAGATACAAAAGGTCTTAGCCTTTAACTAGGGTGTGATATTATTTTAGGGTATGATGATAAATCCGTGGATACAGAATAATTGAACTTGCATCAACTGTTTACAACTTTAAGCGGTACTGTAAAGTGTAAATCGTGTGATTCAAATATTATTTTTGATGAATCGAATATTAGGGGACTTGGATTCGATTTAGTTGTGAATTGTAAGAACTGTGAGCCGCGATATATAAGTAAAAAATGTAAGTAAAAGATACATATGAAAAATGACGTTCTGAAACTTTAAACGCGTTTTTCTCGAAACTAGGTTTTTAGAAACGGCGTGCAAGATATCTGAGAATCTAACCAACCGATTACTGTGAAACTTGGTACGTATCCTTAGTGTAACATTTATTAGGGATCGACGATCGAACATTTTTTAATTTTTAACAATTTCGAAAAATATAAACAAAAAAAGCGTAGAAATTTTTGGCATGCATTCGACCCATCAAAAACAAATAGCTGCTATTTTCATAATTTTCGCAAAAATGAAAATGTTGGATCGTCAATCCCTAGACAATATTGTTTACTTTCAAACTGTTTTCGCCTTTTTTGTTGCAGCTAATCCTCTTTGGCTGGAATCATGCACACCGATGGGCAATGTAAAAAAAAAAAAAGTTATGTAAAAGGATGCCTAATTAGAAAGCTGATTAAGAGCCCTCTTTTTTTCTTTTTTAATGTTGCTTTTTATAGTTCACAATCACGTCAATCAAATATGTAGATTTTTTTCTTTCACTAGCTCTCCAAAGTATACGTAATTTTCACTTCCGTCACACTGTCCTGCCTCCCCCCCTTTGCACAAGGAAGCCTCGCGCTATCTATCATAACAGCCCAAGGTGTGCTAAGGAGTGAGAAAGCAACAGGAATAGAAATTGAAATTTCACAGCAATTGACCACGTACCCAGTAACTTTCTTTCATTATCGTCTCGTGGCACGATCACGTCCAGCTGCGTCTTTCCGTCGCTCCTTTGCACGTGTTCGAGCGCCAGTTTCGTTTCCGCCCGCCATTCGGTAACCGGCCGATCGAACAGCCCAAGCGCAAGGTGCTTGTGCGCGAGGGCCAAGTGATGCTCGCGTTTCACCGAGATCAACGAGATCCAGGTTTCCGGGACGTAGTCGCGGACTGGCTCGCGCGAGATCAATCCATGGACGTCGTTGTAAACGGCAGCAACCTAACGCGATCGAAACACCGCTATACAGTAATATCGGTTCGCAAATGGATCCAAGCTGAGTATATATATATATATCAGGCGTATTAAATTTACGCGTACGTAAAATTTTGTCGGCCGCTACCTGTGACGCTTCTTGCGCGAGGTCCAACGAAACGTCGATGTTCCTCCTTCCGTCCTTCGACTGAAGCTCCAGCTTTTCGAACAGACACTCCCTCGCCTGGGCCTGAAACGCGAGAGAAAAGAGCGCACACGCGCGTCAGACATGGTGCTTCAGCCACGTTTGTACTCCTAAGCCCCGGACGCGGCGCCGCTCTCTCTCCTTCGATCGTAATCGAAGGTTTCGGTTTGCGGCGAATTTTCGAAAGCGCGCGCTACGGCTACGAACGCAACGTCGTTACCAGCATCAGTTGAACGAGCATCTCGAGCATGTCCGGCCCAAGATCCATACTCGGTGCGTTGGTAAAGTTCTCGTGTATGTAACGAAAGGTACCAGCGGCTCGGAGGAACGCGTCGATCGCCTGGTCCAGGCCGCGCGTGGACAGACGATCCTGCTTCGCGGCCAGCTGGGTGTACAGGGCGGCTGCGTTGAACAGGATCGATGCTTTCTCGAATGCGACGGTTCGCTGACAGCTCGGCACACCTGTCAACGAATCGAACCATTCGAAATAGATGCCCAGGCTTCGATCAGGCGGGAAGAATCTTCGCTCGATGAAGTACAGTTGATTGTAGTAGCGCAACAGCAACGCGATGCCTGCTGCGTCTCTGGTCGGCGTTCGCGTTGCCTTTTTTTTTTTTTTTTTTCGAACAGTAAGAACATTGTTGAAGATTGTTGTCAGTCAGACAGTTTTTGAATCGTAAATCGTCCAATCTTGCTCGCGTTGCAGCTCACCTGTCTAGTTTCCATCAGATCCACGATCGCCTCCTCATAATTGGCTCCGTCTTCGCTGTAGTGCTCGAGGATGAAGTCCTGCGCGTGTAACGAACAATGGTTCGGTGAAATTGGAGAGACAGAGAGAGAGAGAGAGAGAGAAAGAGAGAAAACGGAGAAAAGGGCAGCGAGAGGTGAAAAGAGGGGAGGGAGAGAAACGACGGACAATCGAGCGCGTGTTGAGTCGATACGCGCCACCGCCGCTTAGCGACCGCGTGGAGTTCACCGTTCGTGGATTCCGCGAGAGCGAAATGTCAAGAATCACGCTCGATTTATTGCGAAAGCGTTCGGAGCACAACGAGGGCGAGATCTCGACGCTCGAGGAGATCGCCTTGCACCAGGAGAACATCGAGAAGATCGAGCTGATCGACCGGACGTGCAGGCATTTGAGAATTCTGTTGCTCCAGAACAATCTTATACCGAGGATCGAGAATCTGGGCAGATTGAAGAGGTTGGAATACTTGAATTTAGCGTTGAACAACATAGAGGCGATTGAAAATTTGGAAGGGCTCGAGAGCTTGAGAAAGCTGGACCTAACCGTAAACTTCATCGGCGATCTCCGAGGGATTAAAGCGTTGAGGTAGATTGAATCGTCCAAGTTGCATCGTTGATTACTACCAGTCCGCGGATTTTTATGTATTTTGAATATATATTTATATATAAAATATAATATAAATAAAATAAATTATATTATATATAATTTATTATATAATTATATTATAATATAATATTATACTATATATAATATTCATATATATATTTTATATAATATTTATATATATATATTATATATAATATAATTTATTATATAATTATATTATTTTATATAATATAAAACATATATATTTATATATAAAATATAATATAATTAATATCAACGTATAATAAAATATTTTTTTATGCAATATATTTATACAATGTTCAAAGTTATATCATAATGCTTTTTGATATGTAAAATAATTTCCCATTTCCTCGGAAATTCGCATAAAAATTCACATTACGCGTGATTACGAATCGAACGTGTGTCGCAGATGCAACGAACACCTAGAACAGTTATTCTTGATGGGGAATCCGTGCGCGGATTACGAAGGATACAGGGAATACACGGTCGCGACGCTCGTGCAACTGAAGGAGCTAGACGGCACGCCGATTGAGAGATCCGAACGTATAAGAGCATTGCAAAATTACGCCGAGGCCGAGGGTGAGATCATACGAAGTTACGCGAGATACAAGAAAACAAGGGAAACGGAACTAGTTGATTATCACGAACGAGCCACGAAATCAAATCGAGTAAGCGGGTTTTCATTTTCCACATTCTGCACTTAGTTCGATTCGTGCAGATAACATGCTTGATGCCATTATGTTCATTGTAGAAAGAGGGAAACGAGCAAGTGGAAAGAGAAGTAGAAGGGGAAGAGAAAGAAGAGGAGGAAGAGGAAGACGACGAACAGTTTTGGAATCGAACTAGTCGTCACACGCCGGAGGAACGCGTCGCCATTGCAGAACGGTACATGCGAAAGGAGGAACGACGAAACCGGGAGAGAAATCGAAGAACAGAACCGCGAGTCACTTATAAATTGAAGCTGTTCGACGCAGACGGCAAACCGTACAACATGAATCAGCCGAAGGTACCGTTCAAATTGGACGAGGAGCAGCACGACATCGTCTTGGAAGTAACCCTGTTTAAGTATGTTACTTAATGTACTTCAAGTATGCTAATTAATTTGAAATAAATTTATAAATTATAGTCCTTTCGTACAAACAGTTTAAATATTTTTATAGATAGAAACCAATCTGACTTACGTACGTACGTCGATTTGAACTGAAATCATGTAAAATTCTAAAAAGTCGAACAGACTTGATTATTGAACATTTAAAATTTACCTTAATTCAACATCGAGGTCACAATCATTTTTTTTCTATAAGATGTATAAAAACATACAACGCTGTTATCCCAACCTGTTGAAGTAATTTATTCTATTAATTTTAAAGGTAATTTATTCTATTAATTTTAAATTAAAAGTCAAATTATTTTCTCTAATTAAAGTTTTTTTTCTATAAGATCTATAAAAACATATAACGCTGTTATCCCAACCTGTTAAGGTAATTTATTCTATTAATTTCAAAGGTAATTTATTCTATTAATTTTAAATTAAAGGTCAAATTATTTTCTCTAATTAAAGTTGTTCTTTAAAATTAAAATTCATTAAATTGAATAATTCTCCCAATGAATTTAAATTTCATATTAAGTACAAAAATAAATCAATATAAAATTCTACAGGATCTCTTATCGTTCCATAAAAATGATTTCAACATTTTTATGAAAATTTTAAATTCATAATTTATATGTGAGACGGTATATGTTTCATTAATCCGTCGATTTAACAAGACGAATACGAAATCCAATACGATTTCAGATATTTGGACACTTGCTACGTCGACGTGGACGTGAATCCAGATTACGTGCGTGTTACGATCAAGGGGAAGATATTGCAGCTGACGTTGCCCTGCGAGGTATCGGTGAACGAGAGCACGGCACGAAGAAACACGACGAATGGCAAATTAGTGGTGACGATGCCGCGCTTAAACCCGTTGCGCACGATTCTGCCGAACTACAGAGAAACGGTCAAAAAGGGAACAATCGACCGACGCAAGACGACGATCGAACGACGATCGACGACGAGCGTGCGCGAATACTTGGAGATCGGGCCAGTGGCGAACGACTTGGACTTCTCGAGGATCGTCGCTCGATCGACCGTCGACGATCAAATTGAAAATGGTCGGAAGAGGGAAGACGAGAAGATCGTCTGCAGCAGCAGCGGCGACGATTCGGAGGTACCGCCGCTTGAATGAAAGCCGCAAGGTGTAAGAACGTTCTCTCACCTTAAACGGATCTCGAAAGTCGATGTCTTTGGTTTCCTTCAGTCCCAGTGGTATCATTGGCATTGCCGGTTCCTCGCTGAAAATGGAAACGCCGACGCGGCGAGTGAAATCGATTCGTTGGGGCGCGAGTGTTATCCTGAGAATGATAGCCTCACCTGTCGACATTCTGATAAAGTTCGACCGAGCTGTTCAATTCGGCGAGCTGCTCCTTCAGCAGCTGCAAATTCGAATTAACGAAACTCAGTTCAAGCGCCACCGTTTCACGCAGCTTTCTGTTGGTCGTCGCCCTGAAAAACGTAAAGCGCGCGGTAAATATAAATACGTGTGGTCAGTGGCGAATCGAGAGAATGAAGAGAGAAAAGAATCACATACTTGAAGAGATTCTCCGCGCCGGCTCGTAACCGAAGCTCCTTGTTGATCTCCTGATTCAGTTTGCTTCGTTTGTTCTGCAGCTTTCCTCGACACGTGGCCACCCTAGGATCGGAGCCCTGCACCAACCCACACAGAATTGAATGTATTGGTTACCGAAATCGCTGGAAACGCTGCTGCTCGAGGTCCCTTGCTTGTAGGAAATCGCAACGGACCAACAGACGATAAGACAAGTGGGCAAATGTAACGACGAATCATTGGAATTTGATTTATTTTATCGACGCACGAGTTGCAAACGCAGGGCCGATCGACCGAAACAGAAAGAACGAGTGATCCGAGTATATATTTCTCACCCCGAGGCACTTTCTCGTCGATGATTCTCGCAATATTTCTACGTTCTCCGACCGACAGGAACAACTTTTTTCTATTCGCAAATACCGCGACGACGCATTCCCGCAGTCGTCGCTCCTCTTCTCCCGCTCGTCCGACGAAGTCGGCCGCTGGGACCCACAATTCTTCGACAGTGCCGCGTAACAAGTCCACTTCAACATAGCGCTCGCTCTCGCAGCCACATTGTTGGTCTCGATCGCTATACCTTGCCAGTTTGCTACTGCGAATGGCTACAGAAGAAATAGATACCGAACGCGAGATTCCGCGTTTCGTCTAACGCGACTTTTATTGTTCAATCAAGTACAATGCGCGACTCGACAATCATAATTGACAGCAACGTGAAAACTGACTTATGTCACGATCCCCACAATGTGGCCGTGATTGCGCACAATTCCTGACGATCGTTTGTCGCAAACACGCTCGACAACGAAAACAAAAGGAGAGGAAGGAAACGCGTTTCGCGGCAAAAATGTCCTCTGGCTTATCGCGCGCGATCCCGGGGCTTTGGTCGAGACTCCGCCGGAGCCGCTCGATTCTCGGTGAAAGGAAAGAAACTGTGCACGCGAATTATGGTGGGGAGTAGAGTAACGCTCGATCCCCAGGTATCTATCTTTGCCGGGTGCGGCTGCTACGCAGGCACCGTAATTTTAAGGTCGACGTGCTTCGTTCTCGATTACCGATTCTCCCGGTTCCACTGACCGATCCACGAATCGAACGTTCTCCTCCCGAATACGCGCGCCCGTATCGATTATCACTACCGCCGCTCGTTCGGTTGGTTCCGCGTTCGCAGGTAGCCGTTCTCGAGAAATAGAAAAGAGGAAAGCGGTCGAGGACCTTACCGTCGTCGTTACTGGGCTATCGTGTTCCATCTCCTCGCGCGAAAACGATCGAGAGAGAGAACGAGTTTGACGCGAAGATGCAGGACGTTAACGGGACTTGTCTTCAACCTCCATCCGAATCGCTCGAGGACGTATTCGCGATCAAACTCAAAAAAAAAAAAAAAAAAGAGAAAGACAAATTCAAAACAAATCGCGCTGGCGTTCCGACACTTACAATATCTGTTTTTAACCGGTATTGGACATTTTTTAGTGGACGTATCGAGTCCGACGGGTACTACACGTAAGAAGACTAATTTGTATGATATAAAAATTCGGCTTCGTCTCGAACGTGTTAAGGAAATGCGATGGAAGTGAATGTAACGTTCTCGACGCGGTTCTCTCGCTGGGTATTATATATCTCGGCGTTACGCGTTGCAGGTTACGCGTGGTGTATCGCCGCTCGAGTTCAGCGGACCAGGCACGCTCTACCGGACTCGAGGCATGCTGTTTACGCTCGCGTTCAAACAGGAAATGCAGCCTTCACCCGCTGCTCCTCGCCCTCACCCTCGCTCACCCGTTCCTCGTATCAACTATTTACTATGCGCGGTTTCTGCCGATTCCCTTACGACAATTACGACGGCTGGTTCTTCGAAATCGATCATTTCTCTCGGGTAATTCACATACGCGCCCGCGGGCACAGGAAACAGAAACGTGAACCAAGGATTTCGATTTACCTGCAACCTCAAGTCCGGAAGGATCAGCATCATTCCGAGTTGTTCGACAAGCCGCGAAAAGAAGAATCTGGATACGAGCGTCCGACGATACTTGGGAATTCCAAGTTACTGGAATTCCAAGAGCTTCTAGAATTCTCTGCTGCCCGTGGCTGTTCTCGGAACGAGCAAACTGTTACAAACACCACTCGATACCAACAGATAGAAATCACCGTTAACTCCTCGGGGAAATCAACTTCCCCGTCCGTGCGAAACGATTCAGAATGATCGACCTCTCTCGATTACGCGCACGTCGAACAACGATAAATCCGTGTCTATTGGCTCCATAATTGATCGATCAACAGTGGCAACACCCCCGTACGTATAAAATAATATTCCTTTCTTCACGTTCCTTCACTCGCGCGCGTACCAAAATAACGTTGGAAACGTTGCAGAGCTGTAGAAATGCGTTCGATGTTTCCGCGATGCGTTTCTTTTCTATGGGAAAGCGGAATTCCCAGGGCCGACGAACGGTGTTGCGCTCGCGGAGAGGAGGTAGAATGAAACGAACCAGCGAGAGGGAAAGAGGGGGGGGGGGAGAGGCGGGCGATGGGTGGCAGGAGGGGAGGAGGATACAGCCGGGCGAGAAACAGGAGAGAAGAAAAGATCGGATTCACGGGAGGATTCACGGATCACCGTTGTGACTCACATCGATCGAAACACGCGCGCGCGTGCGCACGTTCAACACATCGGCCCGGGCCGATTTCTCACCTTTCCTCCAGTTGACGACCGATCCAGGCCCCTTTTCCCCTTCGGTAAATTTCGCTCCGACTCGTCGCGGTCCGCTCGGCTTCGACCTCTTTCGACCAACGTCGGATCGTTTCGTTTCCCCTAGTCCCATGCATCGTCGTGAACGCTCCAAACGATTTGCGCGCGCGCGCGCGCGCGCGTGACGAGTTTTGAGATACATCTATGTACATACATTGCACAGGTACTGGCATCGATTCGAGAATTCGCGAGTTCGTCGATCGTGAGATATATAAAAATTTTTCGACCATTCGTTTTTTCCGCGAAATTGTTCCCATTCGAAATTGTTCGTCTTGCAATCTCCGTTGGATGAATGTAGAATATAGATAATTGATAATTATATAATCAACTGTGCGATACGCCGAGCATTTGCGTTTGAAGTTAGGCGAAAGATTCCTTATAGATTATATATCTTAGATCGATAATCTCTCTCAGAGATCTGTCGTTTTACTTTCCAAACGATTTATCTTCCTTTCTTATTTTCCGACCATATATCGCGAATTATCTTACTCTGGATCGATTTGTTTCCTTATAGATTATAAGATTCCTTATAGATTATATATCTTAGATCGATAATCTGTCTCAGAGATCTGTCGTTTTACTTTCCAAACGATTTATCTTCCTTTCTTGTTTTCCGACCATATATCGCGAATTATCTTACTCTGGATCGATTTGTTTATTTTCCAAACGATAGATCGTTTGGCACTTAATGTTCAGATAGTTTGTGAAACCGGGGGCAACGATCACGAAACCGAACGTGATTGTTCCGTTTGTTACAATTTCAAACGCTTCGTTAACGCGCGCTCTACACATGTGTGTATTTTAATCATTCTACGTGACGCAGGACATGCATCGTCGTTGTTCGATTAATGGCAGAAAGATGGCGTGCAATCGTACGAAGAAATCGTACGAGCGCGTTACGATCGATCGGTTAACTGTATGCTAAAATACGTACATGTATTCTAGAAACTTCAAATGCGCATTGGGACACGACATTCCCTTCGATTCTTAATTCAACGAAATCGAATAAATTCAACAATGGATCTGTTGGTAGACTGTGGACTTTTTCCCACCGTGCTCAAATATAAAGAGATAAATGATGATGATGAAATTAAGTCGCGTTTACAACGCTGTATCGTGTCGTGTAAACTCGCGCAATACGGTCCGACTGGTGCGAATAATAATAACAATGTAACATATATATACACACACACACACACACACACATACACACACACGACAGGTATCAATTCTTCCAAGAGCGCAAAATGAAAAATACGTTTAACGAACTTGACGAACGATACTCACCCTAACGAAACGTGGCTTGTGGATATCGTCTTCGACGATATCTCCCGACACGATGGGTATGTTCATTGTACTCTATCCAGCGCGTGATTGCATTCTATCGAGCGCGCAGCACGTTTCACCTTGGATGAGCGAAAACACACGACAGGCACGGTCGTGTCGTACTAATCCGAGATCGACTAAAATGTTCACGATATCAATGTTTCCCTTTCCTATATCCTTGGGCCGACGTGCTCATAATCGTAGCCGTGGAATGTTTATAAAACGGCTGGCTCGCGTGACTGAACGAAGATACGGATCGACTCGCAGGTAAAGGGAGGATGATCCAAACTGGAGCATCAACCGATCGTCGTTCAGCTGATAATCGAGATTATTGCAGCACACTCCTCCGTTCGACGCGGATGCCGAAACCTTCGCGGTATCGAGGCTAGACGAAACTACAGCACGAGCCATCGGTTAAACGATATTTCGACGCTGGAAATGTCGTCAAACGGGTATGCGACTCGCGATCGCGCGTATACTCGTGCGGTTACGTGCTCACGTGCCACAGTTTTCGAACCACGTTCCACAAACGTAAACGCGCACGCCGCGTTTTGTTGACGTGTACGGGGCACAGGCGGAAAGTAACTGTGTCAACGAAGAAGAAAATGCTCGCGATCGATGCACCGTGAACGTTCAAATTACGGTAGAAAAGAAAAAAGAAAAAAAAAAAAAAAACAAAGAATGGTTTGCTCCAGTGTTTTCAGGTGTTGTCGTCGGTTGTCGACTGGCGTTACACTCGTTTATCCGACACACGCTCGTGGCCAGGGAAACATAGGGTCTCCTGGTTGCGCGACCTCGCCTACTCGCACATGGACTCTTCGACCATTCTCCCGCAGGTGTGCGCGAGTATGGGTATAATGACGCCGTGGCCGCCACTCCAGCTAACACCATCACTCGTGACTGCGTGCGTGCATGCGTGCGCGCACGAAATACCACATCGGTTGCAGCAGGGCTTCTCTCTTTCCTCTCTCTTCGTTGCTCGAGCGATGATCCAAAGGACTACGAGCGAATACACACACTCACACGCACACATATATATGTATATGTATATATATATATCTCGCGAATAATCCAGTCTTTCATTCCATTCGATTCGATCCGATCTTTGATATTTCTTTCACTTGACTGTTGCTGTCGTCGTCGACGCGAGATCCGCAAGAGATTCTTCGCGAGGATCGATAGCGTTTGCGCGAACGCTTTCACGTATATGTATATGTCACGCTTGCGATACTGATCGTCGCCTCATCAAACACGAATCACGTTTACGCGATTCTTCCATTTAGAAGAGCTGCTTACCACACCCTTCGTTCGGGCGTTTCTCTCTGTATCTCGTGGTGGTGGTATGAGTGAAAAAAAGAAAAGAAAAGAAAAAAAAGAAAAATAGAAAAGGAACACACTACGTTCGATTGTATTGATCGCAATGTATTGGTATTATCTAAATTCACATATTCACAATATAGATACAAATTTGCTTTTGGGAACAGACAGTTGGGTACATACAATATAAACAGTCGTCGAACTTGAGATTCGAAAAATAAATTGGTCGTCCGTTACAATTAACGATGTTGAAGTATTTTTTTCTTTACAGAATGTTGAATTCCCTCCTCCGCGTTTTTTTTTTTCTTTTTTGTTGCGCAAAATTGCGCAACATCGCACGATTCCTCCTTTTCAGTTTCCTCCGGCGTCTCATCGATTTGGCACGGTTTTCAAAGGTTTCCCAACGAGTCAACAAAGATTCGATTACCGAGTGTTCCCGTGATTGAACAGCAGAGAGCTGATCGATCACCGTGCAACCGAAGAGATTAAGCTGTCTTTGGACATGATGATTCACCAATCAAAAAACGATGATTTCGCAATTGTAAAAAACACGAGCTTCGTAGCAAAGAAACTTATTAAAATAGATCGTTCGAGATATGAAAAGATTTAGTAGAAAATTCGTTATATAAAAGCTACTTTTTTCACACGTGTTCGTTCGTTCGTTCGTCGTGGCGTTGCACATAATTCTACCTACGAAACAATCACTCGAGTCAGCAATAGGAAGACTTTGCTAAATTAATCGTAAACTCGCAAAAATATCGTAATCGTCGTTCTTCCTTCACAACCAATACCTTACACCGTTCTTTTTGTTTATTGATCAAACAAAACGATCGATCCATCACAGTTTCGAGTTTAGGACGGAAACAGGATATTCCATGGATTATGCCGAGCTTAATAGTTCTCTGCAACAACGATTATTAGGCAAGGTATTATTTCTGGGAAGCAATCCTTTCACGGATGTTCGTTTTTCTCTCTCTCTCTATCTATTTATCTATTTAATAAATCCATCAATTTCTTTTCTCTCTTTTTTTTTTTTTTTTATCGATTTTATTCACCGCCGTGAATTCTTCTCGCAATTCAGGATCAGTATCGTATTCGAATGTCGTTACGTACACGATACATGTACACACATCGTCGCGAGAAGATCTCCAAATAGGCTTATTACGTGTGTCTAAATACTTACGTTGAAAGTTCCCTCCCCAGTAAACCAGTCCCGACTAATCCTGTACGCGATCGACTTCTATTAAGTTGAGCTCTTCTCTCTGCTGTAAAAAAGAAACATATACGTCGCTTGTATCCGTCCTTTGTACACTTGTACGCGCTACTATTAACCTGATTCGTGGTTCGTGTTATGTGCGTGACTCGATCTCGATTAGAATCACCTGTTACTGTTAGCTAGATCAGTTACTGTTTTCAGCGAAGATAGTTTGAAAAATATTCTTTATTAATTTTTAAAAATTGCGACAATTACAACGAGTGCGATTACAAGTGATCGATTACAGGTGTACGCGCATTGATCCTCCGAAGTGTCTATGTATATCACAGCCAATAGATTTCTTCGTGAATTAAAGCTAAACGATATGCTACATGTTTCTCTTCTTTCTTTCTTTCTGTTTCTTTTTTTTTTTTTTCTTTTCAGTCTTTCAATTGACTAGCAAAGTCTGTCGTCGATCAGTCGTCGAGGTAACGATGATTTTTTCGAAAAGGTGGCAGGCGAGAAGCGAAAAATTAAAGATGGAATGCGGGAGAAGAAAAAGAAACGATACAGTCAGAAATAATTGCGACCTGTTCGTTCTCGTGATCGTGATACAATTCGACGCTGGTCTAAACATTAGAAATTAAAAATAAAAATAAAAGACAATAATAAGAATAAAAGCGATGAGGTAAGATTCAGTCTTGTCGTGTTACGAAAAAAAAAAAAATATAAAAATAAAAAAAAATAAAAAATACGAAGCACACCGTAAAAGTGTCGTAGTCGTGTATCGTGGCCGAGTCATGTTAACGTCGTCATCGCGATAACGTCAACGATAACGACGCTAAACGTTCTATCGACATCCCGTCTACCAAAATTGCCAAACTTGTTTCTGAAATTTTCTCTTTGCCGGAATGGTTTGCTTGTTCTTTTCGACTGCGACCGACAGCGTACTATCGTGTTTTCGTTCAGCTGATACGTTCAATGCTGCTTTCTTTCTGTGCGCAAACATCGAATAAAATTTCAACGCGTTATTCGAGAATCTCAATCGATGAAAGATATTACGGTTGTCACACGTATCAGATTCGACGATAGCTTTGTTGTGACAACAGGGCATTTGGATGGCGATTTCATTCAGCTCGGTTGCTCTCCTGCTCGAATTCGCGGTCTCGGATCGAACGGAATGTTCAAAAATCGTAAATTGACCGTTTAGGACGGATAGATTATTATCATTGACGTCTTTCCAACGAGCGACACTGTCCAAATGTTTCGTTTGACTCAACCTCAACGGCGAAGAGATTGTTTTGCCGATTATTGTCGCGACATCATCCATTGATTTCGATACTCTGTTCGACACGGTGTCGGTGCTATCGGACGTGCAACAAGCAGAACCATTTTCGACCAGCGAAACGCTTTCGCTCGTCGGGCTGCCTAAGTAACCGAACGACTTTCCTATTCCTTCGCCACCGGTCGGCAATCTTCTATGCCTCGATTTACGTCTTCTAACAGCACGACGCACGATACTATTTCTCTTGCGTATCTTGCCAACGATGACGCGTCGCCGTTTCACCGGACTAATCTTTAGAGCTTTGCCTACTAAAATCGTCTGACAGAAAGACGGTGAAAGTTCCGAGTGCGAGCGTCGCGATGGATCGTTCGATAATCGAGTGTCGACGCAGGTTAAGGTGCGTTTCTTCAGCTCGTCTATCACGAATCCATAAGACGAGGACGACACGACCGTGTTCATCGACGAGGACACGACTACACGTTGGACAGAATCGGTCGATGAATTTGAGATACTATCGAAATTTCGTGACCTTCTTACAGAAATCTCTCGTTTCGGTGTCTCCTCGATCATCGATCGATCGACGCGTATTTTCTTGCACCTGATCTCCATTTGTCTGTTTTTGTTAAACGAACTGACTCTAGAAAGGAATTTCCCTCGCTTGGGTGCTCTCATGGCAAGATCAAGTAACGAACATTTATGGAGATGTTGATTCTCTTCCGGTGTCGTGTAACGTGTGAAATCGGAACTTGTCAAGTTCGTGATCACTGGATCACGAAGAAGAAAGGCGGCAGTGGTTTGATTTGGATTTGGAAGAGCGGGTCGCTCGGCTTCTCCCGATTCGTATAACTGAGTAAGCAACAACTTCTCCTTCCTCGTAGATTTCGTCGAAGCGTATGCAGACCTATAAAACTTACCACCAGCGGCACGTGTTTGACGTTTACGTCGTTGATCCGGTCGACTGAACGCGGAACCAGTTTGGAGAGCCTCCATTAAACTGTCCATAACACCTTCTTGCGTTTCGTGAGCGTTCATATCGACAAGCGCCCGTTTTCGCGCAGCCCGAGCTGCTTTCTCCGCTTCCGCTTTTTCTCGCGCTTCCCTCGCTCGTCTCTGCTTCTCCTCTCCCTCCCGCAGCTTTATTATTTCTTTCTGCGCGTGCTGCAAGAGAAACGCGCGTTAAAAACGAGCCGATTTTCCTTACCATTTTACTCACCGTGAAATCGTCTTTAAACGTTTTTATGTCGCTGAAGAACTCCTCAATTGTGTACTTTTGTTTGTCGAAAGAAAAGAATTCCGATATTTCTGAGTACAAGCTGTCCATATTTTTAAACATATTCTGAAGAACTTCGTAAGATTCTCGAGCTTTCTTCGCAAACGGCTGTGAGTCGATTATACGATAATTAAGAAAAACCGATATGTGCGTGAATGTAAAGTAATCACTATAACAATATAATGGAAAGAATTATAAAAGAGAGAAAAAAAAAAAGGATACACCCATAACATGCAAGAACAAATCGTTGTCCGATTGTGGAACTTTGGCATTCGATAAATCTTGTTCGAGATTTCGAATGTTGGAGTCCATTTGTCGCAACGTCCTTTGTACATTTTCTAATGAAACACGACTAGCTCTGTCCACGTGTGCCAGTTCTTCCGAAAAGCTAAGACATTCCGGGAATTTTTGCTCTATCGTACAAACTAAATAGTGCATCAAAGTTTGTTTGTTATCGACATCCTTTGTGCTCGTTAACTGAAAATGAAAGACCGATTGATCGTATGCAAACAATTGTCTCCCATTGGCACGATCTAACGACGAAATATATACACATACCTTGGTAAGAAAGCTAATCTCAAAGCCAAAAGCTTGACCATTCTTTGAGCCAGAGTTCATGTAGTTGCCAAGTAACAGAATCAATTCGAGAATCTTGGCAAACTTTTTGCTACCTTTTACTTCTTCGCAAGCTGCTGTACCCGCTACTATGTCTGGCTTTACGTCTTGCACCAGTTCTTCGTATCGTAGCATGAAACTCAACGACCTCAATCTCGGCAATAATCGCTTGATCGTCGATATCTACGGTATAGACAGACTTGAAAATATTTCAATGTTTTCTTAAACATTTGGAGAACTTAACTGGAATATCTCAACTCCACTCACAGTAATACAAAATTGTTCGGCTTCTGTCAAATCGTCGTACTGATCTTTGTAAAGTTGTAGTTTCAACAGTTGATCTGGTGGTGGTAAATACTGTATCAATCCTTGAAGTATATTGTCCGAGATGACGGGACCTTCGCATTTGAGTAGACAAGACTTGACTTCTTCATACGGCATGTGCTTTAAAGTACCATTAAGAAGTATAAGGATATTCTGCGCAGCTTTGCCATCCAAAACTTTCAAGTCCTTCACTTTCTTCGATGGAGCTGACCTGCACAAACAGGGACAACAGTCATAGCGAAGATTTTCAGTGTCGCATGTTTTAATAACAGGATAATCGAATTGTATCAAATTAAGAAAATTATTGGCAGCCGAATTACTTGTCCACGACATCGTCGATTTTCTTCCCGCTTGGTTTCGATGCGAACTTTTGAGCCAAGCCGTTCAATATGTCAGGACTGGCCAACTTGTCTTCTTGCACTTTTATCCAAAACGATTTTTCGGTAAGTTTGTTTGGTAAGATCTACGATATGTTTCAATATATGTGTTATGTTTTAATGAATCTTTGTATTAAAAAACGAAAAGAGACGAAAGAAAAGACTATCTAATATTCACCGGTTTCCAGTTCGCTCTTTTTAACGGTGCATCGACTTCCCACTTTTTCTTCGGTTTCAGTCCTAAAGGAAGCGATTGCAATGCCGCGTTCATGCCCAGATTGAATCCAGGCATCATCGGTGGTGGTGCTGGACCTGCTCCTGGCATCGGTGGAGGTGCTGGTCCTGATTGCATGCCAGGCATGGGCGGTGGTGGAGGTCCCGCAAATCCAGGCATAAGAGGCGGCGGGGGCGGACGTGGTCCAGCAAAACCTGGTAGTGGTGGTGGTGGTGGCGGCGGTGGCATTCCCGCTTCTGGTCCGCTCCTATTTGGAAGCAGCAGTGGCGGAGGTGGTGGAGGATTCATTTCCGATGCGCACTTTATCTTCTGTATGTTGAAGTACCGTGTAAATCAAAAGATAATTATGACTCATGAGTTTGCGACGTAAGAATAAATTGAAGTAACAAACTCGATGACAAACTTACCCCATTACTACCGGCTGGTCTCGACCCTCCTTGTTCCAGCTCCTTAATTTTATTCTCCGCATGTTGGAGTTTCGCTTCCGCTTCTTGCTTGCTAGATATCGCTTCTTCCAATTTTTGCGATAGTTCGATCAATCGCCTTTCTTCTTCCGCTCGTGATTTCTCGACCAACGTGTCGATCAGGGGTTGAACGTCGATTTGAAAGCGCTTGGTCGCGCTAAAATCCGGATCACAGCCTGAACGGTGCAACACTATTTGCGACACGCATTCTTCTATCAATTTATAGTAGGCCGGCCTGTTGGAGAAAAAAAAAAAGAAAAGAAAAGAAAAGCAAAGGAGAGGAGAGGAAAGGAAAGGAGAGAAAAACAAATGACATCGATGAGAAAATGCATGCAAAAAGTCGTAGCTCTTCCCTACCTCACCAGAGCGTCATCCCTAACGAACAGAAGATGCTGAAGTATGGATAGAAAATATGGTTCCGCGGACGTTTCCATCACCATATTTTTAATTACTTCGAAACAGTCGTTCACATCGTCCAATTCCAATCGGACATGATCGAATCGTTGAACAAACTCCTCGTAATCTTCCTCTTTGTGCTCGTTGAAAATTTTCAGATGTCTAGCCAGGTCTTCGGATTCGTTTTTCTCCAATGTTTCTAAAATATCCGCCAAGCCCACCCGCATGATTTCATTTCGTAAATGCAATCTGAAGTCTAATTCTTCGGCCGAAGAAATGATGGAATTGATGAGTTGAAGGCACTCCACCTAACATGAGAACGCGCGATCAGATACGTTCCAACAATTCTGAACAAGGGAAGAAAGAATGAGACAACGAAAGAGACAAAGTAAAGGGAACGTACCCTTAAGTTCTCGTTCTTTTTGTTCATAAGACCCTGTACAATCGGTAAAAATCTTTCTCTTCCCTTGAATTCCCCGTTCATGGTGATCGCGTCCAAAACTTTCTTGTGGCTGTCGCTTGAAATAAGGCAAACTGCGCCGAGCAGTTTCACAGTTTCGGACATAACGGATGGTTTGGTCGGCTCTAACGATCTAGCCACGATCGTGAGTGCTTCGTGATGAGCCAACATTTCCTTTATGCCAACGGTGTTGTTCATAATAGCCTTCAAACATCGGATGCATTCGTACTGTATTCGCTCGTACCGGTTGTCACTGTGTTACAGAATACAAACGTTATCATTTCAGTATCGTCAAATTTGTTTGTAGTGAATGAAATAAAAGTGGAGAATCCAATAAGCCATTGTCGAGCCAACTATTCGAAAAGAAATGTCGAATCGTGTTTGTACATGTTATTGTCGAATATTCGAATAAACTAATTTCGGATGGCTCCTCATTTTCGACTAGTCGACCAGTGCTATTATACGGAGAGCATTATACAGGCAGAACATCATGCAATTAGAAACTAATTGCGAATTGACATTACGGGTTTTATTTCTCAACGCTAATTATTGAACTGAAAATATACTTTAAAATCAAATAACAATAGAAAAAGAGAGCTATGTTAAAAAAGGTCAATTGTAATATAGATTTCATCTATAAATGTAAGTTACACACACACATACATACATACATACATACATATATATATATATATACATGTATTATACTGTTATACATGTATACGTGTGTACAGCTTTTGCTGGCTCTTCATAGATGTGCGTCTATACGCGCGCACGCTATTATACAAACTCTAAGTGCACTCAGATTAACGCTGAATGTTAAGAGCAAAAAAAAAAAAAAAAAAAAAGAAAAAAAGGAACGATGCAGGAAATTCTAATTTGCTAATAAAATTAAAGCAAATAGTAGTTTTACATAAATTACCTATCGTAATATATGAAGGCACTGCAATAGAACAATACGAATATTAGAAATTCGTAATCGGACAATATCGAATACGGATGCTATGACACAACGCACCGATGTTTTTTTTTTTTTTTCTTATCAATAATACTCACTTGCGATAACACTCGTTGAGCGTTGCTAAAACCTGTTTCAGTCCCTTGGTACCGAATTCTTGAACCCAACTCAAAGGATTGTTCGTCAATGCTATCCTCAACGATTCGATGCAGTTGTAGATTTTGTTGACGCTCAGATCAGGCTGAGCCAAATACTGTATGTAATCCGCCGGTTTATCGAATTTCGACCTATTCTCCTGTATACTGCCTTTGTAATGCAAAACCAGCATCTCTCTCTTCTTTGTTTCGGACTGCTGTCGCAACGGTTCTTTCTTCTCCTCGGTCAGATTCATGTTGGCCTGTTTTTCGCGAAAACTTCATCATCTCAAAATATCATCCCCGATAGCACTCGTCGATCAAGAAATCGACCAAAACTCACCAGCATCTCCTCGAACTTGTCGTTCACCGTCTCGTTGTCCATTCTTTCGATGATACAACGTTGCTGCTCGATTTCATTGAAATCATCGCCGGAATGGGGTCGTGGTATTGTGTTGTTTCCCGAACCACTTCTGACCCCACCTCCACGCCCGGACTTTTTTGGCCGGCCGAACCATGTGTCCAGCTGAAACAAGAAAGAATAAAGAAAAATGAAGGAAACGAAAAAGGAAATAGAATGGTCGCATTTGTCACTGTTCTAATATGACCGGATGCTTTAATATGAACGGAAGTTTCGCACGCGTGAGGCATTTACATACATACATACAGCGCGCGATGTCACCTCCCATTTTTGATGCACGCATCATCTACCGATTCGATCGAAAGTGTAACGTCATCATATTATCATTTTTTCTTTTTCTTTTTTTTTCATTTCGGACTATTCACTTTCACCGCTTAAGACTTAAATCTTACCCAATCTGTGATCATCGGTATCTTTTCGTTCACGATAACGGTAACAATGCGCTACAACCGCGCGATTCATCGGAACTTTTCTCTCAAGAATATCAGCTTTCTGGCAGCTTTTACCACATGTGAGAACTCCTTGATTTTCTTCCTTGTGCCTTCTTTTAAAACTCTCTACCGCACAGTCTGATTATATCGCCATTATATCAACGTTATCGCGATACTTCTCAACGCCGATTACCCGCGATAAAGAAAATTTTTCGTCGATATAAAGCTAACCGTACGTAATTATTCACGTCGTATACGTTCGTATAAATTCGAAAGTAATTTTTCGTTCCTCATCCGATAGAGCGGTAAGTGTCGGGAAATCGCGACACGAGGAAAAGCAAGGAATTGCAAGTGCGTACAGCGGATCGAGACAAACGCGTGCGAGCGTATCCCCGGCTCGGATTGGCACTGAATCGCGAAGCGAACAGAAATCGAATCGCAAGGTAAAATCGAGTTAACGGCATCAAGACCGAACGGACCGAAAAGAAGGGAAGTTGGCTCGATCGCCGGATTGGAGAGATCGCGCGTGCGTAGTCGGCGTCGAGTCTCACGGCCCACGATCGGCCGTGTAGATCGTCGTCATCGCGTCATGTACCGGTATTTACGCATTCGCGCCTCTCGATTTGCTCGCCGACACTGACGAAACGGTGTACCGTTTCTTCAACCTTTATAATGTTCGTCACAAATGGCTCAGTTTTACCAAATCGTTTAATTCCCCGCGATCCATCTCCTTGGAGTCGCTAACATATTCTATTCTTGCTCCTTGTTTTTTATTTTTCTTTTTCTATCGCGAGGAACGAAGTAAACGATTTAATCGCAATTTGGCGATTCTCACGAAGGATCAATTATCACAACCATGATGACCGAATCAAATGTTTTTTTTTTTACGTCATACTTCTCCTCGTTGTTTAAACGAGTACGTCATAACCGCGAATAGCTCAAGGTTGCGGCAATTCGTATAAAAACGATCGAAGTACCGTTTCGTGTTAGTGACTCGAAAAAAATATGACATGCCCATTGTTGATACGACTCCGCTTTACTAGCTTTCTTATTAGCTGCAAAAACTGCAATGACAATTCGTTGATAACGCTGAACGTGACAAACAAGGACGACGTCGACGCGAGTCGTACAATGCGAGAAAAGAATAGCACGCGCGCGGATGAGATCAGTTGTGCGAATGATCGATGATGTAATTCACTACAACGACCGACTGAGCTCCAGCACTCGGTGTACTCTCTCCTTCAATTCTCTTTTTTTTTCCCCTCCATCATCATTTATTCCTCTCGTTATCTACCTACTTTTTCCCGCGTCAGAAAAACACAACTACAACTGTTCCTATTGTACTTTAAAACACCGATTCTCGGTCTCTTACACACCAGCCGTTGGAGATAAGTGAACCGAAAGGATCTAAGATATTTGAAATTTGTGGAATGCGAATGACGAAGAAGAGAGAACCGGTTTTTAATCATTGAATTCTTAAGAATATCTTGGAGATATTTGAAAAAATTTCTATTCTTTTCGAATTGCAGGGAAAGAGAGAGAGAGAGAAGAAAATGAAATGAAGAGAATGAGAGAGGACAGAGATCAGTACGAAAAGAGGAAATGAAAAGAGTCAAGGTATATCGAACTAAATTGTCGTGTCCCTGATAGTATGTTACCTTGTCCTAATATCTTATATGTCGTGCATTACGCTTTCGTGAAATAATAGTCTTTTCAATATGTGAAACAATTTACCTTGAAACATTACCGTGACTCATACGCGACAGCATTTTATTTTCGATTACAACGGTCGAAAACTCGACCAACTTTTACCTATTCACGCTGACAAAATCAACGCAACAATGTTCTAACGCAAATGTTCGGAATTGAAACATATTTCGATTTAGTATCTTCTTCGTTATCGTATTGCGCCGCAAAAAAAACTGATAATTATACGACAGGAAATGTAACATGTGTGTATACTATACATATCGGTGTCTCGTGTTTCAACTTAACGCTGTGTTTATTTCTAACGTAATTTCTACTTGGTAAAAGCTGCTTTCAATTTCAAGAAATTTCATAACTTTCTCACGTAATTTTTCATTAATCATTTGATTTCAATATTGCATAATTTCATCATGAAACTTTACAGTGCTTGTTCCTTGTTATGTCAATTGTTCCAAAGTGCTGGAAGATGTTGGATTTATTCCTAAATTTTATAAAACTCAATATTGTAAACATACTAAATATATAATAATAATAATCTATTAATATAATCGATAATAATATATCTCTAATATAATAATAATCTTACAAGATTCAAAAATATCTTAATTCTGTCTTTCTATCTTTTTCTCTTATTTTTGGTTATATTTACGGTACAAAGTTGATGTCACATATACTTTGCAATTTATAAAATTAAAGTTACTTACGAAACCTGTCGACACTTTATCTTTCCTAGTGGCCATAGTTTAATCTTCTCCAATCGTTACCTTCTATTGTACATTTTTCTCCCCTATAAAAAATATAACTTTGTACAAGCATGAATTTTATATTTTAAAGTTTCCTAATTCATTAGTAATAGTGTATCTATCAGTGACTTATAATTACTGCACTATCAACGTAGCTACAATGAATCATCTTATGTAGTTAATATTCTAGATAACTGTATGCAACAATGCTTTGAAAGAATTCTAACAGGTAGTGTCAAAACTAACTATCATTTTACATGTAACGAAATGATTGAATAACTGAATATTCTGTATAATATTTTGATATTGAACAAAAATACAGTAAACTTAAACTGTTCATCAGTAACCATCGTATTGAGCCTTAATATGTTTTAACCAACACAAATAAAATTTCAAAACTGATTTAAAAAAGACAAATTATAATATTAAAACAATAAGAAATAAAAAAAAGAATAAAGTTACTATGTAAACGTTTAGATAAAGCAGTACGATATGAAACTGTTATCAAGTTACTCCATAAGATTTTTATAAATATGAAATTTTTACAGCAAATTATGCTATCGAAAAGAAGTAATTAACTTTGATTACACGTTTTATTTGAATATAAAGCAACTTCTTGTATGTAATTGTTCTGAGCACTTACCTGATTTGATTTGAAATTTTACACACCAAGGCATAAACTTTTGGTAACCATAAATTCAATGTTGTTCGCATTCAATCATAACTTATGTTAAATCAATCAGCAAGCAAACTCAATAGTTTGCCATAAACCATTGAAAGAATACTTGTAATTTCTGGAGCAAACTGAAACGACCTTTCCACAGATAAATATTCATTTCATCCGTTATGACAATGAAACACCTGCCAATACAATACAACCTCCTAAGGAGAGAAGAATCGTCAAGTTATTAACCAAAATTTGCTGCACCTTCACGCGTAAAAGTAATAAACTAAGGAAACACTGATAATGAATTTCATGGACTAGAGAACGAAAACCGTCGTATTCGTTAAACGAATAACCGTATCACAACGAGTAGCATGCCGAGGAACGTTGGTCGAACAACAGCGCCAATCAGAAACGAACCGCAAATGTCAGTATTTTGCAACAAATATCTACGTCGGTATTGCAGAAATATTTTTATCGGCATTCCTGCTGCCTCCTTATAATTCTCTTTGATATTAAATATTTTCTAACGGTAGTTGCGCAATACCAAGTTTGTTAATTGTACCGATTATTACATTCTATTTGCTTAGATTATATTCTATTTACATATTCATGTAAAAACAATACGTCTATTCTTGAGCTTTCTTCTATTACTATAACGTGAAATGTAATCGAATAACGAGTTTCATAGAATGCAAAACATTTATTGGTTTATATCGATTTAATTGAATTTAAACTATATCAGTTCTGTGTATACATATTAAAGTAGAATTATTACCGCCGATCATCACAATAAAAATGTATATACAATACACGATTTCATTGAGATTCGTGTATCAAAACTAGTGTTAGGTAAAAATTGATGCTGAATGATTTTAATCTTTCTGGAAATCTCCCTCTTTCTCTCTCTATCTCCAAAAAGACAATCTTATATCTGAATTCGTATCTACTATGTACTATCTCTCGTGTAAACACAATGAATGCAACGTTGCTATAAAAATATATCTATAATGAAAGATGAAACGTATGTTTCTTCGATTGATTCGATCTAGTTTACGAAATATTAGACTTTTCTTTTCCTTATGGAATTTCTTACTATATTTATATTTAGAAACATGCACTATAAAAGAGAAATCGAGTTACTATTTCACACGGAATACTGACTGATTATTCGTATTCAGATATTATGTACATAAAATTACTTTCGCGGTTGATTTTACTCGATATATGTATGTACGTATGTATGCATGTACATACATAAATCTACGCGTATGCGTCAACGATACTTTGTCAATTAATATTATACATTTCTTATTATATATTCCCTTCAGTGAAATAATATCAAAGTTACAGCGTTTGTATTGTTGTATAGTACGTACACGATATTTTCTGTTTGGGCGATTGGAATAGAAAGATCCACGTCTTACAAGATTATATGTAAGGGATAACGCGAATTAAACTTTATAATACAGTTTAATTTCAAAGATTAAAAAATTTGTACAGTCTCAACAAATATCTTTCATCCGAGAGTAAGGAATCGAAAGGTGCTCGCTTCAACTCGGTCATATCCTTCGATCATTATTTTACAAATGACAAAGATATATCTCGTTTCTTATGAAATTTCAACTAGTCTCGGTCCACCACGTAAACGATAGTTCTTTTGTTTCGCAGTACTAATTTGTGTCGTGGTAATTAATTCATGGACCAAAAATTTGCCAAAATTACTAAGATTGTAAAAGCTCGTGAAACTTAGAGGCAGTACGGTTAGATATGATGAAACATATTTTTGATAGGAAGAGAAAGTAACTGGCAACATTTGAAATCTTATGCTACAAAAGGAGAGAGTATTAGTGTCGGGTAGCAATGCAACATAATGCATAATTGAATATAAATTCGACATATATATATATATTAATTTTAAATCAAATATCGAATCATCTTGTTGATTTCACGATTGATTTCACTACACACATTGAAAAATAATGCGATCCATTTTTTTTTTTTTAGATAATTTGTATAATTTTTTCTTTTTTCTTGCAAAAATGACATAATGTTATATCATGGAAGCGAAAACTAAATTCTTCTTTTCGCATCCGATTATAAAATATATGAAGTCATCCATTCATCAGAGTCGTTCTATGTACAAGCTAAATGTACATAAGAATTTATAAATATATACTGCAATAAAAAAAGTAACCGTTTATACTGTGCACCAAAGGCCATATCGTCGTATATTTTAAATCGCTTTTCTATGTTCTCGTTACTTGCCACCATCATTTTTGCGACCACTCATACGAGGTACGCAATATTTTATTCGACAACTCTGCTTTTAAAATACGTGTTAAATCGTTGCGAACAGATATTGTGAAATAACTGGCGAATAAACGATGGACAAAGTGAATTCGCGTGTCTCTGTAATGTCCACGTTATAATTATATACATGTTTATCGATTCAAGTTTTCAACATGTTAATTGTTTATACATAAAAACATTGTCCTTTAGCTCTTCATATAGAAACTTACGTAATTATACTATACGACCGCTGTGGTTTTTCAAAGATACGACGCAAACGAATAAAAAATGCTATTTTCATATAAATGTGAATCTTGCATAAAGATTATCTTATTAATTAATCCTGATTAACAAATGACTTTATAACAGCATGATTCAAAATCTTCACGAAATTAATTATTTACCAGTTACCTCAACACAATCTCTCTGTCTTATCTGCACGTTTATGGGTACATCATCATTGCCATTTATTTGGCGAGTGTATTTTGGTTTGAAACAAACGAAGATAAAAAGACCATCGCTCTCCCTTTTTCCCCGTTCGCCATGGAAAAAAATGAGTTGAAAAAAAAATTGAAATAGAATGTATTAAAAAAAAAAAAAGAAACGAACAACAAGGAGGAAAAAGAAAAAACAAGGAAAAAAATATTCTTGATAAAAAGTATTTTACGTAGTATATTAAACTACAATGATGAATTCGATTAACGAATGATGTTAGTGACACGAAGTTCAATCAATATACTTCAAACATTCAATTAAAAAATGTTAGAAAGATATTTTACAGAAGCAAACGAGGTAAATAGGAAGAGAATGACGAACAAAGAGAATAGAAAAATAAGACGCGTAGATTATGCGTTGCATATAATCAATACCTGCTTTACGTAGTAAACTGAGGAAAAAAAAAAAAAACTATAAATATCATACAGGATATTAAGCAAAAATATGTTATTATCGACATAATAAGTACCATTGTGTTTGAAATAAACACAAAAGGCATAGGTTTACTATGTGAAACTCGGGTATCGATTATACTAAAATATTTAGTCATATGCAAGAAATATTTGATTAATCTTAATGACGTAACAGTATTAAAATATTTGCGATTCTCCTGCGATGTAATTTGTCATTCAATTAATAATAATAAAAAGCAGGTTTTAATGAAATGCCAAAAAAATATCTAATAACGCTCAACTATCGAGAAGGATTGGCATCAGTTAGTAGACGTTCCAGAGTTGTATATCTTCCGCATTTTAAGTGAGATAGTCGATTTAAATGCTGATTTAGCGTATTTGCAGCAATCGGTCGACAAGGTGCGACACAGGGTGGAGTTTCACCAATTATTTCGATGATGTGTACTATGAAAGATGACCATTCCGAAGACAAAGAATCATCCGTGGGATATAATTTTTCAGCTTGTTCAAACATCGAAGCAATTACAGATACACCAAACTAAACAGAAAAGCGTATAAATGTAGAAACTGATGTAAAAAGAAAAGGCGAAAAATTAAAAGATTTAACAGTAAGATTTAAGACGAACCTTGTTTGTTAGAGCAAAAGCTAAACTGTTGTTCTTGATTGGTTGACTAACGGAGTCGGATAGTGACCGAGCTAGTCGAAGCATCGTACCAAACTCGTGCACAGTATCGAACCAACGTTGAAATTCGGAATGAAGGCTTATTAATAGGTGAGAATCTCTACGACCTATTATAGCTAATCCTCGGAATATCGCATTCCATAATTCTTCTAATTGATTACGATGTTCCGTTAGATTCAAGTATGGCAAGAACCTCAATAACAGCGTCTGTGATAAACAATAATATTCGAACGATCGACATATAAGTTTCTTTATTCCTTCCTGTCTTTCCTTCTTTTCTTATCAAATTTTCCTGTTTTTTTTCTCCCTAACAGCACAGTATTTTGTTCTTAGCTTACTTACCTTCCCTTTCCGAATACTTAGCATGCTTGCTATTTTATCATCATGTATTAACTGAAGAAAAGCCGATAACATCATACTTATTAAATCTGAACTACTTTTCTTATGGCTATTTGCTTCGGTCTCTCCTTCTTGGTTTTGTTGTTGGTTTTGTTCACTAAGCAGAGCCAAAGGATTGTGTAGATCTTCAAGTTTTAATTGGATTATATATAACTGGAAATATAATCGTTCAGAATCACAACAGAATAGAATGTTTGTTAATTAAAGAAATAAAAAAAATACCCTTTCAATTTCCAGTAATAATTGTCTTGTTCGTTTTGTATCCTTTTGCTGTATTTGGGTAGTTAATTGAGGATCGCTGTTCGGTACAACATCCATATCAATAACTTTACGTGGCGCTATAACACTCGCATATTGTAATTTTCCTAAAGAATTCTCAAACTGTGTTGGCGTATATGCGGATTTTGAAAGTACGTGATGTGGTTGTTCACGATCTCTGAAAATAAACGTAATAACGACGTTAACGAAGAAGCCTGATAAAAATAGAATATAAGAGAAAGAAAAAGAGAAAAAATGAGATACAAAGAAAGCTTCACCTGGTATCTCTATGATAACTATTATTATTATTATTATTGTGTTGCTTTTTATCTTTTTGTTCTTGATTTATACTTTGTCTGTTTCTTCTATCGCAGAAAACGATGTAATAGTAATCATCAACATACGGCTCGTTTGTGTTAAGTTGCAATAATTGAATATTAATTAACCACTGTTTCTCTCGACTACTCATGAGACCGGCGTAGTCATCGTATGGTTCACCCGAACCTATTACACCATTTATTCCTTGACAGTGGTGATTGTAATGATAATGCCGTTGATTATTTCGATCATGGTTACGATGATACTGATTATTTTTAAAAAATGGTTGATGATTTCCTTGTTGTTCTCCATGATGAAAAACTCTATTTTGATTTCTTTGATTTCCAGAGTGTGAAAAAGAATGTTGCTGTTGCTGATGACTACTCTGATTGCTAGAGAAAGGAGGTATTATGCTATGGTCTGCTCGTAAGAACGGAGGAGGACATAAGTTCGAAAGCGGTGGTTGCTGCAAAAGAACAATAAAAAAAAGAAAATTTTTTCTTTCAAGTTACTCTCAAAAGATTCACGTATTAATTATTAAATAAACAATGAAACTTACAGGAAAATTATTGCAAAACGAACCATGAATTGGTTGCCTCTGAGAAGTATGAGGCAACATCGCATAATGGGCCGCTATAGGGTATCTTAGTACATTTCCAGTTTGATCTATGAGAATAAACATGTGGATTGTACAAATAAAAAAAGAAAAGTGTATTTGTGCTTATATTTGTATTTTTTATTGAAATTTGCTCGTTGCAAAAAAAAAAAAAATATAATATACTTACTGGGTAATAATCTAGGATGTTGTAAAAATTGAGGATGAGGAAATCTCATGTTTGGTGGTAAAACAACAGGATGTGGAGGTGGCATACCCAAGCCTGGTGGAAAGCGTGGTGCTGCAGACAAAGATTCAAACAAAAGCGATCCATCTGATTTTGGTTGTTGTTGTTGCTGTGTCTGAATAGGTTTATTCAATTTAGGTGGTATCCTATTTGCAATGAATCCTTTCTCCAATTGTTCAACAGTACAAACATTGGTTAAAGTGGATGGTAAAGTTAACGGTGGTCTGGGTTTAGGAAGGGCTAAGTTGGAAGGGCTATCCCAAACTCCAGGACGCGGAATGATACCTTCTTTCTCATCTAGTACCAAATGGGATAAATTATCTTCGATATTTGTATCGATTACTACATTCTGCAACAATAATTATATGAGTTTAGCTAGTTTGCCATTCAGATATTGTATATAAAAAAAAGAATAAAGCTTCGACTCATTTGTTTACTTTTTTGTCCGAAGTACCCTGATGACGGCTGGATTCTGTAATTTCTGCGAGTTTCTCATGGTCCTTCTCCCAGTCGCCAATAGTGGCTTCAGAACCAAACGTTTCATCATTCAAAGCATCATATTCTTCCTCTTCTCCAAGATCATCTTCCTCAAACGGACACTCGAGGCCATCCTCTAAACCGCTATTCTGTGTAAATCAAGGAAAACAAAACAAGGTAAATAAAACAGAAATGTTATTAAAGAAACAATTTATCAGATGTACGCTATTAAATAAAAATTAATTCTTTCGAACGCAAGCTAGAGAAAATTTCAACAATAGAAGTGTATGCGAGCAGTAGCGAACGATTTGACGAACGTTCATTCTCCTGATTTCACTGAAATAATACGTATACGAGTCGTCCAATGGTGAACTAGAAAGAAAGGAAACGGAGGAATAAAAATGAATACAACGATAATTGGCAGGAAGATAGCAGTGTTAATGACCTTTGAAGGGATCAAACGTTGGCGAGGTTATGCGACATACCTCCATAACGACTCGAGGCAATACGTACTATGTATTTTAGAAATGATATATGTATACATAAAGAAATAATATGCGAACTCGAGGTACCAGGAATTTGCTAAATAAACTTCGTCGATGTACATATCGTAACCAGGCTATCCATTGTCGAGAAATTGCACGAACACTGTTAAATTCATTTTGCTCTGGGAAAACCACAACGCGACTCTCGGTGAAAAAGTTGTGCACGATCTCGCACTTTCGTCGCCGTGTTTTCCACGTTTTTCAAACAGAGTTGAGAACAAAAAGATACCTTCGATAGAAACCGGCTTACTTACTGCAAGTGACGTATCAAAACCGAAAAAGAAGTCTGCCATTTGTTGAAATTAAATGTGCAAAATGACATGTTCTGACCAAACGTCAAGCGATACGAAATGCATCAGCTGTCATGGCGGTTATACTGTATAAATTCGCAGCCGCATTCTAGATGTCGCGGTCGTTTCTAGAAAAGAGAGTTAAAGCTATAGAATATTTATCATTTTGCGTATGGGATACTCGAACAAACTGTACAATTGAAAAATCGTACTGAATTTTCTCTAACAGGAATATTATCGTTATCGTACGTGTACGTTTTTCTCAATTAAATCTATGGAAACAAAAACCTATCGTAAAGCGTGTGGCACAATCGCCATTACGAATATCAAGCTACTCTTAGATTACGTACTCACATACTCATGTGCTATTTATTAATTGGAGATAATTTGCGTTCGAAACGTACCTTAAACATATAATAATAATAATAACAATTATAATGATGTAGATGATGATGATGATGATGATAATAATAATAATGATAATTATAATAATAATAATAATAAAAGAGGGGAGTATTATATTAAAAACGACGAGTGAATCGAATGTGCATTTTTATTGCCATCAAGTCTTTTTAAATCGTGCTAATATTCTTTAAATTTCTTCATCCTAATTTTTTAACGTTGAACGATGATCCACGCGTTAAAGAACGTTAATGTCTAATCGCTTAATTGGCGGACTGTGCAAGCTCGATACCCCGTATACCCTGAAAAATTTCCAAGTATATAATAGAGTAATGTGTATACGCACGATCGTGTTGGGCTCGGGATACAGAACTGGGCGCGCTTGTATATGCGCCTGCGTGTGCGCCACGCGCGAAACGTTAGCGCGGCGAACAGGCTCACGTTCTCGAGGAGCGCGCGCGTTATCGAGCTCGAAAACGAAATCGCAAGTTACTTAAGTTACTTAAGTAGATTCAACGGATGCTGCCAACGGTTTAAACGCTGCTAGTGACGTGACAGTCGTCCAACGTGGCTAGACTGCTGGCCCTCAACGACGCCAGACTCAAGGAACTGTGATTCAAAGTATTTATGCCATGAGGATCTTCGCAATGCAGGTACAATCGTGAACTAACGGACTTGTGACAGTCGGGACACAGACGTTTCTTCTTCTTGTCGCGTCTCTTCAAAATGTCGTATGCACACCTGCAAGTCGCACGGGGTTCGGTGTGAAGTTAGTAAGAACGACCCGAACCAAAGTAAAGAGGGAAATTTACGTTTTCGATTTCGCTTCACCTGGCATGTAGTATGTGAGAGCAGGGCAGCGCTTCCAAAGAGTCGGCCTCGAGGCCGAATGGCTCGTTGCAGCCACCGCATCGCAATTCCAAGTCTTCCTCCATTGCCATGGCTAATCTCTCGTGATGAGCCTTCTGTTCCTCGTCTCCGAGAGAACCGTAAATTCGCGAGAGCCTCGATCTCACCGTTCGTACCAGGAACTACGTTCCAGAGAAAGGGAAAAGAGAGAAAGAAAGAGAGAGAGACAAACAGACAGAGAAAGAGAGAATACAGTTGTGTGTGGTGCAATAAGGATTGGAAAGGTAGGGAACAATAGAGGTGAGGGATCAATTAAGAGTAGAAAAAAAAAAGAAAAAAAAAACGAGAAGGCGAAGATGAAGCATCTCTTACCTTCGCACCGACTGATCCAGCTACTTCAAGCAGCCTGGTATTGAATTCAAGAGGACGACAGTTGCATATTTTGTGTTGGAGTCGGAGAGCTTCGAGACACCTCGCGGCACCGTCCATAGCCTCCATTTGACAGAGTCGGTCTCCGGTCGCTGCCGCAGAACCCATTGCGCTCTCGTACTGTCGAAATGCTTTCTACGACCAATTAGACACGTAATACGTAACTGTGCATTTTGTTTCTTTTACCCGGTAATAATTCGTTCGTTCAGTTTTTCGTTTCTTGTACGTTCTACATGCTTACATTTATATCAGATTTTTTCCTATAGATATCTCCCATTATTCGTATACTCCTGGCATAACTAGCCTGATCTCCGGAAACGAGGGACAATCGCGTTGCCTCCTGTAGTAACACAAGTTCACGAAATTAAAATATACAATGAGAATAAGAAACAGCGGGCATTAGATGGAAGCGGCGAGCGTTTAGATGTCGAAGATTGCCTACCGAACAGTAATCGTGGGCATCGCCGAGTTCTCCTTTTTTCCGAAGCGCCGCTGCCATTTGGAGAAGAGCTGCCCTGTGATGTCGAGAGTTTAAGTCGCCCAATTGCAAGCTTCTCGATAAGTCGTACGCTCTAGCCGCGTACCGAGCACTCTTATCGGCGTCATGTAATCTGCAGAACAGCTCCGACAAACCGACGTATACCTGCGAATTAATAAACGCGCATGTACACGAAGAGACATACCCAATCATTTCTCCCTCAATCATTTCACATGTTGTTGCTTACCTGCAATTCTAACGACGGGTCTTGAATCGAATGAGCAATCTTGTGAGCTCTTTGAAAAGCTTCCAAAGCTTTGCAAAATCCTGCTAGCTCCAAGTGAACTCTGCCTACGGTCAGATGAACCAATCCAGCAGTCGCGCACTGATCGCATTCATTGTACAAGCTGCGAGGCAACGTATAGAATAATATCTATCGTTCATATCCTTGCCGAGTCGACGAATCGAGCAATGGCGACAAAACTCGAACGTGTACTTATGGTACATAGAGCGAATACCATTTTAGAGAAAGAGATGGATACCTATGTCTGGCATAGTCCAAGGCCCTATCGAGCGCGCCCAATCTTTCGTGCGCCCTCGCTAGATTTAAGTACGCCTCTGCCCGCATGTTCGGCGAATCCAATTCCTCGGATATGCACAATTGTTTGTGCCCGAAATCGATGCTATCTCTGGAAATACAGGCATACAATGAGAATAATCGTAATCGCGGCATTATGCTAGTGTGTTTCTAATTTGTAATCGGTAGAATGAAGCAAGATGTCGGACGACGAGTTTCGATCAAGATCGGGAGTTCCATTCGTGGCGAGGTCGAAGTGCACTGAATGCCCTTTCAGTGGACAATGAGCGTAACGAGCATCCGCAAGCAATAGCTAACGTGAGGTTTGTTGGTTGGTTAGGCCGTTGGTTAGCTGACCAACTGGTTGGCTGGCTGGTATCTTTCCCGTATCTTGCTTCTCGCGTCCAGAGAGACCAATGAAAAAGCTTGGTTAGCGTGTCAAGGATCTTCGAACGTGTCTCCTTTCAAATGTCGTGCGTCTCACTGACTAAATACTATCTCTTGCTTATAATAATAATATACTATCACTCTGTTAAACTTATTTCTCTTTCTGGTTCGTAGTTTAAGCTACGTGTAAGGCTGACAGTGATCATAACGATGAAGAGGATTTAACAGCCTCGGTTTCGACGAAACATCGTCATCGCATTTTTCACTTTCTTACTTTCTTTTCTTTTCATTTCATTCGTCTCTCCACCATTCCTATCCGTCTCTCCCGTTCTGCCTTCCTCTTGACTCTATTGTCCTGTTCTCCATCCTAGTTTTCATTTATTCTGACACCAAGACCACTCGTCTCTGATTACGACTCGAATTACGCACAAGAAACGAAAGATCTTTAAGCAACGTTCAAATTTGACGAAAAAAGAAGAGAGAGACACGAGCTTTAGATTTGAAAGTTCGAAGGGAATTTGCGAGGCTATCGAAGTGGCTTGAAGCACAGAATTATTCCGTTCGATCTTTGAATACGTACCTGTACTTGCCCCAATCCATATAAGCTTGGTACAAATAGCCGAGAAGAGCGAATTTATCCTCTCGTTGTCTGATGTTCTTCAAAGCGCCTTTCCATTTGCGAACGGCAGCCTGTTGTTTATGAGCGCGGTACAGTTTCAAGCCTTGTTCCACCTGAAACAAGCGAAATAACCACGCGTGGAGACTGGCATTCGTTCGGAAGTAGCGGGTTGTTCGCGGCTGCCCTCGTACCACCCGGAAAACGAAATCGGTCGCGTTACGCGTTTCCAAGTGCCGTTTGTAACGTCGCGCGTAACATCGCTAAGCTAAAGCGACGAGGGAGAAGGTCGTATCGATTCGGCCTTGAACTTCCTCCACCGGTGGTTTAAGATCCGCCGATCCCGTGTAACATAAATAGCGCACGGTCGACCTCGGCGATACCGGAGGGAGCAAAGCGATCAGACTACGACGCGGTAACGCGTAAACGTAACGCAACTTAACGTGCTTGACGAGCTTCAAGCGCTTTCCCGATCAACCGGAAACCTTTTCCCTTCCTGACTCGTTCCTCCTCGTTCCCATCCTCTCTCTTCCTCTCCCGTTTTTCTTCTCTTCTCTTTTACGGATGATGCCGTAATCGCGTGATCGCGCGTCCGTCCGCAGGTTACGCGACGCAAGGATGCAAGAACACGAATTAACAGGGATCGATTTTACAGCTAGCGTGACTCGCAATCAACGTCGCGTGCATTTCGTTCGAGTTCTCGACAATGACCGTGAGGGCGAGAGAAGGGGGAGAAGAAGTGACGAGGACACGGCTGCGCGCGGAGGTCGCCGATCGCGATAAAAAGAAAAAAAAAAAAAAAAGAAAGAAGAGAAAAAAATCACAGTCGCCCTAGATAGATAGATAAATCCGTGATGCTGTTTTTACCCGTCTTCGCGCCATGTGCTGGTCCAAGCGACGTCTACAGCCTACCAGACATTCCCACAAACCAGAGCCGGACCTGCCGTTCTGGTAATGGCCGTTCCCATTCGAGTTCTGATGGTGATAGTCCTCTTCGGCGAACTCGCAGACATCCAGCGGATGCCGCGATCCGTCCGGACTCCCCAGCAAAGCGGTCGCGGAGAGTTGATGACTGGCCGGTCCGCTGTAAATTTCCAGCAACGATTTGTTCAATTCTCTCGCCGAGTGCATTTTCCTTTCTCGACACGCCGGCCAAACGAGCACGACCGCGTCGAGATCGAGGAACGCCTGTATCACGCGGTGTCACCGAAGACAGTTTGGCATCGTTCCATCCGCCGTATCTGGATTTTCTTACCGCCAACGTATCTATCTACGTTTTCGGATCAACGTACCACCGCATTGCGACCCCTCGGCCTTCTATTCTCCAGCTACTATTATCTTGGAACGCGATCGCGTTCGCCGATCACATCGCCGACAGAGCGATCCCGTTGTCGCGCGTACGACGGAATTTATCAACTTTACGACGTGATACGACGCATCTCTATTTGGTTGCAGCGGCAATAACAACAACAATAACAATAACAACAACAACAACAACAAGAACGGCAGTAGCAACAGCAATTAGTCGCTGTGGCTGCTACGACTACGGCGGTGGATAATATCGGAGAGGCGCGCGTATCCGATCGCGGAATTCCGTTTGCCAGCTCGAGACGAACGACCTGTGTGCTAGTCACCGTGGGCGAGGCACCTGTGACCTCTTTTCCTGACCTATATACCAACTTGCCGAGTACCGCCGCGGCACCGCGACAATTGCCCCTCCCGTTCCGTTTCCTTCCGCGTTTCGGCACTCGGGAGGAACCCGAAACCCATTTCGAGCAGGCAAACGAATCGGTCCACTCGACTCCCCCTGTCCGAATGAGTTTTCTCCTTTTTTTCTCTCTCTCTCTCTCTTTCTCTCCTTTTCTCGACTTCGGGTCGATACTTGCCCGAGGTAATCTCTCGAAGAGATAGATTCCCACGACATGATTGCTACTGCTTTTCCTCGTTACTTCGTCCTTCGGTATGCGTGTTCCGATACACCCGCGAGACAAGAGCATATCGATTTCCCGTGGCTCGATCTCAACTTCCCTCGTCGGCAGCGGCATTCCTTCGACGATGCACGCGAATCGTTGTCGTCCCGAAACGGCACAGCATGTTCCTCTTGTTACGTCGCGTCGACGCTCGGTGTGCCATTACGGGTGTACGTGCGGCTCGTCGGCTCGACTCTTTCAATCTCGCGACTACTCGTTTCGGATCTCGAGTCGAAGAAAATCCAGGACTGAGTCGACTGGCAATGATCCTTCCGCTACGCCTCCAACGTGCGCGACGATAACGCCGATCAAGCAGCGAAACAACGTTTGAGGTAGCTTCGTTCAGCGACGCATCCTTGCGTTATCCTTGCGTTTGGACGAGTTTCTCTTTTGCGTGTCGACGGAGTAAATTACGTTCGCGCGATTCGGAAAAATAGAGCTTCTGCCTTCGCGAATCTTTGTACTTGCGTTTTAATTGAGCATCGCGCGAAAGAACTTGCTTTCCGAGAGTTTATCCAGCGTGATTCCCACGGACAGGCCGAAAAGGGATTGATATAGTTGGAAAGAAATAGATGGATACAAAGAGAAGAGATAGAGAGAGAGAGGGAGAGAGGCGAAGAAGGAAGAAAGGAAGGAAGGAACGGAGGAAAGGAAGAGAGACTGAAACGAGAAGAATTGGGCCACGGGGGTGGGTGGTGGGTAACGCGGGACGGGATGTATTCGACGAGTGCCAGGAATCGAGCCACACGTAAAGGGATCGACTATCAAGCAGCAAATAATTAACGTCCTGGCAATTTATTTTCAATTCAACTATCTTCGTACGACCCAATCGACCGTGTACCTGCCCGATCGAGCGATATCTCGGAAAGCCACGACTCTCGCGCTTTACTATAATATACTTGACTCTTTGTGCTTCCACGCTTCGAGCGTTCCAGGCCTTATCCCCCTTTCCTATTAAATCTGATTATCGTTAAATGCATAACATTTCTATAATCTGTGACGTAGTAACGAGACATATAGATATATTCGCGCGCGCTGCTGAATTTTCGGTCACGTACTCGTGTCTAAGTACTCGTGCGAGCCACGAGAACGTGCATTTGTGTGTGTATATATATATATATATATATAGATATATATATATGTATATGTATATTATATCTGTATGTATGTATGTATGTATATATATATATATATGTATATATGTATATACGTAACAACTATTTGTATGTATCGAACACAATGGTACTAAAGATAAAGCAAGAACACGACCGAAAAGGTTCGGCCGTAACGCATCGCGTCGTTAACTCGTCCGTTTCATTGTCCGAAATGATCGTGTCACTTGCTCGATCTCGATCGACGACGCGCGATGCGTCGCAACGAGCTACTCAACCGACACGGCGTGTGTCTCTCACGATCAGGCTCCCTCGCTATGCCGATTTCTCCCGCGTAACTTCTCGATCATCGATTCGTTCGTTCTGTTTCTTTGTTTCTCGTCATCTCCAGCTTTGTCCCGGGGTAGCTGATTGAAATGTAGTCGCGCGCGCGGCAGCGCGCGCCTACACAAACACCCACGCACCTTTGACTCGAAACTTCAGACAATCGGGGCGAAGTGGAAGAAATTCGCGCGAGATCAAAGATTATTCCTTGTCTTTTTAATCCGCGACGATCGAGACGGCTCCGACGCCTACTGAGTGACGCGATCACTGAGCGAATTAGGTAATCGCGAGTCTGCCACCCTTTCCGTCTCGCGTACCGAAAAGCGAAGCTCGTTTCTCTCGTGCTTTATGGATATTAAAACATCGAACGAGAGTCTTCGAGACGAAGGAGTCGACTCGGGATCGTAACGGCGGCCGAGACTGATAGAGAGGAGGTTCTCGTCGATGACGATATCCAGCGTCGATTCAAAGCTGCGGGAAACTCAGCTTTCAAATCTGTCGCTGCAAGTTCCAGGTTGGCGAATCGTACACGTTTGGGATTAAAACGCGTGGTGTCGTGGCATCTCGGGTACGTGGGATTGGTAACAGCGACGATCTCGTTCGGTTCAAGACGTCTCCACATGCCGTTGCCTGACACCCTCTTTTCTCCCCTTTCGCAACTTCTCTTCTCTATCGTTGCCCGATCTACACCTCTTCTTTCTGCGTCTCCTTCGTGTTGCTTCGCCTTGCCGCCGCGGATGACGTTTGTCCGATTACCTCGAACAGCGACCTCGAGCGCGCGTCGCGCGTTCCACCGGCGATGGGACGGTCCGAAAAGCTCGGAAACGCGGTCGAATCGTTACGGATCGCGATCGGATCCGCGGTTCGACTGTTCCCGAACCGTCGGGAGGATGTCGTCCACCTATCGTTGCCTCGTGTACCGTGCTCGCCTCGCGAAAATCAACCGGCAATGGTCGGGGTAGAACTGTCGCGCCCGAGCCGCAGCAGCCCGCAACACACGACCCGACCGATTCTCTCTTCTCCTTCCCAACCACCTCTCGCCCCCTCGTAAACCCCTCACAAACCCCTTGCAAACCCCTCGCGAAACCCCTCTCCTTTCTCTCTCACTCTCTTCTCTTCCACCCCCGGCCCATGCTCTCCTCTCAACCCCTCCCTCCCTGCTCTCTCTCTCTCACGCCCTCCGCTCCCCTCGTCGTCTTGCTTCTCTTCCACGCTTTCCAATACCATCCACTACCCTCTTCGCGTCGTCACCCTCGCTCTATGCTCTCGCTTTTCTCCTCACCTCCTGCCGCATCGCCCTGCCACGTTTTACCTCGGCTCTCCTTTCCACCGATCATTGCCATTCCCTCTCCCTCCTCCTCCACCCCCCCCCCTACTCCCTGCAACCCCTGCTCTATTCTGTCCTCTTTCCCTTCCTGTACACGGGTACACATGTACACACACTCGCGGGGATGCGCGAGCGATCGAGCACACAGAGGAACGGAATCTCTTCCGTATCCGGCAACGGCCCATCCCTACGTGCTTTTCGGCTCTTCTAGCCTCGTTGCAGCTGCCAACGATTCCTGTCCGATCTTCCTCTTTCACCTCGGACTCCTCTCGTCTTTCGCTAGCGGAGACGAGACTCTTTTGCCGGACGTTTCGACAAATCACCGAACAGAGCGAACATCAATGTCGCAAACAAGCATTCGACACCGTCTTTCCACGAAGGACGTGGATACACTCTGGAACGAAAGGGTCCGCTCATCGTCCACTCGGAGAGAAGTAAATCGAAGTGAACGGGTAGGGAGAGACAAGCAGGCGGCGTGCCGGCGTTAATTATCTAACTTGACCCGCGAGTTTCCCTAAAAATGGGCGAGGCATTGCCCTTTCCTGAACTTTCAGCTTTGCCGGATGAGGTATCCCAGCCAACCGAATCCTGAAAGGAGAAGAGAGTGACCCGTTTTTCATCTCGCTCCTCTGATCCGGATCGTTCGCGTTGCGCGCGGTTCTCCCTCTTCGTTTTCGACACGATCGTCGCCGAGCCGCTCCGAGATTTCACGAGAACCGTGGCCGTTCACGGGGGTGCAATACAGAACCACCACCACTACCACCACCACCACCACCACCACCACCACCACCATCACCACCACCCCTGCCACACGTATCAAACTTTCTCTTCGTGCTTAGCTACTTACTACCATTTACATGCATACGTGTTATACTTTTGTCGACTCAGATATGCGCTTCTACACACGAATTCCCGTTCAATGTGCTTACGTCACGAGCACCGTGTTATTCTCGCAGAAAACATTGTTATCTCGCCGCGTCGATAGCGGATCCACCGGCAAGATCCACCGCGTTTCTCGCGAGACTGAAACTCTCGCGTTGGCTCTTCCTCCCTTGCGTCTCATTCCTTCCAATTGTACCGCGACGTTTTGCAGATCTACGTGAAATCTTTCGTGAACTGTAAAATGCCGCTTGTCACTCGCGCCGGTGTCCCTTTCCGCGATGTCGTTTCGCTATGTAGGTAAAGGGGCCACCGGTTCAAGGTCGATCTTAGTCATTCGTAGAATCTAGCCGGCGTGTTCGTATTTCTCTGTCGTGTCGCTCTGATTCGAAATTCTCTCCTTCGTTTCTCCTCCCCGCCCCCCTCCCTCTTCGAGCCTCGTTCAACGATCGCTCGTTTCTTTTCGTTTTCCCGTCCGATTACACGGAAATTAATTTCCCGCGGTTCTATTTGATTACGCGGAAATTAATTCCACGTTGTCCGTCTCTGGGGAGGGAGGTACGCCTCTGGAAGCTTTATTCCGTTCGATACGCTCGAAGTGGCTCGAGGGGGAAGAGAAAGTCGATCGCGTCCCTGACGCGTCAAAGTACGAAAAGATACGATGGCATCCGTCGCGCTGCCTCGCTTCGCCTCGCGATCAGTCACCATCCTCGTTTACCGTGTCAACGTAATTTCCACTTTGAATCTTTGAAGCTGAAGGCCAGCCTGTTGTAACTTTAGTCAATGGCCCGGTCGATGAAGAGATTTTCATCGGCGATCAAACACGCGAAACGAAAGCTCGAGATAGTTGGGGAGAAGAGCGGGGAAGCGGGAGGAGGGTTGCGCGTTTGAATCGACGAAAGCGACGTGAAGCAACGCGGAGGATCGCGAACAGGAGGATGGATCGTCGAAAGGAAAGCAAGCGGAGGAGGAAAGCAGGGTGTCGTGACGAATCGCGAGGAAGAAAACGGAAAGATCGGGAACGCGGTATCGACACACGGTTAAACCACACCCCGGTGTGACGAGATTTGACCAGCCATTAGATTCGAGCAGGGTAAGGAGAAGAGGCGGGACGATGCTGGTCGATCCCGGAGAATTTCCACGGTCTCTAATTGGTCGGTTTCTCGTCGAAAATAATCCATCTGGGTGTAACCAGCTGCTAAACGTAGCTCGTAAAGTGTTTGAACGTAGCTGGCTAGGCGTGTGGGTTTTGGCGGTCGTGGAACGTGGTCCTACCGAGCGCGAGCGCGAGCGCGAGCGCGAGTGCGAGCGTGAACGCGAATGCGAACGTGGCCGCTTAGGAAAGTCGACGAGAGCGTGTTCTCTTACGAGAGGAGAGCTTGCGGGCCGCATTCGCGCACGTTTCAGGGCCACGCGCCGGCTGTCGGAAAGCTCTCGTCGCACTCTGTGCCGTGACGGTTTCATTTTGCGCTTTTCACTTCACTTCACTTCACTCCGCTTCGTTAAAAACTGCCACTCGTCTCGTACACCTTCGGTTATCGATCGTCAATCTTCTTCACACATTCACACAGATCTGTACGATATTGTACATTTGCACTCGATTTTCCGAACAACGTGCGTGTATCTTTCGTTCGCGTGGCCATCATCTTCAGTGGGTTTCGATTTGTCTGAAAATCGAGCCCGGTCGTTCGATCGATCGATCCTTCGACAGGTCGTTAACGAGAACGGAAATGGTAACCGGAACGTGGCCGTTGCTCGCGACGATCGCGATCGCTCGTCGCGATACGTGGTGCTGCTCTCGACGTGAGAATTGATCGTATCGCGAATCACGAGGCTGCCCCGCGGAAACGTATTGGCGACGGAAGTGTCCAAGACGTGTTCCGCTTGGTTTCAAACCAAGGAAAAGGAAGAGGTGGAAGGGGCAGAAAAGGAGAGAGAGAAGAAGAAGAAGAAAGAGAAAAGAGACCGCGCGAAGAAGAGCCTCGTATCGATGTGTCTCGCGAAAAACGATGACTCTCGTGACAGACACGGTGTCTTACGCTTGTCAACCGGTTGGTAGACAATCCTACGACGTTTATCGCCACCATCACCTACAACTTCGTCACCATCATCATTTGCATCGTTACTATCACCATCGACATCACTATCATTATCACCATCATCATCATCATCATCGTAGACGACGAGACACGTACGCGTCTACCGATGATCCAGCGATCGAGTGCCTGCAAGGATACCTGTCCGAGGGAAACGTGGAAGAGGAACCGGGCAACCGAGTGATCGAAACAGCCGAGAACGACTCCGCGTTAGGATCTACCAGCTCTCATCGTTATCGGTAACGACAACACAACATCGTTTTCATTCTCGTCGAGAGGTTCGACAACTGTCGTCTCCTCTTTGTCATCTCTGCCGCTTCTTTCTCTTCTCTTCTTTCTTCCTTTCCTTTCTTTTCTTTTCTTTTTTCTTTTTTTTTGAGACTCGAAGCGAAATTCAAAACGCCAGCAACCGCTCCTCCATTGATAATAACTCGAGAATGAACTCGCGACGACGGTTTTATCGCACGTCCAACCATTTTCACTTCGTATTTCGTGCCCCGTTTAACCGCGTTTAACCATCTTGAATCCATCATCGCACCGAACCGTGCTCCCGTGGATCTTGTGTTGTCAACCACCTGGAACGATTCCAATTGGGAACGACATTCTTCGTAAAACACGGTGGTAGATGATCTCGCGATCCACGTGGAGCGGCGCAACGCGACAGTTTTTCTTAACTGTTCGACTGGTTCTCTTGCGAGGAAAGCAAGAGGAAAGAAAGGAAAGGAGAGGAAGGAGGAGAGGAGAAAAATAAAGGTGAAAAGGTAAAAGTTCGCGGTGGGTCGATAGGTCGCGAGCGTCGAAGTACGCTGTGGACTCGGACGACGCGTCGTCTGTCGTATCAGTGGATGCCTCGGCCGATCTCGGCGAGTCCGGCTCCGTGGAGGAGAGCACCGAGGGTAACGAATCGAACGAGCCAATCGAACCTAACGAATCGAGCGAAAGAAGCAACGAGTCGAACGAGCACGAGCACGAGCACGTGCCACATCCTCACGCGGCTCTAGACACCGCTGACACCGCCTCGACCCACGGACCACGCCGGTGTCTGCTCTGGGCTTGCAAAGCCTGCAAGAAGAAGACCGTCACCGTCGATCGAAGAAAAGCTGCTACCTTGCGGGAAAGAAGGCGTCTGAGAAAGGTTAGTTAGAAGCAGAGGTACATCCTACAGTGGGTCAAAATAGTATTGGCACATCTATTTTCATTTTTTTTGACGATATCTCTGTGAAAATATATAACAAAATCTGTTTCCACAAAGAATTTCTTACATACAAACGTAATGTATGCAACAGCAATTTCTAACATCATCTTGAGCAAGGTTTTTAATGGCAGTCGTTGTTCATTGTTACCGAAAGATACACAATTCTTCGGACACCATCTACACTTGATCTAGAATACTTGATCACATTCCTCAATTGCATATAGCTCTTTTACCGAAATGTTTTCCTTAACGAAACGCTGTTGATATCCTTTATGAATATTATATCAGAAAGTTATATTATTTCATCGTCTCAAAATGAAATTTTACGAATTTCTGACACATTGATCGTAGATCAATGGATTTTCGACATAGAAGTTTTTTCCAGTTATCGGTTTCATCCCGTGCAGCAAAAGTATTATTGCCTCTCATTTCGAAAGACTGCTTCTGGGACAGTAATTCACAGCGATTGTTGGAAAGCATACGCACAAATAAATAAAAATATGTATAAACGTCGTGTTGCAATGAATTTCACTGATCCAGACATTGATCCGAACGTTTATACATGAAATGTCGAACGATTAATGTCCGTAGAAATATTTCTACGTATCGACGAAGAGATTACCATTTTAATCACTACATAGCAGAATTTATGTTTAAAAATACGTACGATTTTGTCGAAAAATTAGACATTTCTTTTCAAAATAATAAACGAAAGAAAATAAATAAAATTGCGTGTAAAATACATACGTATGTATTATAGAAATTATGTATGTGTATTATCAAATAAAAATGAATGTCCAAACATTGTATTAAATTATGTAACTTTGAATAAACTTTTCTTGATAACAATTTTTTAAACAATAACGACTGTCATCAAAAACTTTCATTACACTCAAGATGATAATTTTGACAATACATTAAAAACTCGTCGAAATCGATGGTAGCTTTTTTAAAATAATCTCACTATACTTTGTAATAAATGGACCAAAACGATCTGCTAAAATTGAAACAAGATATATACCTGTATGTTCGTGTGTAATTAATACTTGGTATTTCATAAAATTTGAAATGAAATAAAAACTTTTAGAATGCAAATGGGAACATACAGACGTTTCAATCGCTTTAAAATTTCAACACGAAACGGAGACATAAAATATTATCGATATCTTAGCAGATACTCCTTTGGGATATCTATGACTGAAATATTTAACTGAATATATTTCCACTTCTATTTGTGATATATGTTATTATACAAGTGTGCCTAACATAAGATCAAAGATCAAAATTAGATTAAAGAGTCTCATTAGAAGTGAGATATATAGATATGTTTGACCGAATTTGAAGGCAAATATTTCACGCTGCAGATTAGCAGCGATTTATTTCATAATTTATTGGCACGTACGAATGAAAGCCCAATTGTACACGAAAATAAAGATACACGTAATCATACAAATTTATATATATATATGTATAAATTATATAAATATAATATATTATATTATATAAATTATATAAATATATTATATAAAGAATAATACAAGGAACAAATAGAAATAAAAGAGCAAAAAAACTAACATAAACCAATTGTAAGTATAATTTATTATTAATTGCGAAAGGGAAAAAGAAATCCATAGTAATCTATAGTTACTACATTTGCAGTTATAATAACTTGTGCAGAAAATTTTTAAAGACATCGACGTTCACCCATGAAAAATCCCTGTGATTTTGTATTTCACAATGCGTGTGATCGATCTCGTCTATCTTTCAGGTGAACGAGGCGTTCGAAGTTTTGAAAAGGAGAACGAGCAACAATCCTAATCAGCGATTGCCGAAAGTGGAAATTTTACGGAACGCGATCGAGTACATCGAAGGTCTGGAGGCGCTGTTGCAGAGCAACAGATCTTCCGTGACTCAGGATCATGATTCGACCGACAACGCGTCGGTAAGTATACACGAATTATCCTCCGATAATTCACAAAGCCCAAAACTGCACGAATTCAGGTGTTTCAACGTTTTTTCTTACGTGTTACACGGTGGCCATCTGTCGATTTCGTTGCTCTATCATCGCCAATTCTCCCGTAGAAATTATTCAGTGTTCAATGTTCAAGCGAGGGGAACGAATTCGACGGAATAACCTCTCGAGAACCGGCAAAGCCAAACACGTGTCGGACACGTGACTATGACGCGCTCGCATATGAACATTAAGTTCCACGGTTAGACATCTTTTTGCGACGTCCGGAAAGGGAAAGTATAATCGTTGGACGCGTCGTGCATTGTCATACTTTCACGCGTGGATTCGACTCGGGCACATGAATAAATTAACGAGACGCGAGTTTCCTGGAGAACCAGGAAAAGCAGCTCGGTTAAAATTGTGAAGAAGTTGGAAATAAAAGAATTCGGCCGGCTGGAACAGCTAAGAGTTAAGCTAGTCGGCTACTTCGGGATTCTTCTCGAGGGGATTATACAATGAAATATATTTTCCTGGTATTTCGTATCGCGCAAACCGGTCGACTCGTATCCTTGCTAAATATAAGCTCGGTTCTGCGCATCGATTCGTGCCACGTTAGCGCACGCTTTTCTTCCATTCCGAATGAAATTTCGTTAGCTTAGAGCTTGGCTCGCTATCATTGTTGCTGTTCTTTAAAAAATGAAGTTCGATATTTCGTTGTACGGTACAAGGGAGAATAGAATATCGCAGGATACGAGCATCGAGGGAAAGAATCACGGAATCGAGAGCAATACGATATATACTTGAAACGATTGTATAGAAGACGGAAAGCGTATAGGTTGCAAAGAAAGCGAGAAAAGATTAGAAAAATCTAGTATGTGGGGAAATTTGACAGTAAATGATCTTCGATCGAGGATTTTCATTGCTTTTGGATAAACAATGGAGAGATAAACTAAAATAAGATTTTTCTATAAAGTACCTCTGACCGTGGTATTACTAGCGACCAGAGGATGATTCTAAAATATTAAGTCGAAGAAAAATAATGAAAAACTGAAATTCAAGTTCTCGAAGAATTTCTCAAGTACATATACATATCTGATTTTAATTAATTGTGGACTTAACAGAAATGAATAATCGTTAAATGGTTATTCTACTTGCGAAAGTAGATGAGAAACATTGATTTTTCTGTTTAAGGCGATTTTGTTTCCAGGAAAGAGTTTAAATATTTAGTTAAGAATTAGTTTGTAAATTTGATTCTTATGAAATTGAAGCCTTATGAAAAAATTACATTCGCTAGTAGAATAACTTTCTGTTCGTTATTTATTACTGACCAGTCCAGAATCAGTTAAATTTAAGTACTTGATAAATTTTCAAGCTTGATTCTCTCGAAAACGGAGAGTCTTGAATTAAAAATTTCATTCTTTCCTCTCGACTCGTTTTTACATCTCGTTCATCATTTATATAAGAATTAGTTAAATTCAAATGTACTTGATAAATTTTCAAATTCGATTTTCTCAGAAAGTTCTTTCTTCCTTTCGACTTATATTTGCGCGTAAAGTCATCCCCTAACCGATCGTGCCACAATAACAGGTACACCCTGTACATTCGAGAAATTCAACTTTAAAAGAAGACAACTTGTATCGACCTCCGACATCGGGGACGCGAAGCTATCTTCCAGAACAAACATCGTGCTTATTTAAAGCAGCCGTTTTACTCGTGAGCACCAGCCGGCTAACGTATCCTACTTTACGATAAAAGCTCCTCGATTTCACTTCGCGTCTCGTTCCCAAGCCGCGTCGCGTCGCGTCCACAGTTTCATCGCGTTCATCTTCCAAAAAAGCCGCGGTCGTTTTCTCAAACTTGTACCAACGAAGCAGCAGCGTTCCGATCAAAAGTCAAAACATCGCACAAACCGTGCTCCATCTTTTTTCTTCTATCGCCACTCGCGTTGCGCTGGAAGGATTTTCTCCAAATCCTTCGGCAATCTCGAATTTAGCGCGTCCACCGAGCGCAATTTTGAATCTCCTCCCAGGTAGAACTATTATCTTCGCGGAAAGTACATCTGGTTGACGATGGCCTTTTGTAACAAATCGCGAACGCATGAACGTAAGTACTTTACGTATGCACGCACTCACGATACGAAGCAATGAACACTGCGGCAACGAACTGCCTTTACTCCAAGAATAGTCGCCTGCGACGACGTATATAGATATACACTGAAACGGATACAATGTGTATACGATTTTTAGTATTTGATAGAAGGCGAAGAAAGCAATATCTATCGGCAATTTATTCGAGAAAGTTACCCTTCTTCTTGATAAGCTTCTCGTACGTTGATGCTGAACATTGATAATTTAATAGGTTGAACGTCTGCTATGCTAATTGATTTGTAGTTATTTTTCTGGTTTTCTGAATTTAAATTGCTCTTCTACCTCTTCGTCGTACACTTTGAATTACAAGTACACTTTGACCGTTTCATTTCCGGCTCTTCATTATTAAAAATCCACTAAAAGTGACTACTATCGCTATTACACACATTGCTTTTTGAGTTTCAGAAATGATTAAAAAAAGAAAACATTTGTAAAGTAGAATAGTAATATGAAAGATTTTGGTTTAGAAAACGCAGCTAATAAACGAGGATAGTATATTATAAATTGTTGAATTACCACTAGAGAACTTGCATTGAAGTTACAATACAGTGGAATTTATTTAGAATAAAAACGTGCGAACTCTTCGTTCAACCAGATACAATCGTCAAATATTTCTCGAAACTTGTTTGACAATTTTGGTTCGATTTTCTTTAAAAAAAAAAAAAAAAAAAAAAAAACAGCAAGTGAAATCCTTGATCGTAACACGTGGTTACGCGACGCAACAATTCGAGACACTGTGCGATATTTATATAACCTAACCGAACATTTCCGATAGGTTTTTATTTCGCGAGCGATCCGATATACCGATATCACCGACCATTGTTCTGTACAGAACAAGAATACTGCAAAACTGTATCGAAAAGAAAGAATAAAATCTATTCATTCAAGGCTTAAATTTAGCTGATTCTGAATTGATCAGGAATCAATAAAGAAGGTTATTCCACCTTCGCCAAAAATATAGGGTACAATTTCTTCACAAACGTGCCGCGAAGAAATTCAATTTGAAAATTTAACCAAGCGCATAATCAATTTTTAACTACGAGCCAATTCTTGGCTATATTCAAACTCTATTTTCAGGAAAATTAAATTTTAAAACTCTACGTGTTTCATTTATTCTCGGAGATAAAATAACTTCTGCCGTTCGTTATTCGAGCAGACTCGATAAATTACAATTCTCTCTCTCAAAAAAAAAAAAAAAGAAACAAAGTCTTCGATGAACAAATATTTTCTGCTCGTGTCATTCTCGCTTGTAGAGTAATCATTCCGCAGTTGATTGCCCACCGAGGTATGCGGGAACACCTCCGTGCAGTATACTCATAATTTACTGGAACGGTTAGAGCCAATAATCGCAGAAGCTTGGTTCGTTATTTGCAGGATGCAGCTTCTCCGCGATACGTGACAGAACGACTGAGACAGTTCTCGGACCCTCTGGCGAGGTTTCAACCCATCAACGGTGAGTGAGATTCTATCCACGAAACGGTAATTTTCGTTCGTGTCGCTACGCTGAAAACGCGTGGAAAGACAGGAAGCGACTATTAAGGAGCGTGCGACCCATCGACGACCGGCTTCTCTAGGCCTGTTCGCGCTCGACTCGATTCCAAAATGGTAGGGGGATCGTAGCGCGCGCGATATACTGGTATTTTTAAGTAGATTAATGCTTGACACGAGACGGAGCATTAAGCAGATCGGTATTAACGAGTTTTGTCACCCTTGAGTGACACTCCGTTTCTATTCCGTTACACTCGCTGCTATAGATAGCCCACCCGTGAGTTCCCGAGGACGAATGCAACGTCCTCCCATCCCGATACAGTCGACCGCTCGCGTCTCACTCGCGACTCCTCTTCGCGGGCTCGCGTTACTCGCTCGCGACACAGTCTGCAAGCCACGCGCCACGCGTCACGGTTCACGGTAGCACATCGTGGTACCACCCTCTACACCCTACCTTAACACTTGCACTTCCAGCGAAACGTGAAGATCGCGAAACGAGTGTTCCACGCGCGGCCAGTCCCCGTATTTATCTCTCTCTCTCTCTCTCTCTGTTCGGCTGGATATCGCTCGATGCTCAACCCCGTTTCTTAGCTATTTTCGCGCCCGATATTTCACCAGATCTGCCTGTTTTTCCGACCTGCCGAATACACGGTGGAATTAATTGGCCCAGTTTCTCGAAATAGATCACCTCTCGTCTCCGCTTTCGCGCGAATCTCTTGCGCTAGGGAAATTTTCGCACGAGCAAATCGAACGGAAACGCGGGGCGGCAACGCGGATACGCCGCTTTCGAAAACGGGGAAGAATCATCGGGGATATACTATACGCAGGCTATACCCGTGCAGCACACTTGCGCCAATTTTCATAGCGTCGCCGACTAAGCCCGTATCCCTTCGCGAGCCAAAACCAACGCTCGGATAATCCCGCTGTTCCTGATCGTTAAAATAACTCGAGATTAATTAGCGTTAATGAATATCTGGCTATTGGGCACCGTGAAACATATTTCAAGTCAGTGGGAAGAAAAACGACGCGTTTTCGTTTGCCGCGGGGACGAGTCGCAGAATCAGTGAACGTGCGCGAACAAACGGCCACCCATAATCTCGAGAAGCCCGGTTCGCCGAGTTCTTTTCTCTTTTTTTTTTTTTTTTTCCAACGGCTTGCCTCGGCTATCAGAGTAACGATAACTTTGAGCGGTTTGGACACCAACTTGGAGGAGCAGGTAACAAGGAAAAGAGCGATACACGGGAGAGAGGAGGAGAGGGAAGGAGAGAGGGAAATGATGGCAGTTGAAATTCATGGCACGAGTTTCTCGTTAAACGCAACAGTCTATAATTCACGATCACACCGCGACGCGTTCGCCAAGTTGGAGTCGTCCACGAATCGGGGAGAAAAAGAGTTTTGCGAGCGCCCCGCGGTAGGAATAGACGTCGTTGCAACGATGAGAAACAAGTTCTTCTTTGGGAACGGGCGGCTTGACGATGCCAACGGATTTATCGAACCGTAACCCACTAACGTGGATCCTGATTATTTCGATCAATGTTCCAAGCGTTGCGTTATGCCACGTAACGCAATCACGTTCGAGACGTTCATTTGCCAAGATCGGTCGACTCTCCGGGAAAAAGAAGCGGTGAATTCTTAAAATTGGTTCTTCTTAAAATTTAAACGCGAACAGAAATCACGCTTAAGTATACGGAAAATATTTAGATAATAAAGTACGTAGAACAGAATATTCTTGGAATAATTATTTGTTATGCTACGGTCGAAAGGACTTTTGCCATTTAGCGGTAAGTCTAATTATTAAAGAAATATATTTCCAACACAAAGCCACGCTTTGGCATTAAAATTTAAACAAACATTCAAAAAGTGGAGTTAATTAAATTTTTGCCTGCGATACAGAACGATTTACAGAATTTCGAGTATTTTTTTAAAAAAAATTTCTTTAGAAATTTACCATTACTTTTTCTGTACTATCTACGTTATCTACCATTACTATCTTAGAAAGTTACCATTTACTTTCACCTCGTTACTAGACTGCGAATTTTTATGCATTTCAAATTTTTATAAATACAACCAAAGAAATGAAACCTGGAGAGAAATTCATTTCTTCTGAATACTGCAACTACTGTTATATGTATATTTTTGGATATTGGACAGTGAAGTATTTTATAACGAAAGAATTCGTTCTAGAACCTTGTTCGTTATAACGTTCATTTGTTCATAGAATACAACAATATACGCATCGCGAGTTTAATTCGTGATATTTAAATTTTATGGATCTCGCACGTGTCTAAATTTATAAATTTCATTTCACAAAATCGTGAATTGCATTTCCATGCGTTCGTTGTTATATTTTAACTTGGCGTTCGTTTCTGCATTTTTGCATATCATATGCATCTTTGCGTCTTCAAAGTGATGCACAAACGTGATGCATAAAAATTCGCATTCTACTCGTCAGTTGCGTTGCGACACGGCACAATTAAAACTTATCGGAGAACGTGCGTATTCATTTCCTTTTATTTGAGCCGATGACCATATCCACGTATTTTTCGTATAATGATTTGGTGGATCGGTCGAACGATGAGAGAATTCAAGTTGTCTCAAAGCGCCATATATTGCCACGGTACATTAGTATGACACATCGTCGCCGGACCATCCTTTTGCCAACGGAATGGCCGTTTAAACGCGGCGGAAGCTGCGTCCAAAATACATACTTTGCTACATCCAGAATTCGCTCGTCCCTCGCGAAAATTTCCTTGCCACTGTCATTTATTTATCTTTTTCTCCAAATTTCCATCTTTTCTCATTATCACTCACCAACGATTTTCCTTCGTTTTCTCTCCCGAGTCGCTCTCCTCCTCTCGTCGATTTCTTTTCCCATTTCTTCCCTTTCAATCATTTGTCATCGATTTCTTTATTTCGTCCAAGTAGAATCTCTTTATTACATCGTCCTCCAAGTGGAAGTCCAGCATCTGAAAGATCAGAAGTCAGAATTTTCTCGTAGGAACGTTTTCACCTCTAGGATCGTCTCTCAGCGGGGAAAAAACAAATCGTGTTTCGCAAACTACGTTTGTGCAGAATTCCAAGTTCTTTTTTTTTCGGTATTTTCCAATTGCCGAGCCTCCCCCCCCCCCCTGTTAGTTCGAGGAAAGGAATTTTAATTCTGCGTATGGTCGGCTGTGCGCGATGCGATCCGAAGTGATTGAAAACAAAGAGGGTCTCTGCCGAGGGAAATTCAATGCTCGCGACAGGCTTTCGCGACGTCGTTGTCGTGTTTCTTGCTAATGGGGACCGAGTGAAAGGTTCCTTGTGCCCTTCTTCCCTGTCGAAGAAACACAACCAACACGGCTCGGCACGACGCTAAAGGACGAATCGAGGGAACCGAGAACGAATCGGTACTCTTTGAAGATCGTTGAAGATCGTGTAATTAAGTCGTCTCGATGTGAACAAGCGATTTTTTCCTTCTTCTTCTTTGGTCAACCACAGTACCACAGTACATATGGCCACAGATGGCATCTGAGACACGGTGAATCTTTAAAATTTGATGTACGATCATTTTTGGCTGTATCGTTCAACACAAGTCCGAACGAATTTAATGCACAATTGAACTTGTACTTTGTTTCTGTTTAATGAAACAGCCAGGAGAAATCATCAGTATTAAATTTTTTTGAAGACTTCAATCTTCAAATCCGTGGCAGAGTCAGCCACAAAAGAAACTGTTCAATGTTTTCACATGCTGTGATAAGCGAAAAAAGAAAGTATCTTTATATTCCCAAATGCTACGTGAATGTAAAAACACTTCAGAAACAAATGAATAGTTCACTGTGAAGATAAAAGTTTTCTAATTGATTGTTGTACGATTATTTGTCAGGAAATCACAATGACTTGAACATCAATTATTCTTGGATATTGTACATGGTGAATCACTTCGAACGAATCATTGATTCGAAGCTTGAAATTCACGAAAGTCTTAATAAACCTTGGATACATTGAAATCTTGAGTCTTGAGACTTCGCGAGAGTTTGCAAAGGTTAATATCTCTAGAGTCTTTGAAACTTCGCGCGGGTTTGATAGCACGACAAGTATTTAATAACTCTGAACTTTCTTTTCCACGATATTTGTATTCTATAGCTTTCAAAATACGGAATCACGTTGCCAATATTATCGCAACTCTCAATACTTTCAAAATATCCACGATCAAGGCTTTCAAGAGTTCAGATTTTCAAGTGATTCGAATTTGTCGTCAATATACATATATAGTAGATACGAGTTCGAGGCGAATCGAAATGTCTCAGGTTTCCAGCTCAGCAAAATATCCGCGCACGTATGCAATTAATGTTGATCGAAAGCAACCTCGCACCTCGTTTTCCAACAGGAGAATTCGAACATTTTCCTCAACATGTTGCAATCAGGTCATGTATGCCGTACGGCTGTTACGTTCCATGTTTACAGCGTGTAACTCGATTAACTCGCGAACGGAAGTTTCGAGTTCTATCGATTTCGAAGCATGCCATTTCCTCGCGTTCTCTTCGGTTTCTGTCCTGTTTGCAAAGAATATGTAAGATGCAAGACAAGAATGTATTAATCGGACTTTGTGCAAAGTTCAGCGTGATAGGCAGCTCATTTGTCTCTTTCGACAGGTTTCGAGGGAACGGTGGAACCGCAATCGTCCCAGCTCAGCGGAAGCAGCTTGGATCGGCTCAACATGATCGTCCAGAGCATCAACGGACCAGCTCGCGGTACCACCGACACACTCCGATATTCTTCGCAACAGTGACACATCGATCCAAGAAAGGAAATGTACGATCTTTCTCAATTCACTCTGTTCCTGGAACCACCGTTGATGCACATCATCGAGTGGACATGTCAAGTTCCTAAAATGCATCGGCGTAAACGCATGCCTCCTTCCCTCTGCAATGTCGCTTCGTTCGAGATAATTTTGCTATTAATTATCTCTTTGTATATAAATTCACGTGTATAGATACGTGCATGCACATATAGCGACGGACAAAAAGAGATCAGGACCGATACTATTTGTTTGCCTGTATGACATTGGTATATGCGTAATATATGCGTAAGAATTAGCAACTTTTGTACTAAATGAGACGCGCAGATATACATTATATCTATTCAATTGCTTTTCTTAAATATAACTCCATTTTATAAAATCACTGGACTGTCTCGTGTTATTTGCCTTTTCAACTTTCTTCTGTTCGCTACTGTACCTACATGCACATACATGTACACGCATACATATACATACATTGATACATACAAATTTATAAACGACGCAAGCATAATAAAATACTATTGGAATACGTTAAGCCATGCAAAAGATACACGCGTCCTTGATTCAAGTCCTTGTTTTTCTCTCTTTTACTGTTTTATTTCTTATATTTTCCCCTTTGTCTCGTGCACACCTCGTCGATTCAATTGAACCGTTTTAATGCAAAGGTGAGGTACATACGTCACATTTAGTTTAACATACGCCTATTTAGTTTAACACCGCATTTAGAAAGCTTAACTTTCACTCTGTTTCATGCAAACATTTAGAGAATAGCTCACGTGAGAGAGATGTAACTTTTTCTGATATTATCGCACTTTACGGAATTTTGATATTACAGAATTAATATTTTTATATTACGTTCAAATGATTCAATGTATTCGACGATCGTTAGATTTTCCTATCAATGATCATGCATTTTATGTATTTGCAATAATTTGGAGCTGTTCAAATACTTATAGGAGATAGTGCAGGTATGTATTTATTTACACTACTGTCCATAAATACTTGGACAAACATATAAAATACTTCAAATAGACTCTTTAATCTAATCGTTTGATTTTATCTCAAACAATCAAATACAGTAAATGCTAAGTTATAATTATAGTAGGAATGCGGATATATTATATTACAGATCCCAAAATATCTACTAAAAATATTGATAAAATTAGAATATTGATTAGGAATAGACAAGGAACAATTGAAGGTGAATGAAAATTTATTTTGCAGAGACATTTAAGTAACTTCAAGTGTGTCTGTTCCATATTGGGAATTTAGAGCGATTGAGACACATTCTAAAAGTTTCTACAAATTTTATGAAGCGTTAATTACTCGTTACAGATAAACATAGGATGTTGCACGATGCAGGTATATTTTTTGTTTTAGTTTCAATTTAACAGATCGTTGCAAGAAGCAAAACATTAATATAACATTCTCCTATTCTAAAAGTTGGAAATACGAAAAATATTAACTTTCTAATCGAACTGCACCAACTGTCCAAACACTTATGGTCAATAGTGCGGGGGAAGATAAATGTTGCTAGCGCTCGCGATTTTATTCGAACCTCGGAACACAGACTGTAAACGAAGAGACAGTCGAAACTCTATATAGACTCTTGGCTTTTTCTCGCTTTCTTTCTTTTAGAACGATATGGTTCTTCGCCCACGGAGACAGCTCGAGTCTTACCGCGATTTATGAACGCGTCTTTGAAAAGCTGCAGTCGGCACGACCAAAAGATCTAGCTCCGGAAACCAGGGACTACTTTTAACCAGATAAATTGGAAGCCTTGTAAAATCTAGCCTATCAACGTGTTCCCCCTGTCGCGATATCGGCACGTATTCAAAACATCCTGCAAAGTGTGTCCCCCGGGACACGCATCCACGCACATCTGTCCTCTCCTTCTTTGGTATTCCCCCTTGTTTTCTCATGAACGGAAACTTTAAAGACCACACATCACCGCGCCGACACACCATTTTCCTCAAATAAAAATCGTTACGACCTTTCTCTTCTCTCCTGCCTATTTCCTTCTAATACCAAACTCAAAAAAAATCACGCGCCATCTGTCACCATGCTTTCTCGTCGAAAATTTCGACTCTGGTATTCGATTTCTAAGCACATACGATGGTCCAATGAGAATTAGCATCTTGGATATTTGCGTTGGAAACACTTTGTTAACGAAAGTTATTAATCATTAGTATAGAGAGGGTCGTGATTGTAAGTTAGTGATGCAGATTTGAGGACCAAGCGATAATTCATCATATATCTATACTATTATTATACTGTATAGTATATTGTAGTATATTGTTATACTGTATGTATATTGTTATACTTATAGTATATTGTAGTGTACTGTATATTATTATACTGTATAGTACTGTATACTATATATTATTATATGAAGTATAAATACTTCAATTTCTTGAAATTCTATATCATAAAACATGGTAGTAGAAGCAGCAATTATAAAATAGCTTCTTGAATCTAATTAAGAAGACTTCTTGAACTAAGCGAATCCTTGAAATTTCTATTTATAGTTTCGATATTAAAAGATATTACTTGATTTAAATAAGATTGAAAGGAATTGCAAATGAAATGGGATTAATCGATGCAACGTGACATTTTCTGTAAAAAAAAGTTTTATTTTTAATTTAGGAAATATTTCAATTTTAATTTCATAGAATCTATCGTATGAAAGACGAGGGAAGACCTGTATTCATATTATTCTTTTATGTGAGAATTATTGCCATATTAAGGGTTCTATCATACTGACGTTAACAAGGTTTTGTTATATCTCCAAAAACAAAAATAGATATTCAGACTAATTTTCATTGGACCTGTTTACGTACGATCCATTCAATCCATAATGAAGAATGATTGTAAAACTGGCTCCCGTTATTCATCATCGAAAAGATGATAAAATGTAATGTTACAAGGACTGATAATAAATTTTGAACTTCAACGTGGCTTTTGCAACAATGAATCTCTGTAATTAAGAGAAAAAAGGGAGAAAACAGTGGGATACTGGGGTTACCCAACATTAGCCGAAAATATCCATGTCGCGGGAGTAAGAATAGTTGAGGACGACATAAATATTTTTGGAGTTACTGACCCGTCAAAACTATCCGTACTTTGAGCAAAGCGTGAATCTTTCGAACGTTTTTTTTTTTTTTTTTTTAAACAAATGCTCGCTCTTTTGTCAAAACGAAGGAGTTGCAAGAAGCAACTGGAAATGATAGATTGATAAAACATATATTTATTAAATATAGAAATTAGTTTGGGACCTTTGCATTGAATTTTAAAATACATAAAAATTTTTGTTATATCTTTTGGTTTAACAATCTTTCGCGTATCATTTTGTACATGCGACAAATTTTATATCGACACAGTTTCTTTTCTAGTACATATACTAATGTTTGAATGCATTTGCTTCAAATGGCGCAACAAACCAGTATTATTTGCATACTTAATTTTAAATTTATGTCGACAATGTGTGCATTCCGCCTTTGTATCATCTTTTTCTTGAAAATGTTCCCAAACAGAGCTTCTCTTTACCTTCTTCCTTTGCACGATATCTTCTGCACTATTTCCTGCTACCACAACTTTACTCTCACTATCACTTCACATTTTTTTTAAACATTTTTAATCTTTATTCAGACAGATTTTGAAATATACGTCTGAACTTCCCGAATTTCTCAGCGATACTGCTCAACAGCGTACATAATATCCAAGTACTAAGCACGCAGTCACACGTTTGTATACATTAGGTCATACGATTCTTAGAATCCGTGTTTCCAATAAGTTCACTGGCAGAAGAAATTGAACTGTGTATTTACATATTTTGTAGGCTGCTATACAGCATTGTAGAGTTTCTCGAAATTTTCGGGAACCCGACCTCTTCTAGACTCGTCCAGACCATCGGGTTCCCGATATTTCCGGGTTCTCACACACCCCTAATAGTGGTGCTTTCTGTACTATTTATATAAAAAATTTTTTTACGAAAACTCGATTTTTAAAGATCCCCAGTCTAATGATAACAAAATTTCCTATACTTGTATCCATAGTAATAAATTAATAAATTTTCTAACTAGCAAGACTGTTATTGTAACTTATCAATTCTTGTTATATAATTCGTAACAATATTATATACAGTGATGTAATTAATTTAAGGCGTATATCAGATAATATGATTGCTCAAGTTTCACAAGTTTTTCTGCAAAAATTTACTAGCTTCATATATAAAAATTGAGCACATTAAAAAAGAAAAGAGATGTATAAGAAAGAGAATAAAAAAATATTAACACATCTAAGTAAGAATCGACGAACATGCTAATTTCAAGTTCGCATACGACTGTTACAATTAAATTTAAAAAGAGTTACTATTACTGAGAACTTTAAAAAATAATTAACTCGAAGTAAACACTGACTTTATTGATCATTTATTGTATGCAGTTACAAAAATTTCTTGAAAGAAAAATTTTGTTATAATGTAAGAAATAAAGAAAAGAGGTAAAATATTTTTTTTTCATATTTTTCTTTTTCCTCCCATGGAGTACTTGTTTAAGAAAAACACGAATAATTTTCTCAAAATTATCAATTCATTTATGACAGATAAAGAAATATCATATCAAAAATTATATCAATTTTAAGAAAACTTCAAATACATTTCATACTAATAAAATATGGCGCGTTTTCTTCTCAGGCCAATGAAGCTGCGCAATATGCACAAGATGCGCAAAACACATTATATTCAAATTTGTCTGTGATAGCAACTCTTCCCAAGGAATATTTGTTAAAAATGTACATGTATGGATTGAATACTAAATAAATGTTACCAATTATTCAATAGAAAGAGAAAACGAACACATAAATACCTCTATCTTCATTAAAAATGGATTTTATTGTTAATTAATCATAGTGACGTCCCTTTGAATTCCTCTCTAATGTTTCGCAGTTCTCTTCGTAATAAACCAACAATCTGTAGAAAAGAAAACCAAAATTTTCAAATAAATATAATAACGATTAAGGTTAAATGTCGCTTTAAAACGAACAACATAATAACCAAAAATTGATGGATTAAAGAAACAAAATAATTTGGTTATATATCGTAATAATATTCAATAAATTATTATTAATAAAAATGTATGTTAATTACAAGAAGTTAATTACACTAGCGCAACTATGAACGATGAATAATTGACAATAACAATTGATAAACGTTACGCAGAGTGATACGTTTTAATACCACGATTTTCGACAATAGAATGACCATCGTGCAACAGGTTCGCGTTGCGTACTAATTTAGTGAGATGGAGACACAAGCGTGTACGAATAGGATTTGACTAATTCTCAGAAAAATTGTTTTGTTTTGTAAAATATGTTTTAATAGAATTAAGAATATTATAAACTATATTATACATATAATATAGTATGTAATATTCTTAACTCTATATATATATATGTATATATGTATATTGGAAACTGTATTCTTCTAAAGATATTTCCCAGAGCATAAAAAGATTTATTTATTTAGTAAATTACATTCATTTATAGTAAATGACTAAAATATTTAGGAATTATGATACTAATAAACATTTTTCATACATATACAAAAATTTGTTGTGATTCATATATCTTTTCTATAAATCATTAATTATAGACAAGTAATATCTAAGTTAGCATAAATAACAATTGAATAAACCAACTGAATAAAATATAATAATGTTGTTACCATTTTTAATATAACCAAATTTCATAAAGGATTTCAATCATATCATGAACAATATGTTAAAACATATGTAACATATATAAAAAAAATTATATAATAGTTACGTTGTAATATTTTATAGTTTGTAATAAATAAAAAAGCACATAGACTGGGCATAAATCCCAAGTGCTAGAAAGAACTTTCATTTACAAAAAGATCTAATTAACAAAATTGATTTGTAATTTTTTGTAGTTGTTTTCTAATTCCTTTCTTTTCAGTTGATCTTTAAAACAGACATATGTAAAATAATGAGTACTGTTTTTAACATTGTCAATATTTTAATATTTTAATGAACCTATTTATAATAAATCTTATCCACAATTTATAATAACTAATATTCATTTAGCAATATTCATATTAATTATAAATCATTCACACAAACTCTAATTTATCATAATTCTAAAGTTCTATGATAATATTAATACTATAATATCACATAACCTCTATTGGTAGGTATGTTTGAAAATGTGTTACATATTTCTAAATAATTTCTAGCAATTTTCTATCTTTTTATATTCAATGAGAAGCTACTGATTAATAGTTCTAATGACCTTTAATTCTTGTAACAAACAAAAGCCAGGATACCTGTCTTTTAATTTTTTTTAAATTTTCAGCAATCATTGTATACAAGTATTATTCAACTTCTTACAAAACTCCAATTCGGCCTCATTTTATTAAATTATTAATTAGCACTGTTTCCAACAGTTGATGTAATTTCAAAATATCTATTTTTGATAAATCTCTCCACAGCACAATTAAATTAATTGTAATCGTACAACTTTTTGTATTTTCTATTATGAAACTTTGTACAATTCTATCTCTAATGGCAACTTAGTTTTATTAATTACTATGCATATTAACAGACTTATATCCAATTCAAAGTTCAAACAGCGTGAAAGTAAAAAGTTGAAGAGCCAGTCGCTGCAACTACAAAAGATTACTAATTAATCCCTTTAATGAGTTTTTTTTTTTGCAAATGAAGATTGATCCATGGACACTGAAATACTAGCTCCACGTAGCGGTGAAATGATGGAACTAATCGCTATTACTATCTTTGTTGCACACTGTTGCTTTCCTTGTCTATCATGCCACATATATCTGACTTTGTCGCACTCTTATTGCTTTCCTTGTTTATCATGGAACATGTATCTGTCTTTGTCGTATCACTGTTTCTCTCCTTGTTTGCAAAAGTGCTGTCATCTATCGGAGCTGAGTGAAATTTAATAAAATCTGTCACTGAAATATTAGCGCCACGTAGCAATGAAAAAATGGAACTAAAAACTATTATTGGCTTTGTTCCACATACCTCGTCTGTGTTGGAACATTGACTATCGGAATTACGTTGGAATATACTAGAACCACAGACAAGATGCATGACCAGAATTACAAGGAAGGAATCTAGTTATTAACTTATCGACTATATTTTATTAAATTTTTTTTTGCTCTGATAGATGGCAGTGCCATTGCAGACAAGGAGGGAGATAATAGTGCGATAAAGAAAGGTATATGTCTTATGATAGAAAAGAAAAGCAATAGTGTGCAACAAAGATAATAATAGCGATTAGTTCCACCATTTCACCGCTACGTGACGCTAGCATTTTAATGTCTATAAATCGATTAAATTTTTATTTGCAAAAAAATCTAATTAAAAAGATTAATTTGTAAACTTTTGTATTTGCATTTTCCGACTTAGCCCTTCAGCTCTCCCTCTATACTACATTCATCTCACGAAATGCGCGAATAAAAATTTATAAATTTCACGCAATAGAGCGTAACATCTGCGCGCGCGTCATAAATAATATTTAAATTCTTGTAATCTATGTATATTCGAAAATTAACAAACTAGATAAAAGTGTGCACTTTTAGATATGATTCTTTATTTAATGATTTACTAACAGTTAATTTACGAGCTACTATTGCGCGAACTCAAATCGGTGCATGTTATTTATAATATTTTTTGTACGCAATACGAAGTTTAAAATTAGAGGGAGATTTTATAGTTACATTGAATCCAATTTACGGTATGATATAATAATTCTCTATTCCCATTTACGATATATCTTAATTAATTAATTTATATTACTACTGTCGCAAATATTACAGTATTCCTATTTGGTATTATGTTAAATGATTATATTAAATTATGAATCATTCATATAATTTCTAATTTATCATCATTCTAAATTCCTAAATATTTCATAAAATCTTAATGAAATATCTTGTAAGTTTTACATGCATCTGTATTTATTTTTCGAAATGTGTAATATATATTAAATAAAATTACTAAGAATATTGATAATATTAATCATGTTGATACGCGTAAACACACGTCATGTGAAAAACGACGGAATTTCCTGTAAGGTTCCAATGAAAAAGGGAAAGAAAAGAACAGAGGAAGTCTCATTTCGAAACTAAATACGAAACTAAAACAATATCGATAACAGAACGACTGGTACGAAAAATTGTAAAGCGTATGCAAGGAAGAAATTCATTAAATGCGCACTTTGACCGCTGCTTTTCGGACATTTGCAATTTCCGGCGATACACACTGTGTTATTCCGATTGAAAAAACGTTCCGACTCATCTTTATTCTTCGTGTAAATGATCTCAGTCGGCAATCGATTGTTCACGCTTTTAATAACGTTTGACGAGAGTCTCATAGAGCTCTTCCCATCTGCGCAAGTACCATTTATCCAGATACTCTCCGCTGCAACCACATTTGCGCTCGAGTTGGAGAAAACGCAATTCTCCATATAGACAACGTCACCTTCGATCAATATGTAACCCGGCTTCTCTAATTGAAACTTGGAATGAAGAATCTCCACGCTGGAGAAGTAAGCGAAATTCAACGAGCCAGTGACATTTTGAAATTTACTGTTCTTAATGTACAGAGACTCGCCCTTTGCTGAGAAGCTCAACTGATCGATACGCTCGATAGTAACGTTGATCATTGAAAAATTGGTAATCGCTATGTCGGTGAATCGTTCAGCGAAATGATCGATTCGCGTGTCTTCGATTCGAATCGTTTCGATGCTGTTCAATCTGACGAACGTGTCGCGGGTAATTAAAGGTATTCGTCCGATTCTCGATAGTTTGAGTTGCTTCAGTTTTTTCGATGTTAGAAACAGTTCGAAGATCAAACGGTCGCTGATATTTTGCACGATTATTTCTGTAATTTGGCTCGCCTCCGTTAAGCTGGAGAAATGAAGATTCGCGATGTTGCAGGATGCGATCTGTATGCTTGTCACGTTTTCATAGTTGTAACCTTCCGGCAGGAAAAATTCCTGGAAACGAATGAAAATTAACAGGGTGACGCTTTGTGAATTATTTACTCGTGATTTGTTCGAACCAGAGGTCCCTGTTTCACGGACAGTCAAATGTACGCGTGATTAATCTTTCGCGAGCAATTTCTACCAGAAGTTATTTCAACAGTACCATATTTTGCAATTATACAATGTCACATCAGAATAAAAATAAATTTACTGTTCTAAAGAATTCGATATAAAGCCGATATAAAGAAATATAAAGACTAGAAAGACAGGATGTTATTATTTAAAAATTATTGATCAGAAGAAAATAAAACTTGTTATCAGATCCAGTGATTAATATTACTTGAAATTTAACATCCTTTAAAATTCAATAGATTCCATATCTAATAGAAAATCTAAGAAAATTCAGGAAAAATTTGAGCATTAGAAATTAAATATATAAAAAAGATTTTTTGTGATAACTTAATGAAAATTTAATAAAATTATCATTTTATTTGATAAGGCACTGTATATAAACGAGATTAGCATATACTACCGTCATTTGAAGCTGAAGATATGTATTGTTAACACATTACAGATTCTTTCTTGTATAAAGTGTATCGCTTAATATTTTTAGTTTTAAAACAAATATAGCAACAAAGTAGTACAAATACACAGGTATATACTAAAAATTATACGGATTGAGATCTGGACTTCACGTGTACTTACGCACACATAAAGTAGAGACTTCTAGATCAATGTGTCTCAATCTTTTGATTATCAGAGACCCTTCTAAAGTAATTTTTTATTGCGCCAAATATATTATCCATTAATTGAATAATGTATTATCTTATTTAGCTAGATATTATTTGAAATAACTATTTGTTGAAATTCATTATATCAGATTGTTACTTCTTATTTTATTCTAAACAAAATGTTCTCAAACCTGCTTTCTCTCAAACATTCACTTGCGCGTGTTAGGACTTCGCGGATCACACAGAAACGCTGTTCTAAATGAAATATTTACCTCGTTTCCGATGCAATGGCAATCGACTGTTGTCAATTCGTGAATCTTGCATTGTTCGCTAATATCACTCGCAGCTATTGCCAACAATAACGCGCAACTACACATCACCGTCGATATAGTCTTCATTTCTTCCTATTTCGTTGGGATTTATTTTCGTGAATCTCGTTCTCAGACTAGATTTTATAACGTCGCTTAAATCTCTTTTGTCTCCAACCCACTTTTTATAAATCGTTCACTGCGACGGAATTCCTTTTTAATTTTCTCAAGCTTCACGAGTTTAGCAACAAAATGAAAACGACGATAATGAACTTAACGATAGTGAATTTATGTACATGACAGAAACGGAGAGAAAAGTGACACAATGTCGTTACAGAGGTCGAGCACCGAATAAACACTCGCAAAAGCTTGATCGTCAGGATTAAGATGGACACTTGTTTCATGCCGCTTTCATATTGAATGACATGTGGGTGATTCGGTGGCAACGTATTCCATCCAGTAAACTTACGATAGGGTTACACGCGTGAATCAATTTGTTCGAAATATATGGTGCTCGATTGTTCAATTTTGTACCGGAAAAGGATACAATGAAAGTGAATCCGTCGGCAGTTCAAATTTTAACGTATTCACTATCTCTGTATTAGAAATATTATATTTTTGATATTTTCATTACGCTGTTTTTATAATCAATTTGTATGATTTACATGATTATGAAATTTTCTTAATGAAAAGAGCAACAATTACATCTTAATTGTACATTTGTACCTTGGATGCGTAAAGCACGCATAATGATATTTGTACAATTTAATTCGTACAAACTAATTTCTTTTGATTTTTTCCTTCTCTTGGAAGATTTTACAAAGAAGAAAAATATAAAGTAATATTCAAATAGAGTGAAAAGTTGACACACTGTCTTCACATTAAAATTCACATAATAGTTTTTGTAGAAACCCTCAGATTTCTCACAAAAACCATTTTCTTTCCCATCATTTGTACAGTACTACACTCCTTTTGTTCATAACGTTTCACAAAGTAAATTTTGTTTCTTGACATCTATAATTTGTATTTTGAGGTGCGTTTAATAGTCTTGTGATAAACTTGTTTTTATAATTACATCTCTTCAACGAGAAATACTATAGAGATAATAAATTTCTAAGAATTTACCAGTTAAATGTTCACGCATTAGGTGGGAGATAATAATGAATATTAATGAACGAACAATCGTTCTGATCTTTTTATCTTAGTTCTAATCTTAAAAATTCAAAGTTACCAAGTTCGTAATGACGATACTATTGAAAAGACAATCATGCCATTGAAGAATGAAAGTCTGTAAAAATTAAACAAGTCTGGACCTTACAAAGAGGATTGGTGTTCATTTACTGGATCCTGTCGCGATGCTTTGTCTTTGTCCTTATGATCTCTTATGCAAAATCTCTCTGATCGCTTCTTTCCTGTCTACGGAAGCAAGGGCTAACGGCGTTTTTCCTTGTTGATTCAGTAAATTCTTATGGCACCCGGCTTGAATTAACAGCCAGCATACTTCTTTCTGCCTTTTTAAAGTGACGTTGGTCGACTTGGCTGTTGCCACGTGCAACGCTGTATCGTGATTGTAATTGACGGCGTTCACCAAATCGGAAGTCCAAGTATCCAGTAGTAGCTATTGGACGTGTATTTATACATATTTGCATGCATAAGTCGACATAATTAAAGACGACGAGAAAAAGGAACAGTTGCCAATAAATAAAAACGATACCTTTACGAGAATAGGATCGCAGTCCAAGGAAACTGCCATGTGCAATGCATTGTTACCACATTTCGTTTCTTTGATTGTAGGATCTGCTCCGTATTTCAATAGCAGTTTTACCGTTTCCAATGACGTGGTTCCTTTCGTAAATGGTACGTGTGATTCGATCGCTACGTGAAGCGCTGTTCTACCTATATGTAAACATAAGATTCTTTTACATTTAAATAGAAAATAGCACATTTAAATGATGTTTCTTTTCTTACATTTTAAATGGAAATCTACGCAAAGATACAATCCAGTTTAATATAGCACAAGAATGTAATCCAAATTGTACAATTGATATATGATAAGTACATTTAAAATAAATGAAATTTTAATACTTGACACATATTAATGATATTTCTGTTTTTTTCTTATTCGTACAATTTACGTTATAATAGTATATATATTTCTGTACAATTTATTATTATTCTATAATAATTCTTTCATTCTTTCTTTTCGCATTTATTATTGTATCTGTTTGAGTTTGGCCTGTCTAATAAGAAATAGTCCATACTAACCATCGTAGTTACGTTTCGATAGGTCAAACAATTGATTTTCTTGAATAGTTTTCAAAGCCAGCAGTTCACCCAAAGTTTCTTTATGAGAATCTCCCTGTGCCGCGATTGAATGTATCAGCGTATCACCCTGATTTGAAAACGATTTGATAATAATTTTAATAAATGAAGAAACCGTAGAAGAATATTAATAAAATATTTCAGAAAAGAAGAGAAAGGCATACCCGCGTATGATATAATCGTTGACTAATGTCGATTCCTTTCTGTAACATAGCTGCGGCTAAATAACCTGCGACAAATGGAAATTCTGGACAATTCAAAGCAGTTAGGTAAAGCGCGTCAAAGCCACGATCATTCGTAATCGTTAGAGCTCCCGTGATTGTGCTCATACGTTCTACCAGTGGCACCAAGTAGGCCATTTTTTGAACAAGTTCGTTCGGATTGCCAACGAGACACATCAATTTTCTGTTGGGAAAAGAAAATGATTAATGATTAAACTAATGATTAAACGGTACAAGATAGATTGATTCGTGAATGAAGATTTCTCTTACGTGTCTCCATCCTTGTCTTGCTTGGCCAGTTCTTCTACCGGTCGTTTAAGCAGACTAATCATAGCCTTCTTCACTTCTTTTGGATCCAATTTCTCTTTCAACTTCTCGCTTGCCTTTACTGATGGCAAATTTAACGATGGCCAAAATGGTATGGTACCCCGATCAGAATTACTAAAATCACGTAAAAAGTGAATTAATAAGAAAATGTAAATTAAAAAGAAAATTAATAATAATCTGTTGTTGCATTATTAACTCTATGAAACGAAAACGAGAGAAATTGATAAAACAATATATTAGATGTAGAAATTAATTCGATTTGCTATTTATTTATTAATTTTTTTTCGGGTTATTTGGTGTTGTAATTATTTTCAAATTCAATTCAAAGGCACCGAATTAATCTCTATATCTAATACATTCTTTTTTAAAATTCTTTCCTTGAAATTTAAACTCAAATAAACTAAATTGTGTGAATATCATTTCAAATACAAACATTGAATGTAATATTATAGGTATAGCTTTTATCATTTCAAATACAAACATTGAATGTAATATTATAGGTATAGCTTTCATCTATCTATAATCGCATTGGCTTCTAAAATAAATTATTCGTTATTTCACGGTCAACAAGTATTAGTGGTGTGAAGATTAATTATTAAGAAAATTTATTTTGAGTATTAAAAGTTGAGTATTTTGATCCAAAGATTTAGAATAATTAAAAAAATAGAGTTGATCACTTTAGTTTATGAACGGCTCAAATAAATCTTTAATGAGACTCACCAATGTTGCTGAGAGCAAGCTTTAAACGAACTAACTGTTTCTGGTATTTGAAAGTCATTCTCAGGACTCAGCGACAAATTTTTTATTTTATAATCGTCAAAGTGAAAACTGCTAGAGATTGTATTCACAGTTGGCGAAGAGTCATCAAACGAATGAAACAATACGGAGAAATCACGCTCATGATGAATATTATCGTTCGCACTGGTTTCTGTCGAACGTTCAACTGTAGTATCATTCTTTGATGAATAGCTCGAAAGTAAAGGACCGTTTACAGAGTTAGTTTGTGTTGGATTTGTATCGATCCTCTGGATACCTTTCTGAGGAATGTTAGTCCGCGACACTGTAGAATACGATACACTAGACCAAGGCAAAGATTCTGTAACTATGGTAATGTTGTCGGAGAGACTATCGCGATATCGAACTTGCTGCAAGTTGTTGGTTTCGAAAGTAATAATATTCGCATTTTCTGCTCTCGAGATATCCTGCGAATACGTTCCCTCCCCTTTATCTTTCTCTTTATTCAAATTATTCACTAGTTCATCGATCACGTTCGACCATAATTCGTTGTTGCCGATATCATCTAGTACAGTATTGGAAACAGTTTCATGATCGTTTCTCCACAATTGAAAATTTTCGAAATCTTGTTCGAATTGTCCGTCGATTCGAGAACTGGCTGTTGTTCGATGCGAGAAAGAACTGTTCGGGCTCGATGTGTCACTGTACGATTGACTCGAAGAGGAAGGCGAACTGGAAGAGTAGGAGAAAATTTGCGTCGGCCTGAACGTCGATGCGACGGTGATCTGAGAATTTACAACGAATCAATTATATATCGCAACGCCAAATTCGCATGAGGAATAGTAGTTGGGTTTTCATTTATTGCACACCCACATATCATATCATCCCTGTTATTATTTTTAAAAAAATACATTAAATATCTTAAATTTTTATAATAAAATACAAATTTTTATAGTCATTCTTACGACACCTTTTAAGAGTTAAGAATAAATTTCCCAATTATGTTAATTTACCTAGTGTAAAAAACACTATAACTGAGTTGTTATAATTTTTTATATTTTTACTTTTATTGTTTGTATCTTGCGTCTAATGTCGTAATGGATTTTATATTATCTAGCCTAAGCCCGTATATTCTGATAGTAGTAATAGTCAGTTGAGCCGAAGAGTATTTTATTATTCCATTGTTTATTGCAGAGTTGCAGGAAAGAATAAAATCCTCTTTCTCGCGTATGGATAAATCGTATGCTCTGTTTTGATACAGACATAATGATGATATAGGCAAAAATCACAAATCATTGTACCATGTTGTTTTAACTAAATAATGCACAACAATGGTACGAGACGTGAATATGCAATAAATGGATACCTAGCTTTATATGTACATATATTGATTACTTGAGGAGAGCTGGCTGGGCTGTGATTTGAATTTTGTTGCGTTCTTCCCGGAGACTGTATAGAATTAGGAAAAACCGGCGAGTGAGCGCGACTCGATTCACGGCTCCCGGAATTGGAAACGACCAAAGAGAAATCAAAGTTTTCCCTCATCACCGGTTGGGCCGCTTGAAAAGCTCCGCATATCACGTTCTCCAATAATAAAAACTCGTCGCTTAAAATGTCATCAACGATCGTGGATGGTGTCGAAGGAAGCTGAAATTGAAGTATTTTTTTCAAATACATATCGATAGAAACTTCTATTCAATTCGTGCTCGAGAAACGAAGAAACAAACGTACGTACATCCTTCCTTGAACCGCAAACTTGCGACACACTTTGATCTCGATCGTTATCGCTGTAATTGTAATTCGTCCTCTCCAGATTTTGCAACTGATCGAGACAAGCGTTCAATTTTTCGCTACATTCTTTGTCACGTAGGATTTGTTCCGCGGTTTTATCGTAATCGATTGAGAATATTTCGTTTGCTTCTTCGAGAAACCGTGGCTGCTCCGCTCTCGTGCAGTAAGGTTGACTGCGTGACAATGGACAAAATTGCGATTTAATCGGCCCTCGTTCAATGAGATCATCTTGATTATTTTCCTTATTATGCTTGTGCTCACGGTCGTAGGTGTTGGTGTTCTTTGACGTTTGACAGCCGGTGACACCACGTTCTTTAAGTTTTGTCCGATGCACGTCGAGACGGCGTATTTCATTCGACTGATTATGCGCAAGTCGAAGGTTGTCGATCTTCCCGATCACATCTTCGATGTTGTTCGACGAATGCGACATGGTATTTTGGTTTCGAGGTACAGACATTGTACTAATATTCGATGATCCTTGTTTAATTTTCATTGCCAACCTGTCTTTTATCTGCGAACAAATTATACGGTGTATATTATAATCGTGTACTTAGTTATATAAAAAACTTATTATTATATAAAAAAGAAGAAATAAATTTTGATACAGAACTACAGAATTATAGAATTGTTTTACGTGTGACATTCATGTGCACTGATGTCTATAAATCACCGGAATTTAATAAAATTAAGATATGGTCATGATTTACATTAGAAGCCAAGGAAGAAGAAACAAAAAGCAAGTTTTATACATATTGAAAAAATAAAATTTTCACATTTATGTGAACCGAGAATTCCTTACTTATTGTTAGCGTGTTTTGGATCATTGTCTTGCATAAATATTAATGTTTAACCAAATTACCATTCTTTTCTGAAAACAATATATACATATACATATACGTATGACGTTACGCGTATCATTGTTGTATAATATAATAAAATAAAAAATAAAATAAACTATATAAATATAATAAAATTAATCTTTCAAAAGCCCGCTGAATTTTAGGAAACTGTATCAATTCTCTTTTTATTTTATTATCTTACTAATTACTTTACAAATGTTTAGAAATTTACTATTTTCTGAAAAAAGGGTTTCGTATTAGCCACGTAAATTTAGCCACGTAATATAACATTTATACAAACAAATGTAATACTACAGAAGTGAATCTCAATGTAGCAACAATCAAAATGAGTAAATGTACGATAACAGTATATTGTGTGTATATTAAATTAATATTTAAGTTAGTATCGAAAGTTTAAAGTACAATTGTAAAGTTGCAGAACAACGAAAAATCAAGTAATAAATTACACTTGTCTACATTGATGAGTCTACCGTCTATGTTGACAATGCCAGATAATAAACATTAAAAAATTGAATAAAGGAATCACGGAAAGGGGTCATGGAATTCAGCTTCGCGTTTTTACTGTCGTTTATCATTTAGGAATTTATTTTTCACAGAATTACTGCTATCTACATAACTAATAGATAAACTAAGACTGCGTACGCATTTATTGACGCACGATTTATCGACCATTCCGCAATTGACTGGACAGTCCATTCGTTTTGATTCTACGTCAGTTGCATGAAAATAAAAGTTGTTTACAGCTGACATGGAAAAGAAACATTTGAGCCGTTTATTTTGGAAGTGACCCAAGTCCATTTATCTTTAAATTAAGATAATGTTTTTGTGTTTTTAAAGGTGTATAATTTACCAATTAGCATGATAAACATTGTTTAGAAAATAACGTCTCTGATGAATATAAATGGACTTAAGCCACTTTCAAAATAAACGTATTATACGTTAAAACGAATGATTATGCAGAATTTCGCGTACATTTGATAAAGATGACTATCTGTTAAAAACACTTGCAGAAACGTGAAACGAGAATTCCATTTATTTTGTATCCATGTATTTAAACCTGCAGACCTGTTGTACGAACGAAAAATCTTTAGTGGAGAGAGTCTCAGTAGGCTTCTATTGCACGAACTTCATTTATATCAACAAGTTCGTACAGAGTTCTACCACACAACTATTGTTTGCTGGAGCACGTCCACGAGAGGTAACATCGCTTGTTTTCGTCACTCGTCGACCAATAACCGCACAACTTTGCCCAACTATTTAAAGATTATCACGCGTCGGTGTTCACCTTTTCTATTTTCGTCCGATTCGTTTCCTGCACGGAGGTTCCTTCTCCTTGAGTACGATCTTTCCTCATGAAACAAGAACCGCGACGATCGATCGCAAACGTCGAGAGATCGACACGCGTCGAACAAGTTGGTCGATCCGCCGACTGATCACGCTTCAGTCTGGTTTGCAGTAGCCGACGCGCATGCGCAACTGTCGTTTTGCTCCAACACAATTTGCATATTATGTTACGTAGACACGTTGGTCGGAATTTATCCAATTGCTACGAATCGTGCACGAATTCTAATCGGAGAAGACAAAGTTGTCACCGAGAGAAGTGTAGAGAAATGAAAAACGAGAAAAGAAAGATATTTCGTTAGTTGGCACATCACTTAACCTGTCACGTTGAGATACATGTTGATACATGTTGCATTTACTCTTGTCCCGAAATTCGAAAGAATTTCTCACAGACGTCACGTGAGTATGGAATTCCGTTCTCCCGACGCGCATGTACGGACGCTGATTGGAAGCGAACGCGAGGTAAACTGGAAACGAGAAATGAGGGCACCGAGAAGTGGTAGTGGGAACGCTAAAGATACGAAAAGGAAAAGTTTGCGGTATCATATGGTCGAAATTATTTTGATTAACATATAAAACGCCGTGTCGTGTCATCGGTGACTGATCATGTAAAATAAAATAAAAGAAAGTTCTAAGAATAAAAATACAGGACATATTAAGAAGAAGAGACTATAAAATCGTGATAGACGATGGCAATTGGGACAGTTGCACTTTCAAAACCGGCAAATTTTTTTTCATGTTCGAAGTTTACGGTATTTTAACAATAATTGTGTAATAGTATTAACAATAACTGTGTAATAGCGAATAATATTCGATAAAACGAAATATGATATTACACTATTGTTCATAAATAATTCGACACCTTGCGGAAATCCATCAGGTGATACTTTTGTTTCATTTCATTATTAATGTTCTAGTTCTTGTTAGACTGAGATTAAATTCTGCTAAATTTAAACTACATCATACCTATGTTCTACATTCATTTCTAGTAAACATCTCTCATGAAATATTCCGCTAAATTTAAATTACAATATACTTATGTTCTATATTCATTTCTAATGAACACTTCTCTCAAATTCTACGTCCATTTCACACTTTATAAAATTTACACAAACGTTTTTAAAAAAACGTGACTAAATGTATTTCAATTCTTTCGCACACTTGTCATCATTTTTTTATAAATATATTATATGAAACATTTTTTTATAAATATATTATATGAAACATTTGGAAATTTCATTAGGACTATCGCGATTGTATTAGTAAAATTTTTAACGATTCTGAAAATGTATACAGAAGTTACAAAATATTTAGTACAAAGACTTAGATATATATATTTCGCAGAGATCACAAAAAAAATACTTAAACAGTTTTAATCCATTAGATCAATAAGGCCCAATATTCAGTGGAACCATCTTCAACATTTATTATACACTTAAGATGACTATTTATACCAATCTTTTATTAAATATGTATTTATATTAAGTAGCATATAACTTTTATATATTTCTTTCAGATTTTACCAATGTAATCATGACACTTCAAAAATATCAATATAATCATGACATTTCATTAAAGCATTAATAAAATATCAAAATCGTTTACATATCATGCATAAACATTTTTTTATGGTAAGTTCACGAATATGGTATTAATGAAATTTTAAAATGTTTTATATAACGTATCTTCTGTGACATACTTTTATTTCGTTTAGTATAGTAATACTTTTATGGTAATGCAATACTTTTGCAAGACACTGTACTCGTTTAATCTTCAATTATTGTTATTTATAACTAATTAATATTAGTTATTCTATTCTGTGTTGCTATTCTTGATATTTCTTTATATTGAATTCTTTGAAAAAGTGAATCATATCAGCATACGTTTATTTTATTCTGATCCGGTATTGTATATGTTACAGTTAAATATTCATTTGAATTGTGTGTTTCATACTTGTATTGAATTGAAACTTTTTAAATACTTAAATACGGTAATATATAAAGGAAAGAAAGATCATAGAATATATAATGCATTCGCGTATATTCTTCTCAAAACCTATTTTATTTCGTACAGAAACGTCATTAGTTGCAGTATCGTGACACAGCTTCTTTCTGTCTCGTTCTTCTTTGTTAATCTCACCTCCTCTTCAATTGCATCACACGAAACTCGTCGCAATTTACGAAGAAACGATTAGACGTTAGCGAGATGCAGTTAGAAGATACAGCGAATTCACTCGAAGAAGTACGAAAATATTCCAGTTCTCGCAAATATCCATATTGCCATTACGATTAGACAAGCGCTGAATATTTGATTGATGTACTTCATCCTAAAAAAGGGAAAGAATCGAGTCGAAAAGATTAATATATTATATATATATATGATCGAGCAAGTGAAAAGATTAATATAAAATATAAATGAGATCGGTGGGAGGAGGTATAAACGATTACGTTATCCGGGATTTTCCGCTTTCCACAATCTGCTTCCCGTTTCCCGGTTTCTCGAATGTGATTAAAAGTTACGCGTTGCGGCGCCACGACCTCCGCTACTGTCGTCGACTCTACTTGTGTGATGGTAAGTACAGACGAAAACGTGAAATCGAAGCGCGATCGATCAAACACGGTCTCGGAAACGGAATACTTCGAGATAGAGGAAAACTTTAGTAGCCGACGAAACGAGAACGACGACGTTGTCATCGTGAAAGTTACCTGTTGTATTGTCGCCTTGCATCCTCTATTTGAGTCAAATCCTCGTTTAAGAGATAACGCTTCGCTCCGATCAAACAATTCCTGGTCGAATGAAATGTAAATTAGAAATATATTGGACGAAGGTATTCAAGGTATATATATTCATGTGTATATATTTGTGCCGTTTAATACAAAAGTAGTGTAAGTTTACTAAGTTTTAAAAAGTTTCTAAAAAATGAATAAGGGATGAAGTGAAAATTCTATAAAATACGGCACTATCAAATAGTGTCAGATTTATTTTGTGCGAGTCTTTGTAAAGTCATGAGAAAAAAATTGACTCGCACTATTTCTGCATTAAACGATTCATTTGGTATTTAATCTTATTAATGTTGCACACGATGCTTTATATGGTGATAATGAGATTCGAAAGGTAAACGAGTATTTGTAAAGGCTGATTCAGACGATCGTTCGCGAACAAGCGTCGTCGAAAATCCACATGTTTTGTCTACGAACAAACATGATCGACAGATAATGGGAGATAAAATAGAAATTCAGCGATAGTCTGCGGATAGTATTGACCTATTTTGTTGAAGTGGAAAACAAGAAACATGCAAATAGACAACACACAACTGAATTAGTAATACAATATTCATTGTATTATATTTCATTTCTGGCGAATATGTTGCAAAAAAAAAAAAAAACGTGAATGAATTTATAGTTGAATATCTCAGCGCTACAATTAATCTCAAACATAGAAACAGAAAGTTAGTTTTCTATTTCCCGATAGTGGACATATGTGTCACACATTCTACAACTTACTCCATTAAGAACTAAACAATAATTTATTATAACATTATATATGCAGATACTTTCCTTTTTTTTTTAAATTTCATAAAACTGTAGATTTTAAATAGTATATGGTAACGATAAAGATATTAAGCAAATCCGTATGGCAATAATATTTAAAAAGAGAATTCGATAATGTAAATTAAATGTGAAAAAAAATGAAACGTTAACGCAACGTTGGCTCTTAATGGATTAATGACAGACCACTAAAGGAAAACGTCGTCTAAAAGACACCTTAATAAGCCGTTCTTAATATTAATTACTTACATAAAGTATTCTTTTATGTTGAACTGAGAATAATCGTAACTAAAGATTTCTCGTTCTACCAGTGGAACTTGCGTCCTTAAAACTAATGTATTGGAATTATGAATAATCCACTCGTTGTATAAAAAGTGATTCAATTGCGTCACGCTGCAGTAGATAGTTTTCTGAATTTTCAGCAGCCTGATCGAAGCAAGAAAGAAAGTTTTGAGCAAGTTGCGGTGAAGTGAAATGAAGAGGAATGTATAAAGGTGCACTTACATCGGTTGGCGACCAATTACTTTAAGGATTTCGTCGATGATCAAGGCTGGTAGAACGTGCATAAACAACGTTAACACGTAATGAAGAGTACGATTGGGTGTTAAAATGACTTGAGGATACCAAACGATCCCTTCCAACGGCGCCTGTTCGTTTAGCTGCAATCCTAGCTTGACCATTTCTTTGATGCTGATGTGATGAATCTGATACGAGCTGCCATTGTAGACGTAAATGCTCGGGTCCTTGGAAATCCTGGATGCATGTGAGCATTTTCAACTTGATTTCAGCCAATCGAAAATCTAACGCGATCATTTAAACTTAGTAGATGTACTTAACACATTTAAGACGAGTTTCCAACTTCAGTTTATAAGAGAAATAAATTTTTTTAAGATTTTTGTATCTAGAAGATGTTATTACAATATTTTAGTTCCGAGACATAGTTTAACGACAGAAAGAAATTTTCTTACTGCGAACGTAGGAATTGTGGTTCCCATTCGTCTTGAATGTGTTAAATGAGTATCTACGTTAGCGACCAGTTGAATTTATAGTACGAACTAGCTCTCGTACGTTTCTAATCCTCGTTTCCATGTGGCTGTCATTATAATTTTAATGGCCAAGTCGACAGGCAGGAAATCGTTGGAGATGTCTGGTTGTACACGAATTACTCGTAATATTCCTTTCGCACCGGCGATCATCATTCCCACAGGTCCGTTGAAGTTGTCCAACCAGCCACTTACAGGATCCTCGATCGTAGATATCACTGTTTCCATTTCCAAGTGTCTTATTATTCATTGCTCATTTATTACTTCAAAACTCGTATGTATATTACGTACCTATCGATGGTCGAAAAATTATACTAGGCAGGTCTTTCGAGTAATCGCTTATCACCTGTTCCGCTAGTCGCTTGGTAAACGTGTACGTGTTTGGCATCGAACCCAAGTACCTGCGTTTGAACGATTTTCTAATTTCCAAAACGACCTCGAAAGAAAAGCGCGAGGAAAACACTCACTTGGAAGTAAACGTTCGCACGATTTGTTCGTCCAGAGTTTCTGCCATTAATATGGCGTCTTTCCAGCTGGTCAAAGGAGGATACGTAATCTCTTCAATTATCGGCTTGTCGACATGAGCGTACGCAGTGCTGACATGCAGCAATGCCTAGATACAGTCGGACACAGTTTTAAGAACGTGAAGAATTAAGAAAGAAAAATGATTTCTACTTGCCACCAAGTTTTTCATAGCTCCCGCGAGAATGCAAACGTCTCTGGTCGAGCGGACGTTCGAGAGTATGTCCTTCTTCAGATCCTCGATGAATCGAACATTCGCGGCTACGTGAAAAATCACGGAAACTCGTTCGATGATGATCTGTCTTTCGTCTGGCCGTAAATCTAAACCGTCGACGCTCATGTCACCGTAAACTGGGATCAACTTTTTCAAATTGGATGGCCTTTCTTTTCGTAATCTATCAAACAGCTACGAACACGAAAAAGATTCGTTGAGACGAGGACTTAACGCGTTTGAAAATCGCGGGTATTAATCTCTTTTTTAGTGTTTAGTCTGTACTAGAATATTGTACAGATAATCTTATTCATCTTCAAAAAGAAGAGCAATATATATAAGATAAATAGGTATATGTTTGAATTAGATGAATTTGTTATAAACTTCTCAATTTATTAAACTTTTAGATTTTCAGTAATTTTAAGAGTTAAGGCCTTTACGACACTTAGATTTCATTGTCAAGTTTCACTTCGTCCCTCAACACTTTAATTTTGTTGTAACGATAACGTGTATATGGACCTTTATCGAATATGTCAACTCATTTTTGTACTAACCGATAAATCGAGCATTTTCTTGAGCCTCTTGTCGATTGACAGCCCGCCTTTTGGTCGTATCAACATGAATATTTCCCCAACATCGGGACAGGATCTCAAGAGCTTCTCGATCAATACTTTCCCCAGAAAGCCAGTACCACCTGTCACAAAAATACTTCGACCAGCGTAGAACGCAGCTATCGAGGCTCGTTCATTTTGTTTCGTGTTTGCGTCAGTGTCCTGAAATTCATCGATCATTTTTTCTAAAATGAACATCTCTCTCTCCTTTTTAATTACTCATTTATGTACATTTTACACAAAGTATGTGGACACTTATCATTTTTATGGAATCTAATACGTAATGTACATTTTTATCATTAAATGTTTATTATTGATAAGTACTTTTACAAATAAAGAAATTTACCGAATCTCTCGAATAAATAATTTATTCGTTAAATACCGGGAAATTAAATGATAATGTTAAACATCATGTACGTGTTCTGGAAAGATTTATAATATATTATTCAATACGTCTAATATTGGAAGTCGTTCCATCATGATATGGAGGTATTTCAGAAATTTATAGAATTTACAAAAAAACAAACAAAGTTATTTTAACACAGGAAGATTATACAAACACACAATAGACACGCAGAGAGAAAGACGCGAGATTATTATGAATGTGACATTTAATGAATTACTGATAAAATATGCTTTTCATTCGCACCAATTTATCAATGATGTCATATCTTTTTCCCCAGTAAATATGAAGAACGAAGTGTCCACATACCTTTGAGTGTATATAGGACAAAAGTAATTACTTGAAAGAAACTTACAAGCATAGTGCGACGTGTCACGATCCACAATTACTAATTTTTCTTCTGATACTTCGTTCTACTTCGGTCGAGTTCCCTTTAGTTCTTTCTCTGTCCTCCCTCTTCTCGGCTCCTTTCTTGTTTATTTCGATTCTACGAGCCAATCCAAGGGGGCCAAGTAATTGACTGATTTTATTGAAAAACCTCGGGAAGCAGTGACATTAAAATTGACCTTAAAACAATGTCATTCTAATTCATACCGGTTCAAAGAATGGCTCTTTGCATATGCATCGATAAAACTCAATATTCAAACGTCCACATTTTCGACTATTCACCGTGTATTCGTACCTTCAATTTGCTAATCTATCGCGATCGAATTGTTGAACCAAGTTGATATAATCGGAAAATCTGTGAACGAACATGCAATCACATTTTAATTGCGTGTATTCGAATTTTTATAATTATGTCCAATTTATTCTATGTGATTTTTGTCATGATTTGTTTACTAGTTTACAAAAATATTTTTATATGAAAGTATTTTAGAACATGAAAAAGAATATCACAAACAGAGTAAGTACTGAGTTGTAAGTGAAAAGTGACTAATGATTTTTAAATTAATCGTGACTTTATAGTATTTGTTAATCAACGATTGCTAAAAAATAATTGTTAAAAAGTAATCTGATTCACATCATAATCTTCAATCGTTAATCAGATTATGTTTTGTCCAACTCTGTTTGTAAAATTCGAAAAGAGGATTAAATACATACATAATAGATTCTTAAGTATAATGTCACAGCGGAAATGAATGCGGTGACGATTTTTACATTTCTATTTCTGTGACAGCTTCTGTATGAATAATTACAAGTTCATTCAATCAAGGTTATTGATCAAGAGTAAAATATTTATAATAAACAAATAATTAGCCCAGTTATGTAAAAAGCTATCAATACTCGATGAAATTGAGTAAATTTAATTTGAAGATGTTAATTTAAAAAAACGTTTTACTTCTATTGGATATATTTTATTTTTTGTTTCTGTTTTATTATGTTTTATAACATTCATTGAATAGTAGATAATAGATTAAGTATAGGAATGGAACTTTGATTTGTTGGTTTTAATAACTATATAATGCAAGAATTGTTCCATGAATTAATAAATTTTTGTAAAGTATATAAAGATCACTAAATTCATATTGTATTTAATTAAGTTTTTGTCATTTTGAGGACTGACAGGTTTCTGCTTAACTTGTTTCCAATTGTTAGGAATGAAATTAATCTTTAGTTGATCATTGTTTCTTTTCTCTTGATCTAATTTCTTCACACTATTTTTCATTTAAAGTACTTTCATTTTTGGAAGTTTATTTGTTCATTTAAAATAATCTTTTTGAAATCCAATATCAATGTTACAATCAGTTTTTATTGCATTAGAACAAGTCATTGAATTACGATTCCTTTAATCATTAAATTACGATTATGAAGTCGGATATTTCATATATTGCAATAGTATATCGATACCCTCTATATTCTCTAATCATTTGTTTCTGCAAGAGTCACCCATTTTCCTATCGAAACAAAATTTGACAAAGAACGGAGGCTTTTCGTGAGTTCAAAAAATAAAAAAATATATCAATGTCATCGGTTCGTCTACAAAGCGGAACGACGTCGTCGTTGCCGTCGAGCTCCGATTTAGAACACGTAGCTATCTCGCAGAGGTATCAATCTCGATGAAAAATCTCCCACGTGTGTCGAAAGAAGGGAATTTTCTCTCTCTCGGAAAGGGAAAAAATAGATTAACCTTCTTTCGAGTCCTTACCGAATGGCATTCTTATCTTTTTTTTTTAAGAATTTTACGTTTCCTAAAAAATTATTAAAATTGTATAAAAGTGTATTAAAATTATTAAAGTATCAGAAACGAGAGATCACGAATAATATCGATTATAATATTCTTGTAATTCTTCTTGTATTTACAATTAGACTGCGAACTTTTGTATAATTTTATATTTTTAAAGCAATTAAAAAAATTGAGTCTAAGCATAAAACTACTTCATTTATTAAGTATCACAGGAAGTATTATACTTTGTATATTTTAATTTGCACCTCCAAATTTTTTTCAAAAGCCAAAAATTCATTTATAATATTTAATCTTTGATTACTGAATATTTGAACATTCTTAATGATTTTTTCGGAAGATGTTAAACTCTTAAAAAGAAAAAATATCGTGCTGCGCTCAGACTAGCAGGTCTGAGATGAACAAGAAACGAGATTTTACAGGGAATCGAAAGACAAAGCGTCGAGGCGTAGCCGAAAAACGGTAAGCGTACAAATTTTTGTCGACGATGACCACAAACCGGATTTGAATTCTTCGGACGTGTTATACGTGGAATACGAAGAGGACGAAGAAGAAGAAAGAAAGAAAATCGCGCAGAGGCAACGAGCAAAATCTCCCGACGCACCACGTCGTGTTTTATCTTTGGTAAAAAAAAAAATTAATTAAAAATTGAAGAGAAATTATTAACGTTTTGCTAATATATACAAACTCCTAAAAAAAGTTAGCTGCAAAATGTTGACGAAACGTTAAGAAATGATAAAATGGCCTTCGATTTTCATTCGAAAGCGAGCTTGAATTTACAAATAGATGACATTCCAAACGGAAAATAATTGTAAAATAATTAAACACGACGAGCTTATTCTTCAATGTTCCAGGTGGAAAGGTGGCGGGAATGGCAGGTTATTTCAAAATCGGCGACGTATCGTTCGATTCGCGCCGACGTCTACGGCATAGCGACGTGACGCGGTTCGGCAAACTCACAAATTAGGAATTAACCTGGTCTGATTATAAATGCCTCGAACCGCGAACGCCGTGGCCGTCTCCTAAAAGAAATCCAACGATCTCCACTCTCTGTTCGATCTCCATTAATTTAGAAAATGGCAGCGGCCGCGATCGCGGAGCGTTCCGACGTGGCGGATAGAAGAAAGAAAGAGAGGAAAGAGGGAATTTCGCCAGAGGAAAAACCGGACTTGTCCCCTGGAACCTTCGACGTAGATAAGATTACTCGAATGGAGGATGTCAGGTAATTTAGACGAAAGAACATCTCTACTTCTTCTCACAGATTGCCATTCTTTGTTCTTCGCCTGATGAAGGCGGGAAACAAATTGGCAATATTTGTTATAAATTTAACAACATAACAATAAAACGTCGTTCTTACTCAAAATGTTACGAATGTGTAATGAAATATGAAAACTATAGCATCTAGGCCGCTATTCCCGGAATTATCACCTAAAAAAAGTGGACGATAGTAGTCAGAAACATTTTAACAAATTAACGTAAAATTAATTATTTTCATATATTTTGAATAGCCTGACAGTTCGAGTTTGCGAAAGATATTCATGCCAATAAATTTTGTTTATGCAGGAATTTTATGATAAAAGACTTGCAAGAGGAGATTCGATTGGAACAATACAACGAGAAACGAAAAGCGGAAATGGAAGCGGAAGAAGCGGCGAACCGCCAAAGGCAGTTAAAACAAACACACGCCGTACTTTCACAACATTGGACAGCATTCACGGAGAACATGCTCCAGTTGGAACAAGAAGAGAACGTTGGTACTTGATTGAAGATCACGTACCTTTCACGTTCGATAATTCTTCTTTTTCTCTCTCTCTCTCTCTCTCTATTTCTGTGTCGTTAAATTTTTAGTGGGCACGGTACATGACTTGCGATGGTCTGCCAGATCCTGGTTCGTTGCCCGACATGAATACGTTCTTGTTCCTTTGGTCGTTGAAGAGCGAAGAGGCGACCATGAATACTATAGAGGAAAAGTGTCGAGTGATCACGCACGTAAGTGAATACTATTTATGAGGGAAATTCGGCAAATTGGAAAATTTGAAACCTCGTACAAATGTACGTTCACATGATGGTAATAATGGGACAATTCTTGTTTCTTAAAGGAGAAAATTGGCCGACCAAAGAAATCTTGAGACATATAAATATTTAGAGCAACTCGATTAAGGAATTAATATTTTCGTTACAACTGTATTCTAATAGAAACATATTTCTTTACTGTTAATAAGTAATAAGTAACTAATAGAAAAATATTTCTTTACTGTTACTTGCAATAATTGATCTTGAGTAATTTACTGAATCGAAATTGGAACAAAGAATATCTATTCAAGTTTTACGTTCATTTGCAAGAAACTTAACATTTTGTGTTTGTAAAAATTTTTTAAACCGTGGCTAGAAACCAAAATAAAATCGATTAAAATCACTTGGATGTCCGTCTTCAATTCTTCTTTTCATTTATTAATCACTATTATATACCGTGACTGAAATACTAATCCATTTTCACTACTAATTGAAACATATATATGTAGTTATACTGTGTAATTATCAGAGACTAAAATTAGGTCAATTAGTCATTTGAAGTATATTTAATTAATACTGTATAATTAACTAATACTGTATAATTATCAGAGACTAAATTTAGAAGTATATTTACACTAATACTGTATAATTATCAGAGACTAAAATTAGGTCAATTAGTCTCATTTGAAGTATATTTTATTATACTCTATAAGTATATAAGTATAATTTACATATATATAAAAGTCACGGGATGATAGCGTACACAAAAGATTAAACGTTATCACGATCGATAATTTTCGTGTTTGCAGCTTTTGAGCAAGATCGATCGAATTATTCGCTTCTCCACGATGATCTCGAAGGAGTATGTGGCCGAATGTGAATCGGTGAGAGGATCCCGAGAGAAATCTCGCTTCTGTTCTAAAACGATTCAAAGTCTCATTTTTCAAACGCCATAGATCGCTGCTAAGCTCCGCAACGAGCTTCAACGATGGATTGATCTCGCATGTTATCAACTGTTACGTAACATCGAGGCTAATATGGTCCGAGAAGACATTAAAATCACTAGATATGTTTGTGTGACAAACAAAGCGGTGTGCTGCGTTTGGGCTCCGATCGCACTGCCCATAGGGCTTAAGCGACAAATAGCGGATAGAGAACGACCGTCTATATTCGTATCAAGGTATTTTCTATCATTTACTGATCTATTGTCCACTGGTCTAAAAATTAAGAATGAAAAGTTTTGATATTGTTTCACTCTAAAGATTATTAATTACAAGAAGATGCTTGTTGTTACCAAATCTAGCGATCAATCATCAACAAAATTTAAGAAGAATATTATTTGAATTTTAATAGACTTCAAATAGAATTCAGGAATTACACAAAGCTTACCTGAAAGCACTAGAAATTAAATATATAAAAAGTATTTTTATTCCGAATTGAACGAAAATTTTGTGCAATCTAATATAAATTCCTATCGTTACTTACGGTATTGATTCGCGGTTAATATGCACGACGATTATAATCGCAACCGCGTTTCGAATTGCAGAAAGACAATCGAAATCGAGATAGAATTCGAAGAAATGAAGCTCACGATTAAGATGCCGAGCGATTTCGATTGCCATCAAATGGCAATCAGAGGCCTTTGGTTTGCTTACGATCATCACTCGGTTGAAGCGGATTCCTATCGCATGCCTTCATTACCGGACTATTTATTCGATCTATGGAATCCTTCTCTCGGTATGGAATCCTTCATTCGATTATAAATGCTTAAACCTTCTCCCTCACCTCCATCATAGTTTTTGATTTTTGTAGTCTTTATCTTTTATTGAGCGATTGTTGTATCCCTTCTGCATGACTTGGCTTAGGTACTGTATTTAAGATCTAAAAAAAGAAAGAAAAAAATATAAAAAACGGCATTAATGTTAGATCTTCTCGAATACTCGGCAAGAGAGCACGCAGAGAAGCTTCGACTACGCGAGGAGCAAGCCGAGGAACGACGTCTACGTTTAGAGGAGAAAAAAGCGATACTCGGAAGAATGGAGTATCCGCCTGTTTCGCCGCGACGCGACAAGAGAAAGAAAGGCAAAAAGACGAAAGGACATTCGGCGAAAAATTATGAGTCGGAGTTCGAAGCCACGTTAGCCACCATGTTGCCTTCGAAATCGGAACTGTTACCCTATTTACCGACTCCGGGCGAGATAATCCGTGAAACCGAAGGTAAAACTCGATTCGCACGACTTTTTTCTACGATCGATCGATCGGTTGAAACGTGCTGTTTTCGCTGGCAGAGAAAGCCATGTCGGAAAGCAAGAAACTACTCTTTACTCGATGCGAGGAGACGGAGGTGAATTTGCGAAAATACAGAATCCTCGGTGGAGTGTTTCGCGTAGATCTCCTCTATCAACCGCCTCAACCGAAAGATCTTGGAAAAGATAAATACTTGACTACACGTGAGTGCCGTTTAATAAGATCGTTGCTCACCATCAAATCTGTTCGAAATCGTTCGGATCAAAAATCTCAATCAGACACGACTCGTTTTCGTTACAGTCGAATTACCAAAGGAGCCGAAATTCGTACCGTTTCTCCGATCGTACGAGACACCTCAGCCAGCACCGGATTCCGAGAGAACGCCGGAAGTCATCGAGGCTGAGATGAAAGCCCTTGAACTAGCGATGGACGCGCTCATCTTGCTCACCCTCAAGTCAGTCTGTCAATTTTATTCTTTACCAGTAACTTTCTTTCCCCTTCGATCTTTTGTCGACCCATTAAACACGTTACATTCATTATACAAGTTTTTGAAGGAAATTCCAAGGATTTGCTCAATTATGCCTTTCACCTAGATCTCATAATTTTACAAAATTCAGAGTGATTGAGTTATTTATAGTACCATGATTTGTTAATTTTAATTTCCGTTTTCGTTTTCGTTCCTGTTGACAGATTGCCCGAGACTGTCTTCTGGTTTGAGCCACCGGTGGTCGCTCATTGGTTACCGGAGAAGAAAATGTGGTCAACGAAATACGTGCACGACGTGAAGTTCAACGAGGAGAAACAAACGATCGCGTTCCGTGTCGGAAGATTAGGGATCCACGGATTGGCGGGATACAAATTCGCGAACCTTCCGTTCCAAAGTTGGGAATTGAAACCGGAAGCGGGGAAAAGTGGTCGCCTTCACGCCGGAGTGGTTCTCACCGTTACAGCTGCTACGATTCAAGCTGAGTTCGTTATCAGGGTAAGTCTTTCCGCTTGCCAGATTACATCCATTCAGAGAATATAATTCGACCGACTGACAATGAGACACAGTTTTCAAGGCACCTTTACACAGTAGAACTTCCTTGATATAAATTTGTCGAAAGACAAATTAGTTTATAAAGATAATTGAAGGATTCTTCCCTGACTGAATGATCAATGTTTGATATGACAATGATGCGATGTAATAGAAATTCAGGTTCAAGTAAGTAGATTTAACTACTACAAGAAGTGATGGATTTCAAATTTTCTTTTTTCACAATTGCCTAAAAGATACAGGTATTTTCATCAAAATTATTAATGTTCATGTTTAGATAGAGACGTAACTGCATAAGTCTATTTTAATTGTTATTATTTATATGTATACATATTAATCCCTTGGCAAACAATCCTGCAAACATTGCAGGAAGATCGAGTTTGTTTGAACTCGTTCACCGGTGCCGCATCGATACCGCTCAAAGAAACTCTCGGCAAATATTTGGAATTGGAATGTCTGATAGAGGTAGGTAACTTTAGCCAGATTCGTTTTATAAGTTTCTCTTTTTCGACCATGTATCCGCGATGCTTGGAATCTCGCGTTATAACGTTGGAATCTGGTCGCAGCGGTTGCAACAAGATGGATTGGACCTCTTCCCAGAACGGGATGCTGCCAGCTATTTAAAAGGACTTCCGATCAAACATCCGATCACGGAGAAACACTTGAGAGAGTGCATGGCTCTATTGTCTACCTCGTACGTTTTTTCTTGGTCACGATGGAACGCGTCTCGCAGTTTCCGAGAAATAGTTTTGCAATTTAAAGAGATACACGGTTGTGTCGCAAAAGAGGTAATGTAATCTTTGGCTATCGTTTCGAAATGTTAAGTTATGTATATATATATATATATATATTTTTTTAACCAATTAATGTTGAACTTCTGGTATAATATAATTAATCGACATCTCTATTACCCTTGTCTACTTTTATCCTAACTTTTTAACGAAACGTTTATCTACTTTTTGCTACATGATATTTTTATTTTCATCTATACACACACTGTATATTAAATTAACTTAATTAAACCTATAATATCTTGAATTAAAATTTACTATATAAATTTGATACACACCGATATTCAATCTAAATATTTCTTCCTCTGTTCAGCGTACAAACCTGATGCTCTTGGTAACACCTTCGCGAACTATGCGTATACGCTGTACCGAGATGAGCCCCGAATTTTCCGACTTACCCCTCGAGGACGAAGACACTAAGGTAAAACCTCTTCCTATTGTTTCTTTCTCATATTTTCCTTAATTTCTTTTTCTAGTTTTACGCCGACCTGTATCGGTTGGCGTTAAACACCGCTGGGATCAAGACTCGACTGTTAATAGGACAGATCTCGTACAAATTGGCGTCAACGGTTGCTCGACTTCTCGAACGTACCAACGTTATCAGCATGTCTTCTTAACTCGATCGATCTCCACATAAACGTCAACTATATGTCACGTATGTCGGTGGAGAAGTTAATTTTGTAGTACGTTGAACCATTACAACTCTAAATTTCCTCACTCAAATATTTTATTATTATCTTGAAATTCTTCGTAAAGACTTTCTAGTTACCAATAATGGTCGATCGATAATTACTTCCTTTCTCACCAATGAACCTTGATAAAAGTCCAAGAGAAGGCATCGAATTAATGTCCACTTATGTGCCACAGTGGATCGAGGACGGAAGAAGGGAAATAACAAGCCGTCGGCGACAAGAGTTCGTTTCCCAAACGAAATTCTCTTTATTCGGATATACAACGTATGTCGAGCATCAAGCGATATTCAGGAAATAATAAACGCCTCCGTTCGATCAGTTTGTTAACGACAGTATATCAGTTTTGTAAAACGATATTTCGACTCGAAGGAAACACACAGCGATATCGAGCTTACGGTTAAGCGATAAAGAGTTAATCGATGCGCTTCGTCGTTGAGTCGAGGGATCGGAATGAAAGAGAACGAGGTAGCAGAATGATGTAGGGTAAGAGGGTGTGCGACCGTGTCGCGGTTACTGGAATGCTTGGAAGTGGAAAGGGGGCAAAGTGTGTGTCTCTGTATGTGTGTATGTATGTATATATGTGCGCGCGTGTGAGCGACTGTGTGAGGATGAGGAAGGTGTGCACGGGGAGGGGGGGAGGAGTAGATCGGATCGATAAGGGTGTGTAACAGGCGATACACAACGACGAGGAAACGATACGACAAGGAAGCGTTAAATCTGCACGACCGGCAGAGTCGTATTCTGCGGGTCTGGCTACGCGGATCTGGTCAGTCGCGGTTTCCGACAACGAACAGGGGATATCGGTCTCGTCAATCGAAAACGCAATTACCTTTCGAACGGGGCTCGTTCGTACGCTTTCCTTCCGTTCGCCTTCTTTCAGCCTTCGCCGAAAAGTACATGCAACTTGCAAGTTTATGGTAACCTGCCCAGTGAACGAACGTTGCTTACGAAAAGTCAATCGTATCTGCCAATGCGCTCTTCGAAATTTGCAATTTCGAGTGCATCGAGTAGAAACTCGCGAAAACGTTTCCTTTTTTTTTTTCCCTCCTCCTGTAATCTGTACGGCGCTACATTTCCATCTTGTTTCTTCTTCGTATCTATAATTTAGAATTTAAATCTTGATATCTATAAAGAACTTGTCGATTTTGTTCATGCATTGGAGATAATAGTAAATGTCAATGAATGAACAAGTCGGAGTCGCCAAGTTTCCAACTGACAGTACTATCGAAGAGACAATCACGTCTCAGAATGCAAATGACGAGTCTGCGAAACGAGGTGTGGAAAGAAGATTGATGTTCGTTCACTGGACAGGTCGCAGTTTAAATACTCGTTCGCTAGACAGATCCATCTACTTCTTCGAAACGACGTCTCTTTCCGTCACTTACTGTCCACCCAGTATGTATATACCTTTCCAACTTCGACTTTCAACCCTTCTCTTGATTTTTAGAACAAACATCGTGTGTATACGCAATAGGAAGCTAAAAAATATATGTATAGTGTTGCGCGCTGCGAGGGCCGGACACGCGTGGCGAGCAGCAGTCTCCACTTCACGGTACACGACCGAACACGATCGATCGCAGAAATTTCTTTCGCCCCTCCGTTCATTCGTTTCGTTCGTCCGCTTTCGCACCCGGGTTATTCAGTTTTCAGTTCGCGCTTGCTTCCACATTTTACCGATCGACGAAAATCCCTGGCTCGTCCTGTACGTGTTTATATATACAGGACGAATCAGGACACATACTCGTGTACTACGGCACGTAGTTTCTAAACGATAACGCTGTCATCTCGCAAACATTTCGTTTCTTCCAATTCTCTTTTCAGTCTCGAATCGGACGGTCGCGTATCCATCTTCGTCTACTACGTTCATCTACCTACTCAACTATCTTCCTACATTCTCAAACACATCAGCGTCCGGCTCGCCCGCTATTCTACCCAATTTCCGTTCCCTCTTCCCTTCTTCACCCTTCGTTCGACAAGCCTCTCGTTCGTAACAAGCCTCGCGACGCCTCTCTTAAGTAGCTGGCGCTACGTGAACGACGCGGCTACGCTGCTTCTTCGTCGAGTCGATGAAGTGGATTTATTATTATCCGCCCGGACACGGAGGAACGTACTCGTTCAGCGCCGGCGAGACAAATATTCTTTAACAAATATTCTATAATATAGGTGTTTAGATCTATTGTATCGTATTAGCACACGTATTATCACACGTACTATTGCTTCATTCGACACTCTCGCGAGGAATACTTTATTCGATACAGACTGGATCAATCGTTTCCTTAAAAACCAAGTTCCTCTTCCTTCGAGTGTTTTTCCAAAAGAATCTTTCTATTCTAGAGCATGTTGAAAAAGCTTGCCTTTCCTCTGTCCAATTCTGTCAATTCTTTTGCAAAGTGTTCGATATCCTTCCTCGATGTTTCTCAAGCGCCTGTGCTTAACATTAACACGAAGTTCTCCCAGCTTGTACAACTATTACAACCAAATCTTACATATTAAACGAGGGAATATTTTCACTCGCTGTTTACGAATCGTTTTCTATCGATCGGATGTCACAGCACAATATGAATACTGTAATACTACTGAACACAGTGTAACACTAATATCTGCGTTGGAACGGTGTCGACGTAGAATACGGTTCCTCGCCGAATACGAATAATATGAATCCACTTTCGTACCTAAATTACGCGACGGTCATTTGCCAAAAACTTGAAGACCGAGAAACCAAAGGATATTGTATATTAATCGACGTAGACGAACGAATTGGTACGTTTCTCCCCATTTCTCCGTAAAGTTTCGAGTCCCGATTTTATTCGCATCGAGACGCGCGATTTCAGAAAAGAGAAGCGAGCATAGCCAGAAAATAAGCGGATAAGAGGCGATCCGCGGACTTTTCTCTTCGCGATGCTTGGCGCCTTCGAACGAAAGACCAAGAAGAAAACGGGACAGAGTAATTATCGTTTGACGCGGTGCGTCGTACGCCGTGTCAAATCGGTCCCGCGTCTCGGCTCGCCCTCGATCCGACGCGGAGGCCAACTTGCGCTCTCGACTCGCCATTACGCGCGAGTTTCAACGGGGGCGAGTCGCGTTAAGAACATAGTGAGGTAACACTGATAGGCGATAAAACACCGAACTATGATCGAACCCAGGGGCGGCTAGTCAACACATGCTATTGCTATTGCTGCAACACGTTGGGAAATCGATGATATTATAGTTTCTGTTTTTTTTTTTTGTTTTTTTGTTTTTTGTTTTTTTTTTTGTTTTGGTTACAACGATAAGTACACATCCTTATTTTTATTCCCCCGTGGCTCATTGTCAATTATGATGGAACCAAGTGTGCATTAAGTGTAACCGATATACCATACGTACAATTATTACTCGAACTCCTTGCGAGTACTGAAGGAAACGAAATATAACATATATCGAAACAATTGAGTTCTAGTATCTGAATCTTTAACAAGTACTTGTATTTAAATGAAACCAGGAGTACGTGAAACTATCCAATTGAAAAGTCGAAAGTTAATTATTTTAATTAAAATAATTAATAAAGTATCTGACACGTACATTTCTGTATATATTCGATTGTGAATGAGAGATAAGAAAATTATTAAATTGTAGTTATGGATCGCTTTTTTTATCCACAAAAAATTATTCATTCTGTTCAATCGTGTGATTTGCCCTCGATAAAGAGTCGGGACAACTAATCCATATAACGTTTATGATAATCATGCGAAAGCTGATGGCTTTAAATTCGTTAGCTTATAACCCCAATAAGCTTATATAACAACGTATTCGAGCGAACTTCCAGGATTCGATTACTACTTTTAAGTAGTTCACATTTATCGCTACTTTTAAGCAGTTTACATTTATTACTACCTGTAAGTAGTTTGTATCGTTACATTCATTCAAACGTCTATGTGTTCACAAGTACGAGTACATGTTTTACCTGGTTTACCTGGTTTAAAATCAGAATGTACATTCTGTATGCGTATAACTGTGTAAGTACATACAATTGAACATCGATCGAATCCTATTAAGTGAACATTTTCTTTAGTTTGTGTTAGATTTAACTTGGTTTCGCGAGTACATATTGAACTTGATCCCATCACTAATTGTACGTGTATGCAATGTATTCTATTCTCCGCTGCTGCAGTCAGCGTTGCACCTTCCGTTCCACTCTGTATCGATTTAATTCGAAATCTCAATCTAACACGCGAGCATGTTAATCCTTAAAAATAAATTCTGCAGATCCTTCGCAACAACGAACATCGAAACAACCATTTTCTACGCGGTCTTTCAAAGAAAAAGAAAACTCCGAGTTTTAAAACAGTGGGATATGTCACACGACGAGCGTGTAAAATCCACCAGCCGCCCCATCCGGGCGAACCTAACAAATTTTCAACTGGTTTCAACGCTGGTCGACATCGAGTAGCGAGCCGTTTCGTCGCGGGATCGCTCTAAAATCCTATTAACGCTCGTTTCTATCGTTATCGCAAACTGGAACTTGACTCGCAAGCTGCTTACGATTGAGGTAATCCATGGTATAAGGCCCAATTCGCATCCAGTTCGAATTAACGCGTACTTAGTTTGTATACACTACGCAATGTATGTCGACGATTCGTTTAACTCTAAAATAGGTGTTTTTTCTTTTTTTTTTTTTTTCTCTCTTTTTTAGAATTAGCGCGCGTTCCATCTGCGTGAGAGAACGCAGGTTAAACTAACCCAAACTTTCACGATCGATCGGTCGGACAACGAATCTCTGGCGCGACGCGTGAATAAATCCTCGTCCGCGTAAGAGCGGCGCACATACCGGGTAGAAATAAATCTACCCCGTTCTACGCCTCTCTCGAATTGACGAAAACACTCGACGATAGATCGACGTCGGTTTTATTCAATGACGTCGGCCGCCGATCGTTGTGGTCGCGCGACTTTCATCGGATGCTTCCGTTCGGTCAGGATCCGCTCGTGATTCGAACGATCGCGACGAACGTCGGAGCAAACGAGAAAATCGAAAAGAAGAGGGGAAAGAAAAGAAAAAAAAAAAAGAAAAAAAAAGAAAGAAAAGAAACACAAGGGAGAAGAAACGCTCGAAGGCTGGGAAACACCTTCGATTCGTCGTTCGCTTCGTTTACTTTTGGCACTTTTTCTCCGATTGTGGGGGGAGGGGGGCTAATTTTCTACATGAGCGCGCCTTGATCGCGCGAACACGCGTTCCATCACGACCGACCAAACGCGATCGAGCGACATACGAACGTATAAACGCGCGACAAACGCGTTCGTTTCTTTTTTTTTTAACTGCTAAAATGCTACGGATCTGGTGCATGTGACATTCCTTTGGTGCAAACGTTCGTTCAGCTTTCGGCTCGAACAAGAGTCGAAAAAAAAAAAGATCACTGCAATCATCTCTTTCTCTCCCTCTCTCTCTCCCGCACTTTCTCTCTCTCCCTTTCTTCCTTTGTTTTTTTTTTTTTTGATTTTTTCTTTTTTTTTTCTAACAGGTTTACGCCAAATCGTAATGTTTCGTGTTGCATTCTGAATTTCAACGGTTGCATAACGGTATAATACACAGGCTACGATATACAAACGTTAGTCTAACTGGTTTCTTTTTTTTTTCTTTTTTTTTTTTTCTTCTTGTGCTACTCAATAATTAGGTGTACACACATGTGCGATGCGTATGCGTGCAAATGTTTCACGAGACACATGTGCGTTCGTGCGTGAGTGCGTGTGTACGTGCATGCGTGCATAATTTACCTATAGGTGCGTGCATGCGTGCGTGGGTGCGTCGTGCGACGCGAACAAACATGTACGTGTTACAATAGTTATGCACGTGCGATCGAACGCCAAGATTAGACGAGTTTGACGCGCACGCGAGAGAGAAATTTAACGCTAGAACTATCGATCTCCAATACGTACAATACAAATCATTACAATTTTTAAAAGTACGGCAATTATAATAAATAGATACAACGATGCCTCTGTTCAAAAAGAAATCGGTATTAATCCTCATACAGCTCTTGCTTCAAGTAACGTTCTCTCGTGGTCGTTTTTGATCGTTTATGTTACTTGTTATCCAAATTTTCTACAAAATGACGCGCAACTATGCATTTCAGTAATGCAACATGCCGCGAGATGAAATTTTTCTTTCTTTTTCCTTATTATAACATCGAGACGATTAAACTCTTGAATTTTATGTAATAGTCATTTTTGATCATGAGGATCATCAACAATTTCTATTGCCATTTTTACGCTCTAACGTCTCTCGTGAAACAGGGAATTATTGTTTTCCATTATTTTCCGCGATTATGATCCACTCCTAAACTTATTTAAACTACTCACAATTAAACAGCGTCGTCTTTTATTCGACTTATCGTTTATTCCTAAAATTATAAATAACATCATTGACTGGCTCGATATCCCGAGATAGATAAAATTCAACATCCCGGAGCTCGGAGCTTTAAGAAATTGTTCACCTTTCCACGTTCTTTTGTACACGTCAAACTTCACCGCAAATAACTGTATCGACCGTGTTTGTAAGCAAGCCAACTGCCTTTCACATTAGCTTGAATTCTTTGACATTTTACTCTTCTCCTTTAAAAATAGAGCCATAAATACTATATTAAATCGCACGTAGCACCATTTATTTATGTAATACTGCTCTCAGCTCTCATATTTTATGTGCTTCTTTCCGTATTCCCTTCTTTTTTTTTTTTATTATTATACTTAACTATTACCACAGGATGTGGTAATAATAATAAATATCACTATTATTATCATTATAATTATTACAGGGAAATTTTTACACGATGTTTGTTCAGAAATAAAAAAAAAAAAAAAAAAAAAAAAAAAAGAAAAAAAAAGAAAAATCCGGGGAACAGAAATTCCGCCTAAAGAATATCGATGCAATCTCGGCGCGGGTTCATTGAAGGTCTCATTGTTCGTCATAGAAACTAAAAAAAAAAAAAAAAGAGAGAGAGAGAGAG